GGCCTCTACGGCAACGCCACCTGGTGGCGGGCGAGCTCTCCTTCGGGCCATCGCAAGCTGCTGGAGCGTGCGGATGGCGCTGATGGTGCGGCCGCGCATCTGCTCCTCGACCGAATCCCACCGTCAGTCATCACCCCCCACCTTATCAATTGCGTGTCTAGCGCCTTCAATGCGAGCCAACAATCGAGTCGGCTTCACGCTCTCTCGTCGAATCGATCGTCACAACATCGCTTCATCATGGCCCCTCGCCGAAAAAAAAAAATCAAAAAAACAACACTTCCCCCCCAACTGCCGTCGCCACACGGCCGCCGCTGGCCATCGGCCGCACCCTACTAGATCGCGCGCCGCGCCGGCGCGTGCCTCGACCGCGGTTGTATCTGGGGGCCGCTTGATGGCACACCCCGCGAACCCTTAACCCCGGAACAGAATCGTCCCGGACGACTTCGAGACCTGTCGCTCGCGGTGGAATGCGGTGGAGGAAGCCGGCGCGCCGCTTGCCGGCGAAGGCCCCTCGCGGGCCGAGCTGGAGCTCTCTTCGTGGGCAGCCCCATCGAGTGCAATGGCCTCCTCCTCCGGGTACGTGCCGCATGAGATCCCTCCACTGCGTCGACCTCTTCCTCCTGGCCCGGCCATTCGCTCTGCCTCATCGGCCCCAACGGCGCCGGCACGTCGACGGTGCGGCACGCCGCCTTCGTCTTCGCCGACTCATGGTGGCCGGAAGTATCACGTCGGTAGGCGGGAGGTTCGCGCGCTCCTCCATCCGCCGCCTGCCGAGGCGGCGTCCGCCTACGCGCTGCAGGACAACGCGGGTCTTCCCGACATTACCCTGTTGAGGAGAACCTGCGATGGGGCGGGCTACCCCGCTTGGGGTGGCGGCGGAGTTCGGCGGCCAGGGCAGGCGGCCGAGCCGTGGTTCGATTCGAAACCGCTACGAGGAGTCTGGCGCGGTGCGCCTCGGCCCCGCCGCAGGGCGGCGTGCTTCCTGCGGTGGAGCGCCGCCTGCTGTAAATCCTCTCGCAGCGCCATCATTGAACTCTCAGTGCTGCTGGTGGACGGCCGTCCCTCGTCGGCTGGAGCCGCGACTTCATCGACCTGGTGGTCGTGATTCTGGAGGACCTGCAGCGTCGCGAGGGGCAATACCATCTTGAATGTCGAGCAGAACGCGAAGAAGGGGCTGGGAGTTTCGCCGAATTCGGCTACGATCCGCTCCTCGGGGCGCCCTCGCCATGGCCGGCCCGTCCGCGCCCTGGCTGGAAGACCCGGAGGTCGGCCGCTCTTCCTCGCGCCCTGACTCTATCTCCATCAGGCCGCGATAGCGCGGTATGACAGCCCGGATCGGGTCGCCATAAGGGAAGCCCGGGAGCAGATTTTTTGCCTTTTTTTGCCCGGTGTGATAGAGTGGAGTTCTCAGAGCAATAATCGTAATTCAGGGGGGTATAATAATGGATTTCGGTACTGTATCCGGGACGGAGTCCGCCCCGGATAGGTCGGGTTTCGGCCATGCACGTAACTTGAAATTGGTCGTGGGGGACTCCGGACGGTAAATTTCACATTTCAGGCGCTTACCGCGAAATACCGGACCAACATATTTCGTCATTCGGGAACGTGAAACGGCGATGACTGTTTGCCATGCAGGTCTTGCACTCCGTTGCTTGCTGCCCTTCCTCACCAACCGCTACGTGACGAGCATGCGGATCGACTGGGACAAGTCCTGTGACCCTGTCTACCGGAATTGTTTTTCCACAAAAGGGCAGTTGGTAGACTATGGTTCAAGCGTATTGCCGAGCTTCTGATTGGCCGGGCGGGAGGGGCTCCGAGACGGAAGTTGAGCTGCGGACGGCCCCGCCGAAGTTCGCGCCGGCCCTCAATCCGCACCCGGCCGGACAACTGAATTTGAACATACCCCAACGAAGATGGCTAGATCTTCGAAGAAATTCACATAAATATCTGAAACGGTCCTGTTTTTCCCGATCGGGCCAGACCTGCCACTCCTATTGCACCTTCTGCGTCCGCGGGGCGCAGTTTTTCGCGGCGAGAAGAGCGAAGATCGCGTAGAAGATGCCGTCGGGCTGCACGCTATCGCTCGCGCCCACCCGATGGTCTCGACCTCTGTTCACGGGCGGAGACCCCATGATCATGAGACCGGGTGTTGAGGGCTATCTCGGCTTTCATGGACGACCCGGCGCTGGCTTTGGCCCCATGTGCAGACCATCGGATTCGGCACGACAATCGCATCAACCTTCTGGCCCGCAGACCGCTTCGTTTATGACAGACGCGGACGTCTGCGGGAACGATCTGCTGCGCCTGCTAGAAGGAAGCTCCGTCCGCTCGGGCCGCGACACGTCGCGATCATGCGCGATCTCACCCATGTGGCAGGAGAGTTGCGGACGGCGTGGTTCGCGAGGCGATCCGCCGCATCCGCAACACCGGCGCGGTCATTCGCAGCCAGGCGCCGCTGCTCGCCAACATCAACGACGATCCCGATGTCTGGGCGCGGATGTGGCGCGAGCAGGTTCGCCTCGGCATCGTCCCCTACTACATGTTCGTGGAGCGGGATACCGGCCCCAGACAGTATTTCGAAGTACCCGCTCGTGCGCTGCTGGGAGGTCTTCCGGGGCGCCATCCAGCAGGTGTCGGGGCTGGGCCGCACCGTCCGCGGCCCGAGCATGAGCGCGACGCCGGGCAAGGTCGAGGTGCTGGGCGTCCAGGAGGTCGCGGGCGAGAAGGTCTTCGTGCTGCGCTTCCTGCAGGGCCGCGATCCCGACTGGGTCGGCCAGCCCTTCTTCGCGAAGTTCGATCCGGGCGCGACCTGGCTCGATCAGCTCGAACCCGCCTTCGGGGCCGAGTCCTTCTTTTTCGAGGAAGGGTTCCGGGCGCTGACCGGATAGCCGGGGCGCAACCTCTCCAGCCATTTATCGCTCACGGCAGCCGGCCTCCGGCCAGCGCCTCCGCGTCGCGCTTCCGCGCGCGCGAGGCTCAGGCGAAGGGAGGGCGCCCGGCCGTCGTCAGGCCATCCCGGCCGGATCCCGACACGCTCTCACGCCTATCGGGCCGCATCGAGGGCGCCGCTGCGGGCCGCCACCATGCCGACCAGAAGCTCGATAAAGGCCGTCGCGGCGACAGGGGAGCGGAGGACGCCCGGACGGCGGATCGGGAAAAGCAGGACATCGTTCGCACAATCGGCGAGCGGCGACAGGGGGGCGTCGGTGATCCCGACCACCCGTGCGCCGGCGCCTCGGGCGTAGCGGGCAAGCGCGACGATATCGGTCGCGTGTGGCTCGGTCGCAATGCCGATCACCACGTCTTCGTCCGTCAGGGTGCCTCCGACGCCGGACAGCCCTCCTCCGTGCCACTCCACGAGGCGCCAGTTTGCGGAAGCGCCTGGACGCGACATGGTGCAGGTGGCTGGCAAAGGGATGAGCCGCGTGCATGCCGACCACGAGCACGCTGCGCGCATCCGCCAGCGCCTGGACCGCCCCTTCGAGTGTGTCTCGGTCGATCTGGTCGAAGAGGCTGTTGATGTCGCCGAGCGCCGCCTGCTGGAAGCGTTCAAGGGCATGGTCGAGCCCGCTACCGCCGACATCCGCCCGGGGTCGACCCGCGTCGGTCGCTGAGCCCGAGGGCACTTCGTCGGCATTACTCATGCGCTAACTCGTCCAGGCAACGCACATGGTGTGCGTCAATCGAGCCGATTGTCTGCTCCAAGTCCCCGTGTGCAGCATGGTGGCGTCGTGATCTACACCTGCTTCCATTCTCTCTGGCCCGTTGCGGTGGGCGGAAGGGGGCACCACCCGATATGTAGTGAAAGACATGGAGATATGCCTTTCAGAAGCTCTCACAAACCATATGACCTGTCAACGCGCTATGCTGAAATCATATGACCTATATTGCGGCCCGCTTCGGCGCCACTCTTCATCCGAGTGGGTGATGGCCAACTTCACCTAACCCGCGAAATATACCCCTATAATTGAGGGACCGATAAATCATGCAATAGTGATAAGACGCATTTACTGTAGAGTGGACACTGATCGTCAGGCCACGTTGACGAGGGCTCTCGGATTCGAGACCGTTGCCGCAGGATTGGGGGGTCAACCAGGGCGGATGATCTGCACGCTTGAGGCAGCAACGAAGGAAAGGGCATGCGGTAACGTGGGCCGATGATCGTCGTCCACAATAGGTGTCGAGCGGGCTCCGTGATGGAGGGACACGGTTGCAGCCCCGCCCCGCTCGCTGACGGAATCGTTCGGAGTCAACGATGCGTGTGCAATTCAGTGCCGGTGCCGATCGACTGACCTGGGCTTATCCGCAGCTCAGCCCCCAGCTCAAGAAGTGCGCCGCCTATATCCTGGAGCACCCCAGCGAGGTCGCCACCCTGTCCATGCGTCAGGTCGCGGCCAGGGCGAATGTACCCCCCAGCACCATGAACCGCCTCGCCAAGGCGCTCGACTTCCGCACCTACGACGACTTTCGCACCCTCTACCGCGACAGTATCAACGATCAGTCCGCAGCTTACCCGCTGAGCGCCGGGCAGGTTCAAGGCGTTGCCCGTGAGAGCGAATTCGACCATGCCCTCAGCGCCTTCCAGCAAGCGTCGCTGAGCAATATCAACTCACTCTTCGACCATATCGACCGGGAGGCGCTGGAGCGGGCGGTCGTGTCGTTGAAGGGCGCGCGCAATGTCCTCGTGGCCGGCATGCACGCGTCTCAGTCATTCGCCAACTACATGCACCACGCTGCGGCCATGGGGTTCCGCAACTGGCATCTGCTGGCCCGGCAGAACGGTGCATTCTTCTATCTGCTGGAAGACTTGGCGCCCGCCGACGTTGTCGTCTGCATCGCGATCGAGCCCTGCGCGGCCGACACCGTCAGGATTGCCAGGCGCGGGCGGGGGGGCCGGCGCACGGGTCGTTGGCATCACCGATCGACGCACCTCCCCCCTGGCCGCCTGTTCCGATGACATCCTGCTCACTCCGGTCCAGAGCCCCGGCCTCTTCCCCTCCTATGTCGCCGCCGCGGCCCTCATCGAGGTGCTGGTCGGCATGGTCGTGGCGCGCGGGGGAAGCCGGGCGGCCACGAATATCGACAAGGTGGAACGCTACCGGCGCGAGATGGGCGAATACTGGGAAGCGTGAGCCGGGCCGCTTATCCGGCGCCCGCACCCTCCGCCACGGGATCGAATCGGAGGTGGGCGCCCGGCAGTCGGGACAGCTCCAGTCTCCCGGCAGATCCTCGAAGGGCGTGCCCGGCGGCGTGTTGCGCTGCGCCTCGCCCAGGGCGGGATCGTAGACATAGCCGCACCAGCGGCAGCGGTAGCGCGTCATGGGGCGAGTCGTCGCGTCCTGGCCGGAGGAGGGGGGTGTCGCCGATGGTGCCGGCCGCGCCCCGCCGCCTCGGGCAGTGAATGCCGATCCGCTGGCATACACCCTTAGCCGCAACGCCTCAAACCGCTCATGGCCGCCGCAGCCCGCGAGCGGCCGCCCTCGCGTCGCCCGCGCATTGGCAGGCCGGGCGCTTCTGCGCATAATCGAGCGCGCGGGTGCCGCGCCGGGCTGCGCCTAGCACGTTCGCGCGCCGGGGCCGCCGGGCGCCGGAGGGACCATGCCGAAATTCGCCGCCAATCTCAGCTTCCTCTTCCAGGAGCTCGAATTTCTCGACCGCTTCGAGGCGCGCGGCGCGCCGGCTTTCAGGCGGTCGAGTATCTGTTTCCCTACGATCTCGCGCCGGCGGCGGAGATTGCGGCCCGGCTCGACGATAACGGGCTGACCCAGGCGCTCTTCAACCTCGCGCCGGGCGACTGGGATGCCGGCGAGCGCGGCCTCACCGCGTTGCCCGGCAGGCAGGACGATTTCCGCCGCTCGGTCGACAACGCGCTCCGCTACGCCGATGCGCTGGCTGCCGCCAGCTTCACGTGATGGCCGCCGTCGTGCCCGACGGCGCCGATTCGCGCGCGTACGAGGAGACCTACGTCGCGAACCTCGCCTATGCGGCGGACGCATTCGGGCGCGAGGGCATCCGCGCCCTCATCGAGCCGCTGAACACGATCGACGTGCCGGGCTATCTGCTGTCGACCGCCGGCCATGCGAAGCGGGTGATCGAGACGGTGGGGAGCAAGAACCTGTTCCTCCAGTACGACTTCTATCACCGCCAGATCATGGAGGGCAGCCTGGCTGTCGGGTTTCGCGCAGCACCGCGACATCATCGCCCACATCCAGGTTTCCGGCGTTCCCGGCCGCCACGAGCCCGACGTGGGCGAGATCAACTACCCCTACCTCTTCGACATGCTCGACGCGGCGGGGTACGACGGCTGGATCGGCTGCGAGTACCGGCCCAAGGGAGGCACGCTGGAGGGCCTGGGCTGGCTCGTGCCTACGGCATCGGTGCCGCCGTGGTGACCGCCTGAACGGCCGGCGTGCGGCGGCAACAAAGGGGAGCGCGATGAGCGACGACACCTATCAGGACATCGGCTACGGCGCGATGGAGATCGGCTTCGGCGAGCGGCCGGGCATCCTCGTGGTCGATCTGCAGACGGGCTTCACCCAGCCGCGCTTTCCCATGGGTGGCTGCCCGCTGTGCATCGCGCCGTGGAGAACACCGCGCGGGTGCTCGAGGCCGCCCGCGCGGCGCGGGTGCCGGTCGCCAACTGCTACACCGCCTATCACTCCGAGCGCGACATGCCCTACTGGAAGATCGCGCCGGTGCGCGAGAACTTCTTCGAGGGCGACCCCTGCACCGAGATGGAGCCCCGCACCTCCGACCCGACTACGACTACATCCTGCAAAAGTCGGGCCCCTCGATCTTCTTCCAGACGCCGGTGACGGCCTTCCTCACCAAGCACGGCGTGGACACGACCATCGTTGTGGGCTGCATGACCAGCGGCTGCATCCGCGCCTCGGTGATCGATTCCTTCTCTTACGGCTACCGCACCATGGTGCCTGAAGACTGTGTCGGCGACGCCGATGAGCGGCCGCACCGGGACAACCTGCGCGATGTCGGCCGCCGCTATGCCGACATCGTCTCGTCTGAGCGGGTGCTCGACTATCTCGACGAGATCAGGAAGCGAAACGCCTGAGGGCGCCTCTCCTCAACAGGAGGGCCTGAGCCGGTAGGGATCGGGCGCAGGCGCGATGTCGGCGCGGCCGGGCGGGAGCGATTGCCCCCGCAGGGCTGCGGCGCGCAGCGTCTCCTCGTCGACGGCACGCTTCTCGTTGAGAGCGCGGGCGAGCGAAAGTGCCGCACGGCGGGTCTGGCAGGTTCCGACGAAGGCGTAAAGCCTGCGCCCCTTGGCGTGTTCCTCGGCCCGGACGACGCGCCAGATCGACCCCTCGCCCGCCAGCCCCTCCACGACCAGATAGTGGGTGGGCGCCCCGTCTTCCATGAGCCTGAGGCTAGAGCATTTCCGTCTTGCGCGGAAATGCTCTAGCAATTTTTCTCTCACGGCAGCCGGCCTATAGCCGGCGCCTCCGCGAGGGCGCCGCATAAGCGGCGGGCCGCGGTCGCGGCCTGTCGCGTGTCCGACAATGTCTGACATGCTCCAGTCCCGCGCGCGGACCCCGGCAAGCTGTCACGCCTGCTACGACAGCGGAGGCTCGCCCTTAGCGCCGTCCCGCACGTGCTTGTAGATCTCGGTGAAGTCGGAGTCCGGGTGCGCGGCCTCCATGCCGTCCCAGATATCGCGCAGCATGCCGGCGAGGCGGCCGGGCGCGCCGGCGGCGGCGACGCTCGATTCGTAGAGGCGGATGTCTTTGGCCATCAGCTTGGTTGCGAAGCCGGAATCGAAGGCGCCGGTGGCGATACGGTTGGGGAACTTGTCCTCGGTGGCGGTGTTGCGGCCGCTGGAGAGATTGACCGTCTCCAGGATCGTCGTCATGTCGAGGCCCTGGGAGACTCCGAAGGCAACCGCCTCGCTGGTCGCCGCCATCGCCGTCGCCGAGAGGAAATTGTTGAGCAGCTTCATCGCCATGCCGTGGCCCGGCTGGGTGCCCACTTGGCGGGCATTCGCCGCCATCGGGCGAATGTAGGGTTCGATCTCGGCATAGAGATCGTCCGGCGCCGCCACCATCATGGCGAGCGTGCCGGCCTTCGCGCCCTTCGTGCCGCCGCTCACCGGCGCGTCGGCATAGCGGATGCCGGCGCCGGCCAGCAGGTCGTGGGCCGCGCGGGCGTCCGCCATGCCGGCGGTGGTGCTGTCCACCACGATCCCGACCGCCCGGTCCGGACAATCGGCGATCTCTCGTGCGACCTTCAGCACCGTCGGCCCGTCGGGGAGGCAGAGAAAGACGATGTTGGCCCGCTCTGCCAGCGCCGCGGCGGACCCGGCCACGGGCGCGCCGGGCGGCGCCAGCGCTTCGGTGCCCGCGGCGTCGAAGCACACCACCTCGTGACCGGCGGCGGCCAGATTGTGCGCCATCGGCCCGCCCATATTGCCGAGGCCGATGAAGCCGAGCGTCGGCATCAGCCGGCCTCCGCCTTGCGGTGCTCGTCGACGACGCGCCGCGCGATGCGGAACCCTTCGACCGCCGCCGGCGCGCCGCAATAGACGGCGACCTGGATCAGCGTCTCCTTGATCTCGTCGACGGTCACGCCGTTGGTGAGCGCGCCCTTGAGATGCAGCTCCAGCTCGTGGTTGCGGCCCAGCGCGGACAGCATGCAGATGTTGTTGAGGCTGCGCTGCTTGCGGCTCAGCCCCGGCCGGCCCCACACCGCGCCCCAGCAATACTCGGTGAGGATCTCCTGAAACTCCTTGTTGAAGTCGTCGGCGCTGCCGATGGCGCGGTCGACATACTCCGAGCCCAGCACCTCGCGCCGGATCTGGAGGCCTTTCTCGTACATCTCGTTGGGCATGGCGGATACTCTCCTGAGTGGGTTGAGGCCGCTCCCGGCGCGGCCGGCGGCGCATCATAGCCGCCCGGCCGGTAAACCCCAGAACGGCGGCAGGGGCAGTACGGGCGTGGCCGGTTAGTCGACCGTGTGAGCCGCGAGAAACTCTTCGTCGATGGTGACGCCGAGGCCGGGGCGGTCGGGAATCGCGATCATGCCGTCCACCACCTCGAATTTTCTTCGGCGAGATCGTGGAGCAGCGGATTGGCGCCGAGGGAGTATTCGGCGATGACTGCCGCGGGCGAAGCCGCCATGACCTGAAGGCCGGCGGCGAAGTTGAGCGCGCCGCCCCAGAGGTGGGGCGCGAGCTTGATCCCGTGGCTCTCTGCCAGCGCCGCAATCCGCATGGCCTCGGTGATGCCGCCCGCGATGGCGAGGTCGGGCTGGAAATAGTCCACGGCCCGATGCTCCAGCAGCTCGCGGAAGTCGAAGCGGGTGAACTCGCTTTCGCCGGCGGCGATCGGGATGTCGCTCGCCGCCCGCACGACGCCCATGCCGGCCTTGTCGTCGACATTCACCGGCTCCTCGAACCAGGAGAGGCCGCAGCCCTCGACCAGCCGCACGAAGCGGAGCGCCTCCTTGACCGAAAGGGTGCCGTGGGCATCCACCATGATCTGGATATCGCATCCCAGATGGGCGCGCGCGGCCCGGACCCGACGCACCGACGCGATAACGTCTCCGTCACCCGCACCCACGCGCATCTTCACCGCGCGGAAGCCGCCGCACGCGATGTAGCCTTCGAGCTGCGCGCCAATGGCCTCGGCCGGCGCCCAGCCGCCGGAGGCGTAGGCCGGCATGGCGTCCCGGCACTTGCCGCCGAGCAGTCGCCACACCGGGACCCCGAGGGAGCGGCCCAGGATGTCCCAGCAGGCCATGTCGATGGCGCCGATGGCGCTGATCCTGCTTCCGCGGCGATCCAGCACCGGGAAAGCCTGGCCGCGTGCCAGCGCGAAGTGGGCGCGGCTGCCGTTGTACCCGATCTCCCACAGCCGGCGCGGATCCCGCGGGTCCTCGCCGATCAGCGCCGGGCCCAGGTCGCGGTTGATGAGCGCGGCAAGCGCCGCGTTGTTGCCCATACTGCCGACCGAAGCCTTGGCCTCGCCCCAGCCGACGAGCCCGCACGCGGTCTCGACCCGCACGATCGTGGCGTCGAAGTGATCGGCGACGCCGAGGTCGCTCTTGTGCTGCTGCGCCTTGGGGATCGGCACATGCGCCCATCGCGCCCTGATGCTCTCGATCTTCATCGGCCCGCCATTCGTCGTCCGGCAGCCCGCCGGCGCTGTCTGCGGTTCCGGAAAATCCTGTCGATGCGCCCGCGCAGCGCCTCGTCCTCGCGCGCGGCCGCGTAGATCGCGTAATACTCGTCCTCGCTGATGCCTTCCGTCTCCTCGATGGCGCGCGCGAGGTCGGCCTGCGCATCCTCGATCAGGGCGTCGCGTTCGTCCTCGTCGGCCGTGCCCTCGATGAGCGGGCCGCCACGTCTCGATCCGTCTGCTGATCTCGATCGCGGCGGAGACGAAGGCCTCGAGCGAGGCGTCGCTGTACTCGTCCGCGGACGCGCGCGGGCCCAGCGCCAGCACCGCCCCGACAAGCACAACCACGAGCAGCAGGGAAGCGAACCTCGCCACAACGCGACCCATGGTGCCCTCTCGGCGGTGGCCGGCAGCGGCAGGCGCCGACGCCACTATGCGCCCGACTGCAAGGAGAAGGTCAGTGTCGCGATGGGCGCGTCGGAGAACTGCCCGTGCCCCGCAGGCTGACGATGGTGCCGGGCGGCACGGTCGCGGCGTTGTCGAAGGAGAAGTCGTCTCCCCCCTCGGTTCCGGCATCCCACGGGTAGAGGTCCACCGTGAGCGCGTCTGCCCAGTTCCCCTCCGCATCGAGCAAGGAGAGACCGAAGACGCCGACAAACCAGTCCGGGCTCGGCGCGATCATCGAGAGCAGGGTGATACGGGGATGGTCGGCGGTGACCGTGACGGCTTCGAACGTATCCGAGGCCGTCGCGCCGGGGCCTGAGTCCTTGCGGAGAACGCTCAGCGCATTCGCGCCGGCCGCCTGGATTTCTTCCGTAAGCGTGGCCGTCCGCCCGCGCTCCGCCATGGATTCGATGCCCGGGCGTGGCCTGGCCGCCCGCCTCCAGGAACGCCACGTCCGCGTTGTGAACGCCGCCGATCAGCGGCGAGAAGTGCGCGCCATCGGGAACGCCCCCAGGGGTGGCCTCGGCGGTCCAGGCACCTGTGAAGGTGATGGTATAGGTCGCCGAGGCGCCGGCGGCGGCCGCTTCGCCCGCCTGCGGGCTGAGCGACATGTCGTCCGACCCGTCGCCGTAAGCGCTGCAGCCCAGACCGAGCGGGGCGACCAGGAGGGCGGCGCAGGCCGCGACGAGGAATCGCGCGCCTGCTCTGACGGTGCGGCCTGGAGCTTGGTTCATCGTGTCTCGTCTCCCTCAGGTCACCTGAAAGCCGTGGGCGAAGGGGTCGGCCTCATCGACGAAGATGGTGTTGAGCCCGGTGACGCGCGCCCAACCTTCGATGCTCGGCACGATCGCGTCGTGATTGCCCACCTTCGTCGCGCTCTCGACGCGGCAGCGGAAGAGGCTGCCGATGATGCTCTCGTGCACGAACTCGTCGCCGGGCGCGAGCTTGCCCGTGGCCGCCCACTGCGCCATCCGGGCCGAGCTCCCGGTACCGCAGGGGGAGCGGTCGAGCGCGCCCGAGCCGTAGAAGACGGCGTTCCGGCCATGGGCGCTCGCATCCTGAGGCGCGCCCGTCCACATGACGTGACTCACGCCGGCAATCGACGGGTCATCGGGGTGAACGCACTCGACGACCCGGTTGCAGGCCTCGCGCAGGCCGGGGCTCATCGCCAGCAGCTCAGCCGCCGAGAACGCCTCCATGCCCTGACATAGCCCGGCTGGGGATCGACGATCGCGTAGAAAAGTTGCCGCCGTAGGCGATGTCCACCGTGATCGGACCGAGGCCGGGGCACTGCACAGAGACGCTCGTCTCCGCCAGGAAGCTCGGCACGTTGGTGATGCGCACCGCCTCCACACGCGCGCCGTCGCGCCGGTAGCGCGCCTCGACCCGGCCCGCCGGCGTATCGAGGATCAGGGTGCCCTCGGTGCGGGGGAGACGAGGCCGTGCTCGAGCGCGATGGTCACGGTGCCGATGGTGCCGTGGCCGCACATGGGCAGGCACCCGGTGGTCTCGACGAAGAGCAGCGCAAGATCGGCGTCCGCCGAGAGCGGCGGGTAGAGCACCGCGCCAGACATCAGGTCATGGCCGCGCGGCTCGTACATCAGCGCCCGGCGGATCCAGTCGTAGTCGCGGACGAAGTGCTGGCGCCGCTCGCTCATGGTGGCGCCCGCGAGCGCAGGCCCGCCGCCTGCCACCACCCGCACGGGATTGCCGCAGGTGTGGCCGTCGATACAGAAGAAAGTGTGGCGCGCGCTCATGGCTAGGCCTCGCCGGCGACCGCCACCCACTGCCCGGTGTCCGCAGCCTCGACCAGCGCCTCCATCACGGCGATGCAGTGCACGGCTTCGTCGGTCGTCACCGTGAACTGCGTCTCGCCGGCGCAGGCCGCGGCGAACTCGTCGAGCTCCAGCCTGAGCGTGTCGTTGGGCTCGATCGCTTCCTCGCGCCGGGTCCCGTCCGCCGCCTGGAGGGTGAGTTGGCTATTGTCGACCTGGGCAAACGCGTTGCCGCCGGTGCCGTAGACGTTGATGTAGGAGGTGTGGGGGCAGGCGAAGAGCGTGCCGAGATAGCCCGAAACACCGGACTCGAAGGCGAACAGCACCGAGGTCGTGTCGTCGATGTCGACCGGGACGGCGCGGCGGTAGGCCTGCGCCGCGACTCGCGCGATGGGCCCCAGCAGATAGACGAGGGCATCGATCATGTGGATGCCGAGCCCCGTGATCGAGCCGGCCGGGCTCTCTATGCGGTTGGAGCGCCAGTGCTCGGCCGTGTAGCTGAGCGCGCTCGGCACGGAGAAATTGGCCTCGGCGTGGAGGACGGTGCCGAAGTCGCCCGCCTCCAACATGGCCTTCAGCGCGCGGGTCGCGCTGTGCCAGCGCCGGTTCTGCCCGATCGCGAGTATCACGCCCGCCTCGGCACAGGCATCCACCGCGGCCTGCGCGCTCGCGCGGGTGAGCGTGAAAGGCTTCTCGCAGAAGACGTGCTTGCCGGCCGCCGCCGCCGCGATCGCCTGCTCGGCATGGATCGAATGCGGCGTGGTCAGAATGACCGCGTCGACCGAGCCATCGGCAAGCACCGCCTCGTAGGAGTCGTGCTGGGCCGTGCCGTATTTCGCGGCGAAGGCCGCGCGCCTTTCCTCGGACCGGGTGAAGCAGGTCACGATGCGGATTGCGTCCGACTTACCCTGTGCGGCGTCCGCGAGCTCGTCGGACCACCAGCCCATTCCGATTGAGGCCGCGCGTAGCATGGCTTACACCCGATCCTGTGAATCCTGCTCCGACACTAGCCCGGAATTCTCACCACGGCCAAGGTCTGCCGCGACGCATTCCGGCAGAGGCCGCTAGAGCGATGATGGAGGCCCTGGTGGGCGCCCGGCTGCACACGTCGCGAGGGGCTCGTCCCCGGTCGCGCCCTGTTGCTGGCGGACGGCACAATCCGCGACATCGTGGCCGACGACGCGGTCCCCGCCACCGCCCGCACCACGCGGCTCGCGGGCGGCACGCTCGCCGCCGGGTTCATCGACCTCCAAGTCAACGGCGGCGGCGGCGTGATGTTCAACGACGCGCCGACGGCGGCAACGATCGCGGCGATCGGTCGCGCCCATCGCGCCTTCGGCACCACGGGCTTCCTCGCGACCTTCATCTCCGGCGCGCGCGCCGACATGGCGCGGGCGGTCGCGGCGGTGCGCGAGGCGATGGACTCGGGCGAGCCGGGAGTCTCGGCATCCACTTCGAAGGGCCGCACATCAACCCCGCGCGCCGCGGGGCGCATGACGCGCGGGCGATCCGGCCGCCAGCCGAGGGCGACATCGACCTGCTCGCCTCGCTGGCGCGGGCCGCACCCTGGTGACACTGGCACCGGAGTGCGTGACACCGGCGGATATCGCCGCGCTTGCCGCACGCGGCGTCATCGTCGCCGCCGGTCACAGCGAGGCCAACGCCGACACGATGGACACGGCGATGGCGCACGGGCTCACCGGCGTCACCCACCTGTTCAATGCCATGGGCCCGCTCGGCCACCGGGAGCCGGGCGCGGCCGGCGCAGCCTCACCCGCGACCGCCTCGCCTGCGGCATCATCGCCGATGGCGTCCACGTGCACTGGGACGTGCTGCGCCTCGCCTGGCGCGCGAAACCCCGTGGCACGCTTTTTCTAGTCACCGACGCGATGGCACCGGTGGGTGCACCCGATGCGGGCGTGATCCGCATCGGCAACGAGACTGTGCGGACCGTGGGGGGTTGCCTGCGCTTGGCCGACGGCCGGCTCGCCGGCTCGCTGCTGAACATGGGGCAGGCGGTGAGAAACTGCGTCATGCACGCAGGCATCCCGCTCGCCGACGCGCTCGCCATGGCCGCCGCCTATCCGGCGGATTTCCTCGGCCTTGGCGAGAGCCGGGGTCGGCTCGCGCCAGGGCTCCGCGCCGATCTGGTCTGGCTCGACGATGACCTCCGCGTCCGCGCCACCTGGATCGGCGGCGCGCGCAGCGACACGCCGGAGGCGCGATAGACCGCAATGCACATCGGTATCGACATCGGCGGCACGAAGCTCGCCGCCATCGCCCTCGACGGCGACGGGTGGGAGCGCGCGCGCCTGCGCCAGCCGGTGCCCACGAGTTTCGACGGCGTGATCGACGCCGTCGCCGGGATCGTGGACCGGCTCGCAGCAGGGGGCGTGCGTGCGCCGAGCGTCGGCGTCAGCCTCCCCGGCATCATCACGCGCGGACGGCGAGATCAGCATGATCGTCAACCTGCCCTGGCTCGAAGGGCAGCCCCTGCGGCAAGCCCTGGAGGCGCGGCTCGGCTGCCCGGTCGCGCTCGCCAACGACGCCAACTGCTTCGCCCTCTCCGAGGCGACCGATGGCGCCGGCGCAGGGGCCGAGGTGGTGTTCGGGGTCATCCTCGGCACCGGCGTGGGCGGCGCACTGGTGGTGCGGGGCGAGGTCGTGGTGGGCGCCAACGCCACCGCCGGCGAGTGGGGTCACAACCCGTGGCCCACACCGGAGGGCGCCGGCGTGCCCTGCGCCTGCGGGCGCTTCGCCCAAGGCTGCGTCGAGACCTGGCTCAACGGGGCGGCGCTCGCGCGCGACTACGCCGCGCTCGGCGGGGCGAGGCCACGGCCGAAACCATCGCCGCACGGGCGGCAACGGGGGACGCACAGGCGGTGGACGCCGTGGCCGGCTATGCCGAGCGCCTGGCCCAAGCGCTCGCCGCCGTCATCAACCTGCTCGACCCCGACGTGATCGTGCTGGGCGGTGGTCTTTCGGAGATCGCAGCACTCTATCGCCTGGTGCCCGCCGCCTGGGGCGCGCACGCGAGCGTGACAAGGCCCGCCACCCGGCTCGTGCGCGCGCGATTCGGGCCGGAGAGCGGCCTGCGCGGCGCCGCGCGGCTCACGCCTCGCGCGATTAGTGAAGTTGCGGAGTCTTGAGGAACGCGTCGCGGGTGGCGCTCAGCACCCGCACCTCGTGGTGCTCGCCGTCTCGCATGACGGTAAGCGGCACGGCGACGCCCGCCTTGCCCACCGCCCAGACGCTGCGGAAGAGCTCGACGAGGCTGCTGACCGGCTGACTGTTCACCGCGAGTACCTGATCGCCGACCTGCAGCTCAGCCTGCTCGGCCGGCCCTTCCGGCGCGAGGCCGGCGACGACAAGCGCCTCGTCGACCTCGGTGACGTAGGCGCCGAGCCAGGGTTTGGGCGGGCGCTGGGTGCGCCCCAGCGTTTGCATGTCGTCGAGGATCGGCGGCAACAGGTCGATGGGCACGATCATGTTGCCGTCGAGCGAGTCGGCCCCGCCGCCGCCGGCGTGGCGCACCAGCAGCGAGCCGATGCCGACGAGCCGGCCGTGGCGGTCGATCAGCCCGCTCCCGCCCCAGTTGGGATGCGGCGGCGTGGTGAAGATGGCCTCGTCGAGCACATACTCCCAATAGCCGGCGAACTCGCGTTTGGCCGTGACACGGGAATTGAGGGAATGCCGCCGGCCGCCTTCGCCGGCGACGATCACGAAATCGCCGACCTCGAGGGCGGCCGAGGAGCCGATTTCGAGCGCCGGCACATTGAAGCGGCCGAGCGCCTGCACCAGGCCGAACCCCGATTCGAAGTCGTAGCCCAACGCATGGCCCGCAAGCACGCTGCCATCGCTCGCCGTCAACCAGACCGATTCCGCCTCGGCGATCAGGTAGCCGATGGTGAGCACAAGGCCGCTCGCGCTGATGAGGATCCCGTTGCCGGTTCTCTCCGTCCCCAGAATCCCGGCGGTGAACGCGTCTTCCGGGATGGTTGCGCGCAGGCCCACAACCGCGCCGAGCGCGCTGTCGAGGTCGAAGGACACCTGCTCCGGCTTCGGCTGCGCCGAGAGCGGTATTTCCCAATCGAACTCGTCACTCATGCCGTCGGCCCCTCGACTGCTCGACAAAACTATCCCGCCCCCGCCGCACCCTGGCAAGGGGGCGCATCGCACCGGTCGAGCCGTCAGTGGCAGATCAGCGCTCATTGGGGCGAGAGGCCGCTCGGGAGCAGCATGTCGAAGGGAATGCCGTTAACGGTGACGCCGCCGTCGCGGCGCAAGTCGATCTCATAGGCGTAAAATGGCTCGTCCGCACCCTCCTCGAAAACCGGCCTGCCGAGACCCTGGAGGACGATCAGCAACGCCACCGCGTCCTCCTCCCCCTCCCCCGCAGCCAGCGCCATGAGAGAGCTCAGCCCCCGAATGCGGGCATCCAAGCGGCCGATGATGCCGAAGAGGCTGGCCGGCTCGACCTGGAACCGGCCATCGGCACGGAGCTCGTATGACGGCGCAGCCACGTGGATGTCCCGAAGCTCGAATGCGGAATCCGCCGCGTCCAGATGCGCGAGGACGGTATCCGCTATCGATCCACGTTTGGGGCTCGCGGGTTTGATCTGACGGGGAAGGCGCGGAGAGCGCCTCGGCGATCCGCCGAAGCGGCAATCGCTCCAGGGCGATATCGATGGTCGCCGCATGGGGCATGAGCGCGGGCGGGATCTCGGCGGTGGCCTCTCCGCCGAGCCGAAGGTCGGCGACCGCGATTCGCGTGGCGAGGCCTGCGAGGTCCGTTCGTCCGTCGAGATCGACCCGCCACTCCAGCCGGCCGAGCGAAAGTTCGCCGCCATCGGTCAAGCCGGTGCCGTCGTCGGTCGCCGTCAAGTCCTGCAACACGACCGAAAACTCGGACCGCCCCCAGCGCCCGCCGATGAGGGGCGTCAGAACGTCCGCGAGCGCCGTCGGCCCGCCCATACCGCCTGTGAACGAGCCGACGTCCCCGCGCGTCTGCAGGATCAAATCGCGATCGAAGTCCTCGAAGCTGCCCGCGATCTCGACCCGGCCCAGGGTGACACCCTCGCCCTCCAGGTCGGACAGACTGAGCATGGAGCGGCCGTCCCAAAGCCCGTCGGCGCCCTCGACCAGCTCGTCCGCGACGGCGAGCGCCCCCAGTGACATTGTCTCCACCGCATCCGACCCCGTGCCTTCGAAGAGCCGAAGGTTGGCGGCATTGGCCTCCAGGTTGGTCGTGATCTCCAGATCGGACCGCCACGTGCCGGAGACTGCGCCCCCGCCAATCGCCAGTCTCTCTCGCCCCTTGTCGATCATCGCCGGCAGCGCGGCCTCGAAGTCGTAGGCAATTTCGCTCCGTGGTGTCACCCGCGATGGCAAGGTCGCCGAGCGCCCACTGGATGTGGGGCGCGGAGGGCTCCACGAGCCTCGCGCCGGGAAGATGGAGGGTGACGGTGCCTTCCCGCTCCTCCGCCCACAGCGGCGCATCGAGCGTGAGCCGGATCGTCTCGGAGCCGGAACCGAAGCGCTCCTCCAGCCAATCGGCGACGGGAAGGACGATCCGCCCGGCCGTGCTGTCGGGATCGACCGGTGCGACGGGGATCGTGCGCGCAGCGGGTCCGGCCGCGCCCTCCTCCAGCGCCGCAAGGGCGGCCGCGACCGGCAACGCCGCACCGACAAGGGCCAGAATGCAGACCAAGCCGGCGGCTGCCAGGGTCCGTCTTGCAGTCTCCATTCCCCAAGCCACCGCGATCAGTCGGTCCGCGGGATGTCTTCCGTCGGCGTCGTGATGGACGTGTAGAGGTCGGGGCGGCGGTCGCGAAACATTGGCCAGGCGCGGCGGGCCTCGAAGACACGGGCACGGTCGAGGGTCGCCGTGATCGTCTCGTCGCCTTCGTCGCCCGCTTCGGCCAGCACCTCGGAATCGGGGGCGACGATCATGCTGCGCCCGCCGAAGGTCCACTCCCCTTCCAGCCCCCACCTTGTTGCAGGGGGCGAAATAGACGCCGTTCTCGAAGGCGCGGGTCCGCATGGTCTCGCGCCAGCAGGCGATGGGCGGGCAGGCGAAGGGGACCACGATCAGCTCGGCGCCGTTGACCGCGGTGCAGCGCGCGGACTCGGGAAAGAACGTGTCGTAGCAGATGTTTATGCCGACCCGCCAGTCGCCGATCCTGAACACGGGGAAGTGCGAGCCGTAGCGGAAATAGATCTTCTCCAGGCTGCGGACCGCCGCCGGATGAGCCTTGCGGTAGCGGCCGAGAATCTCGCCCGAAGGGTCGATCACGATGGCGCTGTCGTAGCAGATGCCGGCGGATTCTGCCTCGAAGATCGTGGCGACAATGTGGATGCCGTGCTCGCGTGCCTTGGCGCGCATGGCCGAGATGGCGATGCCGTCCGCGCTCTCCGCCTCGTCGATATGCCGGTAGTCGCGATACTGGAAGACATAGGGGTGGTTGAAGAACTCCGGCACGACCACGAGATCGGGCAACTCGGCCGCAACGGCCCGGTCGATATGGGTCGCTGCGCGGGCCACGTTCTCCGCATGGTCGGGCGTGCTGTTCATCTGGATCAGGCAGAGTTTCATCGCCCCCTACTCCGTGCTATCCCGCCCCAAGGCGCGGCTCAGCCTAGCCCGGAATTCTCTCCGCGGCCATGCGCCGGCAACGAAAGGGATGGACCCCATGAGCGAGGGCGTACTGACCACCGCCGTCGTCGGCAGCTATCCGCAGCCGGACTGGCTCGTCGACCGGGACAATCTGGTGAACCGCTTGCCGCCCCGCGTGCGTGCGCATGAGATGTGGCGCATCCCGCCCGAGCATCTGGAAGAGGCGCAAGAAGCGGCGACGCTGGCCGCGATCAGGGATCAGGAACGGGCGGGCCTCGACGTCATCAGCGACGGCGAGATCAGGCGCGAGAGCTATTCCAACCGGCTCGCCACGGCGCTCGGCGGCATCGACAAGGAGCGGACGGGCACGCACATGGACCGGACCGGGAATCCCGCGTCCGTCCCCCTCGTCTCAGGGCCGATCCGGCGCGAGCGCCCGGTCGAGGTGGAGGACGTCAAGTTCCTGCGGGCCAACACGGATCGCACGATCAAGATTACTGTGCCCGGCCCCTTCACCATGACCCAGCAGGCGGAAAACGCCTATTACCCGGACGACGAAAGCCTCGCGATGGCCTATGCGGAGGCTGTCAACGAGGAGATCAAGGACCTCTTCGCCGCCGGCGCCGACATCGTGCAGCTCGATGAGCCCTATGTGCAGGCCCGGCCCGAGCCGGCGCGCGCCTATGCGGTGAAGGCGATCAACCGGGCGCTGGAGGGCGTGGACGGCAAGACCGCGCTGCATCTCTGCTTCGGCTACGCCTACGCGGTTCACGACAAGCCCAGCGGCTATTCCTTCCTGCCGGAGCTGGAGGCTGCGGCGGTGGACCAGATCTCCATCGAGGCGGCCCAGCCGGGCCTCGACCCGGCGGTGCTCGCTCACCTGCCGTCGAAGGAAATCCTCTACGGCGTGATCGACATGAACGATCCCGCCATCGAGCGGCCGGAGACCGTGGCGGCGCGGCTGCGCGAGGCGCTCGCGGTGGTGCCGGCGGACCGCCTCGTCGCGGCGCCGGATTGCGGCATGAAATACCTCGCGCGGCAGACCGCCTTCGGCAAGCTCCAGGCGATGGTGGAGGGCGCCGCCATCGTCCGCCGCGAAGTCGCAGGTTAGATCACACGCCCTCGCGCGCCCGCCTTCGTCGCGGGTGGCGAGCGCGACCATCGCATTCGAGCAGCACGTCGCAACCGGCGGCGATGTCGGCCTGCGTGGCGGCCTCGATCTCGTTGTGGCTGATGCCCGTCCTCGCAGGGGATGAAGATCATGCCGGTGGGCGCGACGCGCGACACGTAGACCGCGTCGTGGCCAGCGCCCGAGGTGATCGGCCTGCTCGCATAACCCAGGGTCTCGGCCGCGTTCTGCACGGCGCCGACGCAATCGGCGGCGAACTTCACCGGCGGCGAGTGCCAGATCTCCTCGACCGTGATCTCCAACCCGCGCTCGGCGGCGATTTCCTCTGCATGGCGCCGGGCGTCCGCGGTCATGGCCGCCAGCGTGTCGGCGTCGGGGTGGCGCAGGTCGATCGAGAAGTAGACGGAACCCGGGATGACGTTGCGGGAATTCGGGCTCACCCGCATCACGCCGACGGTCGAGCGGCCGTCCGGCGCATTGTCGAGCGCGAGTTGGTCGATCGCCGTTACCAGCTTGGCGGCAGCCGACCAGGGCATCCCGGCGGCGCTCCATCGGCGTCGTGCCGGCGTGGGATTCCATGCCCGTCACCGACACGTCGAACCAGCTGATGCCTTGCACCCCCTGCACGATACCGATGGTCTTCTCCTCCGCTTCGAGGATCGGCCCCTGCTCGATATGGGCTTCGAAGAAGGCGCCGACCTCGCGCCCGCCGCATTCCATCTCGCCGGCGTAGCCGATGCGCTCCAGCTCCTCGCCGATGGTCTTGCCGTCGACGTCCGCGCAGGCCAGGCCTTCCTCCAGCGTGAACGCGCCGCCGAAGACGCCGGACGCCACCATCGCCGGCGCGAAGCGCGAGCCTTCCTCATTGGTCCAGGCCGAGACCTCGATGGGTGCGTCGGTCTCGATAGCCGAGGTCGTTGAGGGTGCGGATCACTCGAGGCCCGCGAGCACGCCGTAGATGCCGTCGAACTTGCCACCCGTCGGCTGGCTGTCGATGTGGCTGCCGGTCATCACCGGCGGGAGCGTCTCGTCCGTGCCAGCCCGGCGGGCGAAGATGTTGCCCATCTTGTCGACGCTGCACGGCGCAGCCGGCCTCCCCGCACCACTGGACGAAGAGATCGCGCGCCGCCTTGTCCACGTCGGTGAGCGCGAGCCGGCAGACGCCGCCCTTCTCCGTCGCGCCGATCTTCGCCATCTCCATGAGGCTCGCCCACAGGCGATCGCCATCGACCTTGATGTTCCGCACCGTCCCGCTCCGTCGCTGTCGTCAACCGCAAGGTGTCTATTATAGAGCGCCCCGCCAATCGCAAGAGGAGAGGGCGCCGGCCCATGGCCGTTCCGATGCAGCCAGACGTCCTGCCCGATGTGCTGGACCCCGGACTCAGCATCGTCTTCTGCGGCTCGGCGGCGGGCGCGGCCTCGGCGCGTGCCGGCGCCTACTATGCCGGCCCCGGCAACCGCTTCTGGCCGACGCTCTACCGCGTGGGGCTCACCCCGCGAATCCTTGCGCCGACAGATTTCTGTACCGTGCGGCGCTACGGCATCGGGCTTACCGATCTTTGCAAAACGGAGGCCGGCTCGGACGTAAGCCTATCGGGCCAAGCCGACGATGCGGCGGCACTCGCCGCGAAGATCGCCCGGTATCGGCCGGCTGTCCTGGCTTTCAACGGCAAGCGGGCGGCGGGCGTCTTTCTCGATACCGCGATCATCGACTATGGAGAGCAGCCGCGGCGCATCGGCGAGACCGCGATCCACGTGCTGCCGTCCACCTCCGGTGCCGCGCGGCGCTGGTGGGACGAGGCCTTCTGGCGCAGAGTGGCGGAAGCGGCGCGCAAGGCATGAGGAAGGGAGCGATGGCGATCAGCAGCGAAACGATCGGGCGGCTGAACGAGGAATGCCAGCGCATCCCGCTTGCGGACGAGCGGGTCGCCGAGCTCCCGATCGAACTCGGCCAATTGCATGCGGCGGTCGAGGCCGCGCGGCCCGACCACGACTTCGACCGGCTGCCCGCCTCCTTCGAGCAAGCGCTGCACGCGTTGAGGACCACTGACGGCGGTGCGCAAGCGGACGCCGACACGGCCACCGCGACTGACGCCGGCACAGCAAAGTCGCGGCCGGGGGCTCAGACGAGATCGCGGCACTCAGCCTTTGCGAGGCGGCGGATGCCGTTGCGAGCGGCCAACTCTCCGCCACCGATCTGGTGGAGGCGGCGCTCGCGCGCATCGACCGGCTGGACGCCGAACTCCACGCCTTCGTCCGCCTCGAGGGCGACGACGCGCTGACCCGGGCGCGGGAGATCGACCGGAACCGGGGCCGCGGCGAGGCGGCGGCCGCTCGCGGGCGTGCCGCTCGCCCACAAGGACATGTACTACCGGGCCGGCAAGGTCTCGAGCTGCGGCTCCCGGATCAGACGCGAATTCCGCCCGGCTACGACGGCCACCGTGCTCGACCGCCTCGACGCGGCCGGTGCCATCGACTTGGGCGGCCTCGCCATGGTCGAGTTCGCCATGGGGCCCCACGGCTTCAACGCCCATCTGCCGCGCTGCCGCAATGTCTGGGATTTTGGGCGCATCCCCTGCGGCTCATCCTCGGGCTCGGGCACGGCGGTCGCCGGCCGCCTGGTCTACGCGGCGCTCGGCTCCGACACCGGCGGCTCCATCCGCTGCCCGGCGGCGGCCAACGGCGTCGCCGGCATCAACCCCACGCAGGCCCGGGTCAGCCGTTTCGGCTGCATGCCGATGTCGTGGTCGCTCGACGTGATGGGGCCGCTGGCGCGAACGGTGCGGGACTGTGCCCGCGTGCTCGGCGCGATCGCAGGCGCAGACGAGAACGACGCCACCACGAGCGCCGAGCCGGTGCCCGACTACGAGGCGACGCTGGAGCAGAGCGTGCACGGCGTGCGCATCGGCATTCCTGCGGGCTATTTCGACGAGGACCTCGATCCGGGCGTGGCTGCCGCGATCGAGGCCACGCATGCGGTCTTCACGGGCCTCGGCGCGAGCCCTGGTGCCGGTCGCCATGCCGGCGCTGCTCGATACCGTGTCCGCGATCCACCCGCTGTTGATGAAGGCCGAGGGCGCGGCCAACCACCTGCCCTGGAAGCGCGAGCGCGACGCGGAGTATTCCGACGAGGTGGGCAAGCGCCTGCAGGCGGGCTTCTTCATCCCCGCGACCGACTACATCAACGCCTTGCAGTACCGCGCCCATGCGCTCCGGGTCTTCATGGACGCTGTGTTCGGCGCCTGCGATGCCCTGCTGGCCCCGGTGCTGCCGATGCCGACGCCGACGCTCGCGGACACCGCCTACCGGGACGGGCCCGCCTATCTCAAGATGGTCGTGGGGCTGACGCGCAACACGCGGGTGGTGAACTACCTCGGCCTGCCGGCGCTGAGCGTGACCTGCGGCTTCACGCCCGACGGGATGCCGACCTCGTTCCAGCTCATCGGCCGGCCCTTTGCCGAGGCGTTTCTGTTCCGCCTCGGCCATCAATATCAGCGCGAGACGGACTGGCACCGGCGCTGGCCTGCCGCGCTCCCGGCCTGAGTTTAGCAGGCACAGCCGAGGCGGGATGCGGCGGCGCGTGATCGGCCGGGCCGGGTGGGGGCGCACCGCGCTCTGCGCCATTGTGGGCTTCGTCTATTTCCTGCCGGTGCTTTGGATCGTACTCACTGCGTTCAAGAGCCCGCGCGACATTCTCAGCTCGACGCTCGCCTTCACGCCGACCCTGGACAACTTCGCCAACATCTTCGCGCGCGTGCACTACCAGGGCGGCGCGCTGATCGAGACCGGGTTCGAGCTCTACTTCGTGACAGCATCGTGGTCTCGGGCGCGAGCGTCGGGCTCGCGCTCATCCTCGGCACCGGCGCGGCCTACGGCTTCTCGCGCTGGCCGCTCAAGGGCAACGACACCTACCTGCTCGTGGTGCTGACCGCGCGGATGCTGCCGCCCATCGTCCTCATCATCCCGCTCTTCGTGATCTTCCGCATGACCGGGCTGGCCGGCAGCTACCTCGGCATCATCCTGCTCTACACCGCGTTCAACCTGCCCTTCGCCATCTGGATGATGAAGAGCTTCTTCGACGACCTGCCGCGCGAGGTGGAGGACGCCGCGCGGACCGACGGCAGCTCCGAATGGCGGGTCTTCTTCCGCGTCTGCCTGCCGCAGGTGAAGGCCGGCATTGCCGCGACGGCGACGCTCGGCCTGATCCTCACCTGGAACGAGTTCCTGATGGCGTTGCTGCTCACGGGGCCGGAGACGCGGACCGTCCCGGTCGGCATGGGGGCCAGCCTCGGCAGCGGCAGCGGCGTGGACTGGGGCAGGCTCGCTGCGATCGAGACGCTCTTCCTGATCCCGGTGGTCCTGGTGACCTTCGTCCTCCAGAACCAGCTGCTCAGGGGCGTGACCTTCGGCACCATCACGCAAGGGCGCCGCGTCGCGCTAGCCAGAAAGCCTCACCCGGTAATGGTCGGCTAAGTCCTGGCTGCTCCCCGGACCATGGTGCGGTGCACCGCACCCGGCCTCTGCATCAGGATCGAGCCATGCAACGCGAGGGCGAACGGAGCATGGCAGGCGCGAATGTCCGCAATCCTCACCAGAGTCGGGTCTTGCGCTGGGGGCACCTGTCCCGCGGAATCCCACTTAATCCCACTTAATCCCGGCGAATCCCGCTCAAAAATTTGTCCCGCATCTCGGGACCGGACACTGCGCGAGGCGGATGGCAGGGCCGGACCGCGACAGTGGCGAGAAGCCCGCGCTGAGTGGGCGCAGCCCGCGCCGTCTACGCCGGGTGCCGATGCTCTACGGCTGCCGGGCGCAGTGCCGGTAGGTCTCGGGCCGGCGGTCGCGGAAGAACTGCCACGTGTCGCGGACCTCGCGGATCTGGTCGAGGTCGAGCTCGGCGACCACCAGCTCGTCGTCCTGGTCGCCGCCCTGCGCCAGGATCTCGCCGCGCGGGTTGCAGAAGTAGCTGGAGCCGTAGAACACGTGGTTGCCGAGGCTGGGCTCGGTGCCGACCCGATTGTTGGTGCCGATGAAGATGCCGTTTGCGATGGCCGCACCCACCTGCTCCAGGTTCCAGATGTGATCGCTCACGCCCCGGAAGGTCGCCGACGGATTGAACACCAGCTCGGCACCGTTCAGCGCGAGCGCGCGCCAGCCCTCGGGGAAGTGGCGGTCGTAGCAGATATAGACCCCCACTCGGCCGACGGCGGTGTCGAACACCGGGTAGCCGAGGTCGCCGCCTGCGAAATAGTGCTTTTCGTCGAAGCCATCGATCTTGGGAATGTGAATCTTGCGGAACTTGCCGAGGTAGCTGCCGTCCGCATCGATCACCGCGGCGCAGTTGTAGAGCGTGCCGCTGCGATCGCGCTCATAGACCGGCGAGACGATGACCATGCCGTGCGTCTTCGCCGCCGCGCACATCGCCTGAGTTGTCGGCCCGTCCGGCACCGCCTCGGCGGATTCGAACCACCTGTCGTCGATGGTGGCGGGGAAGTAGGGCGCGTTGAACACCTCCTGCAGCCCCAGGACCTGCACGCCCTGCCGCGCCGCCTCCTCGATCAGCGGCATGTGGGCCGCGATCATGTTGTCGCGGATGGTCTCGATGGAATCGGTAGCCGGGTCCCCTTTCAGGTTCATCTGAATGAGGGCCGCCTTGACCTTGCGCATCGCCGGGCCTCCTCTCGCTCGCTCGCCCGCTCAGACCTGCCAGGACGCGACGGCGCCGTAGGTGTCGGGCCGGCGGTCGCGATAGAAGTTCCACGCGTCGCGCACCTCGCCGATCATGGCGAGATCGAGGTCGGCGGTGACCAACGCGTCCTTATCGTCCGGCCCCTGGTTCAGAATCTCGCCGCGCGGATTGCAAAAATAGCTGGAGCCGTAGAAGTGGCCGTTATTCCACGGCGGCTCCATGCCGACGCGGTTGTTGGCGCCGATATAGACGCAGTTCGCGACCGCCGCCGCCGGCTGCTCCAGGGTCCAGAGATGGTCGCTCAGCCCCCGCACGGTCGCAGACGGGTTGAAGATCACCTCGGCTCCGTTCATGGCGAGCTCGCGCCAGCCTTCGGGGAAGTGCCGGTCGTAGCAGATATAGACGCCGACCTTGCAGAACGCGGTCTCGAACACCGGATAGCCGATGTCGCCGGGCTTGAAGTAGAACTTCTCGCAGAAGCCCACGACGTGGGGGATGTGGATCTTGCGGAACTTGCCGAGGTAGCGCCCGTCCGCGTCGATCACGGCGGCGGTGTTGTAGTAGACGCCGGTCTGGGCCTCCTCGTAGACCGGCACCACCATCGCCATGCCGAGGCGCGCCGCCTCCGCCCGCATCCGCTGGATCGTCGGCCCGTCGGGCACCCGCTCGGTGGCGCGGTACCACCGCTTGTCCTGCTCCGCGCCGACGTAGGGCAGGTTGAAGAGCTCCTGGAGCCCCAGCACCTGCACGCCCTCGCGCGCCGCCTGCTCGATGAGGGGCAGGTGGGCTGCGATCATCTTCTCGCTGATCTGCTCGGGCGTATCGCTCTCGACGTCGCCCTTGAGGCTCATCTGTATGAGCCCGGCCTTCACCACCGCCATCGCCACAACTCCCCTGCCGCCAAGTCCCGGCAGCCTAGCCCGGATTTCTCACCAATGTCATGGTCCGTGCGGCGCTCTCCGGCCGACAGGGTCGGAACGGCGCACAGCGCGTAGCAGGGATACGCGCCTCCGGCCCGCTTCCGATCCTGCGCGCCTCTGGCGTGCCTTCGATTCCGCGCGCCTCTGGCGTGCCTTCGATTCCGCGCGCCTCTGGCGCGACACCTGTCATCCCACAGCTCTCTGCGTCTCGCTCACGGACGCCTTGAGATGTTCCCCATTTGTGATACGTTAGGGCGGAAGAGGAGAGAACCCATGGCCAAGACGGAAATGATCCGTGCCCGCGTCGAACCTGCCCTCAAGCACGAGGCCGAAGCGGTGTTCTCCCAGCTCGGGTTGTCGACGACCGAGGCGGTCACGTTGTTCTACAAGCAGGTGACACTGCATCGCGGCCTGCCTTTCGCGGTAAAGCTCCCCAACGCTGAGACGCGCGAGGCGCTGAAGCAGGCTCATGAGAACGAGAACCTCACGGAATACGACGGTGTGGAGGACCTGAAGGCCGCGCAAAGTTGATCCATGCGGCTGCTCACAACGCGACGGTTCGAACGAGACCTGAAGCAATCGAAGAGGCGGGGCAAGAACCTCGACAAGCTGTGGACCGTCGTCGAGCTGCTCTTGCAGGAACAGCCGCTCGATCCTCGTCACAGGGTCCATCGCTTGTCAGGCGAGTGGTCCGGCTCCTGGGAGTGCCATATCGAAGCTGACTGGCTGCTGATCTGGCATAGCCGCGACGACGCCCTGGTGCTCGTGAGAACCGGCACCCATTCCGACCTGTTCGGCTGATCGGCCACGGTCGCCAGAGCGTTTCCGCCGTTCGCGGGAACGCTCTCGCCTCTTATCGCTCACGGCAGCCGGCTTCCGGCCGCCGCGCTACGACATCATGGGGAAGGAGAGGTCGACGCCCGAGCGGATGCCGGTCGGCCAGCGCGAGGTCACGGTCTTGAGCTTGGTGTAGAAGCGCACGCCCTCCATGCCGTGCATGGCGTGGTCGCCGAAGAGCGAGCGCTTCCAGCCGCCGAAGCTGTGATAGGCGACCGGCACGGGGATCGGCACGTTGACGCCCACCATGCCGATCTCGACCTGGTTCGCGAACTCGCGCGCGGCGTCGCCGTCGCGGGTGAAGATCGCCACCCCGTTGCCGAACTCGTGCTCGTTCACCATCCGAAGCGCGGCATCGTAGTCGGGCGCGCGGACCACCGAGAGCACCGGCCCGAAGATCTCCTCCTTGTAGATGCGCATGTCGGGCGTGACCCGGTCGAAGAGGCAGGGGCCGATGAAATAGCCGTTCTCGTAGCCCTGGAGGGCGAGGTCGCGGCCGTCCACCACCAGCTCGGCGCCTTCCTCGACGCCGATGTCGACATAGCTGCGGACCTTGTCGTAGTGCGCCTTCGTCACCAGCGGCCCCATGTCGGCCTCGCCGTCGGTCCCGGGCCCGACCTTGATGCTGTCGATCTTGGGCTTCAGGTCCTCGATCAGCGCGTCGCCCACCTTGTCGCCGATCGCGACCGCGACCGAGACGGCCATGCAGCGCTCGCCGGCGGAGCCGTAGGCCGCGCCCGATGAGGGCGTCGCTCGCCATCGTGAGATCGGCGTCCGGCATGACGACCGCGTGGTTCTTGGCGCCGCCCAGCGCCTGCACCCGCTTACCGTGGGCGCAGCCGGTCTGGTAGACGTATTCGGCGATGGGCGTGGAGCCCACGAAGCTCACCGCGGCGATGTCCGGATGCGTGAGGATGGCGTCGACCGCCTCCTTGTCGCCGTGGACGACGCTGAACACGCCGTCGGGGAGGCCGGCCTCCTTCAACCATTCGGCGAGCATCATCGAGGCCGAGGGATCCTTCTCCGACGGCTTCAGGATGAACTGCATTGCCGCAGGCGATGGCCACCGGGAACATCCACATCGGCACCATGGCGGAAGTTGAAGGGCGTAATGCCGGCGACCACGCCGAGCGGCGCACGGGTCGAGAAACTGTCGACGCCAGTGCCCACCGCCTCGGTGTAATCGCCCCGCAGCAGGTGCGGGATGCCGCAGGCGAACTCCAGCACCTCGAGCCCGCGGCTCACCGAGCCGATCGCGTCCGACAGCACCTTGCCGTGCTCCCGCGTCACCACCTTGGCCAGCTCTTCCTTGCGGCTTTCGACCAGCTCCTTGAAGGCGAAGATGACCCGCGCCCTGCGCAACGGCGGCGTGGCGGCCCAGGCGGGCTGCGCCTCCGCCGCGGCGCGCACGGCACTGTCGACCTCGGACGCCGCGGCGAAGGGCACGCGCGCGATCACCTCGCCGGCAGCCGGGTTGTAGACATCGCCGAAGCGCGCAGACGCGCCGGCTTGGGCGGCACCGTTGATCCAGTGAGTGAGCGTTGCAGTCATCGTGGTCCCCCGATTCTCGTCGGTTCGTGGAGCAGCTAGGCGGCGAGCGCCTGATCCGGCGCGAGATAGTCGTGGCCGAGGTCGAGCGCGACCGCCTCGTGGGTGATGCGCCCGCGGCAGACATTGAGGCCGTGCATGAGGTGCGGGTCGCCGCGCATGGCCTGGCGCCAACCGTTCCCCGCGAGCGCGAGCACGAAAGGCAGCGTTGCATTGCTCAGCGCGAAGGTCGAGGTGCGGGCCACGGCGCCCGGCATGTTGGTGACGCAATAGTGCAGGACGTTGGCCACCTTGTAGGTGGGCTCGGCATGGGTTGTCGGCCGGCTGGTCTCGAAGCAGCCCCCTTGGTCGATCGCCACATCGACCACGACGGCGTTGCGGCGCATCTCGTCCAACATGTCGCGGCGCACCAGCTTTGGCGCGGCGGCACCGACGACGAGCACCGCACCGATCACCAAGTCGGCATTGTGCACCGTCTCTTCGATGGCGAGGACGGTCGAGTAGAGAGTCGTCGCGCTGGCCCCGAAAATCTCGTCGAGCTGACGGAGCCGCGGGATCGAACGGTCGATGATCGTGACCCTCGCCCCCATGCCCACCGCCATGCGCGCCGCGTGGGTGCCCACCACGCCGCCGCCGAGTATCACCACGTCGGCGGGCGGCACGCCGGGGACTCCGCCGAGCAGAACGCCGCGCCCACCCTGTTCCTTCTCCAGGCAATGGGCGCCGGCCTGGATCGACATGCGGCCCGCGACCTCGCTCATCGGCGCGAGAAGCGGCAAGCCGCCGCGCGCATCGGTCACGGTCTCGTAGGCGATGGCAACGCAGCCGGAATCGATCAGCGCGTTGGTCTGGACAGCGTCGGCCGCGAGGTGGAGATAGGTGAACAGCACCTGATCGCCCCGCAGCATGGCGCACTCCGCCGGCTGGGGCTCCTTCACCTTCACGATCATCTCCGCGGTGCCGTAGATCTCAGCCACCTCGTCGACCACTTGGGCGCCCGCCCGTTCGTAGTGCTCGTCGAGGAGCCCGATCTCCGTGCCGGCATCCCGTTCGACCATGACCCGGTGGCCGTGCTGCACGAGCTCGCGCACCCCTGCCGGCGGAACGCCGACGCGATATTCGTGAATCTTGGTTTCCTTGGGAACGCCGATCAGCATGGCCGTTCTTTCCCCAATGAACGATTAAACCCGCCGCGACCGGCGGCGAGGCCGGCGCAGCGCAGCCGGCGTCGCCGGCGGTTAGCTTTCGGCCGCTTCCGGCTGAAGCGTGCCTGCCGATCCGCTGCCTTCGCCGGACATGCCGGGATCGGCCGGGGCAGGTTCGCCCGGCTCGGCTTCAGGGGCGGCCGGTGGCGCGTCTTCGACCGGCTGTGCCGGCGTCGCCTCGGCTGCTGCGGCTGCTGCGGCCGCAGCCGCCGCGGCGGCGGCCTTTTCATCCCGAGCCGCAGCCTTCGCGGCGGCGGCCTTTTCATCCCGAGCCGCCGCCCGCTCGGCCTTGGCGCGTGCTTTTCGCACCGCATCGAGGAGCTCCGCCTCGTTGCAGATACCCAGCAGAATCGGGTCCTGCGGCGTGATGTTGGGCGTGTTCCAGTGCGTTCGCTCACGCACCGCGGTGATCGTTGCCTTGGTGGTGCCGAGCAGCTTGCCGATCTGCGCGTCGCTCAGCTCGTCATAGTTCTTGAGCAGCCAGGAGATGGCGTTGGGCCGATCCTGCCGCTTGCTGACCGGCGTGTAGCGCGCGCGCCGGGCGCGCTGCGGGACCTCCGCAACCGGGCCGATGGCTTCCAGCCTGAGCGACGAATCCTGCTCGCAACGCTGGATCTCCTCACGGGTGACCTGTCCGTTTGCGATGGGATCGAGGCCGCGGATGCCGATCGCGACCTCTCCATCGGCGATGCCCTGCACCTCGAGCGGATGCAGGCCGCAGAACGCCGCGATCTGATCGAACGTAAGGGTGGTGCTGTCGACCAGCCATACGGCCGTGGCCTTGGGCATCAGCAGTTCGGCCATCTTGTTCGTTCCTTCCCCTGCCGCCCGCGCGCAGGCACGCCGTAACCGACGGGCCCGCACATGGCTGCATGTGAAACGGTCGGTATATCGCCTAGATGTAGGGAGCGCAAAGCCGCAATGCACTGGTCTTTACCGCGAGTTGCGCTCCAGCAGGATCTTTCCGATGTGCTGCCCGTCCTCCATTCGCGCGTGAGCCGCCGCCGCCTGTTCGAGCGGGAGCCGGCAGTCGATCACCGGCCGGACCAGCCCCGATTCGACGAGCGGCCAGACATTCTGCTCGAGCGACGCCGCGATGCGGGCCTTGCTCTCCACGCTCTGGGGCCTGAGCGTCGACCCGACGATGGAAAGTCGCTTGCGCATCAGAGAATTGAGGTCGATCTGGCATTTCGACCCTTCGAGAAAGGCAATCTGGGCCAATCTGCCCTCGGGCCGGAGCGTCGCGAGGTTGCGTTGCACGTAGCTGCCGCCCACCATGTCGAGCACGACATCGACGCCCTCGCCCCCGGTCAACTCCTTCGCCACGCTGACAAAATCCTCGCTCCGGTAGTCGATCGCCCGCTCGGCTCCGAGCCGCTCGCACGCAGCGCATTTTTCCGGCGATCCGGCGGTCGCGAAGACGCGAACGCCGAGCGCGGAGGCGATCTGGATCGCAGTCGTGCCTATGCCGCTGCTGCCGCCGTGGACGAGCAGCCGCTCGCCGGCGCGAAGCCGGGCGCGCTCGAAGAGATTGGTCCATACCGTGAAGCAGGTCTCGGGCAGGCCGGCGGCATCGGCAATCGAGAGCGCCGCCGGCACTGGAAGCGTCTGAGTCTCCGGGGCGACGCAATAGTCGGCATAGCCGCCGCCGTTGGTCAGCGCGCAGACCGCAGCACCAGCCTCGTAGCGGTGCGCGCCGGGGCCGTTTGCCACCACGTGGCCCGAGACCTCGAGTCCCGGAATGTCCGAGGCGCCGGGCGGGGGCGGATAGAGGCCCTGGCGTTGCATCGTATCCGGCCGGTTGACGCCGGCCGCCGTCACCTCGATCAGCACCTCGCCCAAGCCGGGCTCGGGCACCGGCCGCTGCGCCGGGCGCAAGACCTCGGGCCCGCCCGGTTCCGTGATCTCGATAACGGTCATTTCAGTGGGCGGCTTCGCCATGACGCCTCCAAACGGTTTGTGCGCGCGACTATACTCAAGCCGGCCCGGCCGGCGCAGGAGAAATGGGATGAACGAGGATGCGGTCCGTATCCCGCGTGAGCAGGCGTGGTCGCCGCGCGTGCTCGATGACCTGTCGGTGGACGCGCTCAGACGCCTATGCCGATCAGCTTGAAGAAGAGCTGGAGAGAGTGCGCGGCGCCATCCGGGCGAAGACGGACTATCTGAGCAAGGCGGACTCGCTGTTCAAGAGCTAGGCGCGTCCTGCCCGCTGGAGTCGGTAGGGGGCGCGGCTTCCGGCGCGCTCGACTCGGCCGGCGCCGACGGCGTCTGCTCTTCGCCCCCATCCAGCAGGGAGCGGATCGCGCCAAGCCCGACCGGGGCGCCGTCATGCTCGGCCATCGCATCGAGCAGCGCACCCCAGAGATAGACTGCAGATGCGAGTCGGTGATCAGGTCGAAGGCCGGCACTTGGCCGATGTCGCCCCGAATCACGATGACGTTGAGGCGGGCGACGTTGGTCTGGGCGATGGAGTCGGGCGCGAAGGACTGGGGCCTGAGGTCGACGGCGCAGACCTTGGCCATCATGGACGCCGCATGCGCGCCGGTGAGCAGCAGCCAGCAGCTCGTCTCGTCTCGCGCCACGCGGAAGCAGCCGTCGGCCTCCGCCATGCTCCAGGCCCGATCGAGGGTTTCGATCAGCGGACCTCCGCCCCTGCGGTCGGCAAGCACGAGCGCCTCGCCCGGCGCCAGCCGCGCGATGCGGGTGCCGTCGGCTGGCTGTAGGCCCGGTTGCTCGCCTCGCCCATCGCGGCGCCGGCGCCGGCGAGCCAGGGACCGGTATTCCATCCCTTGAAGCCGATGCGGGGGAACGGCGTGAGGTCGGCAAGGCCCAATGATTCCGCCTGGGTCGCCTCGTCGGCGGCGTCCCGCCCGAAGTCTCTTGCCACCGCGTAGCCACCCAGCGGCTCGAAGCGCGCGCCGTCTGCCGCGAGCGCGCGGTAGAGGGGCGAACGGCGGTCTGCTCCGTGGGCGTCGTCACCGTCAGAGCTCCTGCCGCGCGCCATCGGGATCGAAGAAGGGGAGCTTGGCCACCGTGGCATTCACCATGCGCCCGCCATCCACCCTGATCTCGATCGACTGTCCAGGCTCGCTCTGATCGGGCGCGACGTAGGCGAGGCCGATCACCTTGTCCAGGTTCGGCGAATAGGCGACCGACGTGACCCGCCCCGTGATCTCGCGGCCGCGGATCACCAGATGGCACTCCTTCGGCTGCTCGACGCCGACTCCCGGCATCTCGAACCCCACCAGCTTGCGGGTGAGCCCCTTCGCGGCCTGCATCCGCACCGAGCGGATGCCGACGTGGAAGGGCTTCTTCTTGGCAAGCGCCCAGGCCATGTCGGCCTCGTGGGGGGTGGTGAGGCCGTCGGTGTCCTGACCGATGATGATGTGGCCCTTCTCCAGCCTGAGCAGCCGCTGCGCCTCGACGCCGAAGGGCCGGATGCCGTGTTCCTTGCCGGCATCGAGCAGCGCGTCCCAGAGCGCCTCGCCCTGGCTCGCCGGCACGTGCAGCTCGTAGCCGAGCTCGCCCACGAAGCCGACCCGGAGAAAGAGCGCGGGGATGCCGGCGACATGGCCCTCCCGCACGCCCATGTAGGGGAACCCCTCGGGCGAAATGTCGACATCGTCGCAGAGCGTCTCCAGCACCGCGCGGCAGTTGGGGCCTGCGATATTGACGCCCGCGAACGCCGCGGTGACGTTGGTCACGTCGACCTTGAGCCGCCACTGGGCGTTGTACCAGAGCATCTCGCGGTAGACGTTGTCGACGCCCGAGGTCGTCGCCGTGACGTAGAAGTGGTCCTCGTGCAGGCGGCAGGCGACACCGTCATCCACCACCACGCCGCTGAGGTCGGTCATCAGCACGTAGCGCGAGCGGCCCACCGGCTGCTTGAGGTAGGCGAAGGTGTACATGCGGTTCATGAACTCGGCCGCATCCGGCCCCCGCACGTCGAGCCCGCCGAGGGTGGAGACATCGACGATGCCCACATTGTCGCGGACGTTCTTGGTCTCCTCGCGGATCAACGCCTGGCGCCGCGCCTTGTCGCCATAGAACTCGGGCCGGAGCCAGAGGCCCGCCGGCATCATGGTGGCGCCGGCCTCCAGATGGCGGAAATGCATCGCCGTATAGCGCACCGGCTCGAAGCTGCGGCCCGCAAGGTGACCCATGGTGACCGGCACGATGGGCTGGCGCATCGTTGTGACGCCGGTCTCGTCGACGCTCCGCGCCGTCGCCCGCGCCAGCACGCGCGCCGCATTCAGCGACGAATGCCGGCCTTGCGACGGCCCCATGCCGTTGGTGGTGAAGCGCTTGAGCAGCTCGACGTGGTCGTAGCCCTCGGCGATCGCGTCCTCCAGATCGTGAACCTGCACGTCCTCGTCGAGATCGACGAAGGCCTTGTGGTCGGGGTGCGGGAAGATCGGCCACACGGCGCTCGTGCCTGCCGGCGCGCCTCGGCAGGGGCGGCAGGCTCGGGCCCTGGGTCGAGGCCGGCGGCCTTGGCTGCCTGCCAGCCGGCACGGTGGCCGTCTGCCATCGCCGCATCGAGGCCGACGGTACCGGCCACCCCGCCTGCCGCGAAGACGCCCGGCGGGAGGTCCGCGACGACCGTCGCGTTACGCGTACTGTCGTGAGCGAACGTGGCCCCCGCCTGGCGCAGCAGCGCGGCGGCCGGCGCATGGCCGCCGCAGACGACGAGGAGGTCGCAGGTGAAGCTGTCGACGGAAGGCGCGCAGACACCGTCTGCCTCGATCCGGGCAACCCGAACCCGGGCGAGCCGCGGCCCCTTGCGCTGGGGCACGGCCTCCCACGGCGCGGCACCGGCGTGGACCGGCACCCTGCGCGCGGCGAGCGTATCGCCGAGCGCGCTGCGCTGCGCGTCCATGCGCAGATCCACCACCGCCGCCACCTCGACGCCTGCATCCAACAGGTCGAGGGCCGCGCCGTAGCCCTCGTCATTCACCGTGGCCACAACCGCGCGGCGGCCGGGCTTCACGCCATAGAGCTTGATCAGGCGCTGCGCCGCGCCGCTCAGCATGACGCCGGGCAAGTCGTTGTTGCGGAAGACCAGAGGCTGCTCGAGTGAGCCGGTGGCGACCACCAGCGTCTTGGCTCTCAGCTTGTAGAGGCGGTTGCCGCGCACCAGCGGCAGCCAGTTGTCGGCGTACCAGCCGAGGCACGCGGTCTCGGTCATCGCCGAGATGCGATCGGAGCCCTCCACGGCGCCGACGAGGCGGGCGCGCTCCTCTTCAGCGCGAATGCCGCCGGCGTCGGGGCGGCCATAGAGAAGCCCGCCGCCGAGCGCTGCGTTCTCGTCCACGAGGACGACGTCGGCGCCGGCCGCCGCCGCCTGCGCTGCCGCCGCGAGCCCCGCCGCGCCGCCGCCCACCACCAGCACGTCGCAGAAGAGATACTGCTTGTCGAAATAGCCGTGCGGGGTGTTGGTATCGACTGTGCCGAGGCCTGCGATCCGGCGGATCATCTTGGCCCAGAGCGGCCAAGTCCAACGCGGCTTGTAGAACGCCTTGTAGTAGAAGCCCACGGGGAAGAAGCGGTGCAGCAGGCCGAACACGGCCAGCCGGTCGTGCCGGAGCGTCCCCCAGTAGTTCTGGCCCATGACATCCAGGTCGGGCGAGAGCGGCTCGCGGTCGGCGAAGCGGTTGGGCGCGGGGCCCACCTGCACCAGCGTGTTCGCATCGAGGCCGGAGAGCGAGTGGATGCCGCGCGGGCGGTGATACTTGAAGGAGCGCGAGAGCACCGAAACGTCGTTCGCCGCCAGCGCGCTCGCCACCGTATCGCCGCGATACCCCTGATACTGCTTGCCCTCGAAGCGGAACGCGATCGGCTCCGTGCGGTCGAGGAGGAGACCTGCGGGCTCAGGCAGGCGCGCCATCATGTGGCCGAATCCTTCGACGCGGAAGCCGGTGCTTCGGCGGTGGACGGTTCGTCTTGGGGCGTGTCGCCGGTGGCCGGTCGCTCGGCGGGAGCATCGTCTGAGGACGCCTGGGCCGCGGTCGTGTCGCCTTCGGCGGCATCGTCCGCCGGCGCGTCGGCCTCAGGCCGTTCCGGTGAGGCCTCGGCAGCCGCCGGCTGCGGCTCAGGCTCGGGCGGTGCCTCCGGCGGCACGGTTTCCTTTGGCGGCTCGGGGGCGGCCTCTACGGGTGCTGCTTCTGCAGGTGCGCCCCGCTCTTCCGCCGGTGCGTCCTGGGCGGGCGCGGCGGGTGGAGGCGGCGCTTCCGGCGGCGGGGTGGCCTCCGTGGGCGGTTCCGGCTTGGCCTCGGCCGGCGCAGGCGCGGACTCGGGCGGCGGCGCCAGCGGCTCGAATGTGACACGCTCCGAGAAGACCCGGTCGGCCGGATAGGTGGCGAGAATTTCGTCCGTCACCGTGTTGCGCTCGGCGATGAACCAGTAGGACGTGGCGACGTGACACCACCACTCGCGCACCACGCCGGCCAGGTTCTCCTCCATCCAGACGTACTCGGTCCCACTCCTCGTCCGAACACCGGTTCGGGTCGGGGTGCGCCTCCACCGGGCCGGCGCAGATGAACTCCTGGATATTGCGCGGCCCGTTGAGCGGGCAGGGCATGATCTTCATAGCGCCGCGACCCTTGGCCCTAGTGCCCGACCGAGGCCGCGCCCTTCTCGCCCATGAGCGAGAAGTCGCGGAAGCGGTCGAGGCGGAAGTCCTTGATCAGCTCGGGCACGCGGCCGGTCGCGATCAGCTCCGCCATGCTGGTGCCGCAGACGGGCGTCGCCTTGAAGCCCCAGGTGCCCCAGCCCGAATCGATGTAGTAGTTCTCGACCGGGGTCAGCCCCATGACCGGCGCGAAGTCTGGCGTCATGTCGGTCATGCCGGCCCACTGGCGCAGCACCGGGACGTCGCCCATGAAGGGGAAGAGTTCCAGGATGTGCGCCATCAGCCCCTCCATGAAGTCGAGGGTCGACGAGGTCTGGTAGCGCGGATAGGGGTCGGTCGCGCCCCCCATCACCAGCTCGCCCCGGTCGGACTGCGAGATATAGACGTGCAGACTGCCCGAGACGACGATCGGGTCGAGGAAGGGTTTTAGGGGCAGCGACACGCAGGCCTGCAGCGGCACGGTGCGGATCGGCAGCGTGAAGCCCGCGAGCCTTGCGACCTGGCCGCTGAGGCCCGCCACCGCCTGCATCGCCTTGCCGCAGGCGATCGGCCCCCGGCTGGTCTCGAGCCCGGTGACGCGCCCGTTCTCCACCTTGATGCCCGTGACCTCGGTCTCCTGATGGATCTCGACACCGAGCTCCTGGGCGCGGCCGGCGTAGCCCCAAGCGACCGCATCGTGGCGGGCAAGCGCGCCGGGCGGGTGATAGAGGGCGCCAAGGATCGGGTGGCGGACCTCCTCGGACATGTTGAGCAGCGGCACCAGGCGGGAGAGCTCCTCACGCCCGACGAGCTCGGAATCGACGCCGAGATGCTTGTTCACCTCGGCCCGCCAGCGTGAGGTGCGCATGGCCGCATCGGAGTGCGCGAGGGTGAAGTGCCCGCGCTCCGAATAGAGGATGTTGTAGTCGAGCTCCTCGCTGAGGCCCCGATACAACCGCATCGATTCCTCGTAGAAGGCGACGCCTTCCGGCGTCAGGTAGTTGGAGCGGATGATGGCGGTGTTACGCCCGGTGTTGCCGCCGCCGAGGTAGCCCTTGTCGAACACGGCGACGTTGCGCACGCCGTGCCGGGCCGCGAGGTAGTAGGCGGCCGCGAGCCCATGGCCGCCGCCGCCGATGATCGCCACGTCGTAGCTCGGCCTAAGCTCGGGCCGCGAGCTGAGGAAGCGCTTCACCGGCCGGCGCCGGGAGAGGCCGTATTTCAGGAGGCCGAACGCCATCGCTCGCTATCGTCGCCCAAACGCTCGCGGTAGATAGGCGGTTATGTGGGAGGCGGCAAGCGGTTGTCGATGACTTTATTGGCCCGACCGATCCGCCTCATAGCGGGCGGTCTGCTCGCGCAAGCCCCGCGCGGTGCCGGCGTTGATGAGGACGAGGCTTAGCACCAGCACCGCGACCGCAGCCCAGACCCAGTGGCTGAGCGCCGTGCCGAAGAAGATACTGGCCCAGAAGATTCCGGCCGCGACCACCACATAGTTGAGCTGCGCGAAGAAGAGCGCGCCGGCGCGGCGCACGATCTCGAAGAAGCAGCTGTAGGTGATTGCCTGGCCCGCCGTCGCCCAGAGCAGACCCCAGAGGCCGGACGATGCGGCGTCGGTCGGCAGGAAGAAATCGCCCTGGGCGAGCATCACCACGAGCAGCAGCAGCGCGGCGACGATCATCATGCCGCCGGCCAGCGCCAGCGCGCTCACACCCACCGGAGAGAAGCGGGCGCCCGCGACATTGTTCACCGCCGCCGCGAGCGGCATCAGCAGCGAGAACAGCACCCACACCCAGGCACCCGAGATCGGCAGGCTGCCCGTGGGTACGACGATGAGGAGGATCCCGCCGAACCCCAAAAGCACGCCGGCGAGGCTGAGCCAGCGCAGCCGGTCGAACCTGAGCACGAGGGTCAGCGTGTAGGTGGTCGCCGGGATCAGTGCCGCGCAGAGCGTGAGCACCGCCGGCGGCAGGCGGTCGGCAACGTAGGTCACCACCAGCAGCGGCCCGAGGAAGCCGAAGACCGCAACCAGCGCGAAGACCCGCAGGTTCTCCCGCCGGAGCGAGGGCGGCTTGGAGAAGATCGCAGACAGCGCGAGCAGAACCACGCCTGCGAACAGCGCCTGCCAGAACGAATAGGCGACGAACGGGAAGCCCGCGTCGATCGCTATCTTGTTGGCGGTGAAGAGGCTGCCGTAGGAGATGCCGCCGAGCAGCAGCAGCCCGGTCGGCAGCAGGAGCCGGCTCTGGCGCAGCCTCCGAAGGAACTCAATCATGCCCCGACCCTTGAGGGCGCCGCCCGGCGCGCGCTCGGACCCACACGGGTGGCAGGCTTTGGGGGGAACACGCGAGAGCGGGGCGCCGCGCGCCCGCCGTTCATGCCACGCCCGCGGGCGGGTGCGGCGGCGTGTGGGCACTCCTGGGATCGAACCAGGGACCTCTTGCATGTCAAGCAAGCGCTCTCCCCCTGAGCTAAGCGCCCCTGCCGCACTGAGCGGGATTACCACCGCGCGCGCGGCGTTGGCAAGGGCGGGCGCACGGATGACAGGGCCGATCTTTTGGTCTAAACCGCGAGGGATGAGTCGAGGACGACCAAACGCCCGGCGACGCCGCGAGCAGCCCCCGCCGGAGGCCGTCAACGGGGTCATCGACATCCGCCTGCCGACGCGCCAGACGGCGCCGCTCATCTTTGCCTCCCCCCACAGCGGCACGAAATACGAGCCCGCATTCATCGCGAGCTCCCGGCTCGACGAGAAAAGCCTGCGGCGTTCCGAGGATAGTTTCGTCGACGAGATTTTCGCGGGCGCCCCCGAGGGCGGCGCTCCACTGCTCTGCGCGCTCTACCCGCGCGCCTACCTGGATCCGAACCGCGAACCCTACGAGCTCGACCCGGAGATGTTCTCTGAGCCACTGCCGAGCCATGTGAAGACGCGCTCCGACCGGGTGCGCGCGGGCTTCGGCACCATCGCCCGCATGGTCGCCTCGGGCGCCGAAATCTACGCGGGCAAGATGTCCTACGCCGAGGCCGAGCAACGCATCGACACGCTCTACCGGCCCTATCACCGGGCGCTCGAAGGGCTCATCGAGGCGACAGTTGCGCGACTTCGGTGCGGCGTTCGTTCTCGACTGCCACTCGATGCCCTCGGTCGGCGGGCCCACGGACCGCGACCGCGGCACGCCCCGCCCCGACATCGTGCTGGGCGACCGCTTCGGCGCGTCATGCAAGCCTGCCGTGATCGAGACGGCGGAGCGCATCCTCCGCGATCTCGGCTTCTCGGTCAGGCGCAACGAGCCCTACGCCGGCGCCTTCACCACCGCCCACTACGGCCAACCGGCAAGCGCGTTCACGCGCTGCAGATCGAGGTCAACCGCCGCCTCTACATGAACGAGGCCACGGTCGCCCGCTCGCGCGACCTGCCCGCAGCTCAAGAAGAAGATGAACCGCTTCATCGCCGCCATGGCGGAGGAGAGCCTCGCGCTCGTCGAGTCGCTCTGACCGTCGAGGCGTCTGTTGAACGGGCACGGTTCCTGCAATTATGATGCCCGCCACAATGATCGCCCGGCGGCATGAGGCCGCCGAGCCAACCGGTAGGGAGCAGACCATGAGACTGAGCCGCAGACAGTTTTTCCAGGCCGCATCCGGCGCGCTGGCTTTCGCCAGCCTTCCTCATGTTCTGCGCCGCGCCGGCATCGCTGCTGAGGACCCGATCAAGGTCGGCAACATCCTCGACCGCACCGGCATCCTCAACATCTACAGCCTGAAGCAGATTCAGGCGACGGCGATGGCTGTGGACGAGATCAACGCCGCCGGCGGCCTGCTGGGCCGGCCGCTGGAGCTCGTGTTCTACGATTCCCAGTCGGACGGCCAGTACAACTCCCAGTACGTCACCGAGGCACTGGTCAAGGACAAGTGCGCGGTGGTGCACGGCGGCATCACCAGCTCCTCGCGCGAGGTGATGCGCCCCATCGTGAACCGCTTCAAGGGGCTGCTCTTCTACAACTCGCTCTATGAAGGGGGCGTCTGCGACCGCCGCCACGTGTCCACCGGGATGGTGCCGGCGCAGCAGCTGGAGCCGCTGTTCGACTATGTGGTGAACGAGCTCGGCGGCAAGCGCACATACATCCTCGCCGCCGACTACAACTACGGCCACATCACGTCGAAGTGGATGCAGAAGTTCACCCGCGATCGCGGCGGCGAGGATCTGGCGGTCGAGTTCTTCCCGCTCGACGTCAACAACTTCCAGCCGGCGATCTCGCGCATCCAGGCGGCCAAGCCCGACGTGGTTATGTCGGCCCTGGTGGGCGGCGCCCACATCGCCTTCTACCGCCAGTTCGAGGCCTCGATCGGCAAGGACAAAATGATGCTGGCGTCGAGCACATACGGCGTCGGCCTCGAGCACACTCAGCTCAGCCCAGAGGAAGGCAACGGCATCATCCTGGCGACCTCCTTCGTGGACGACCTCGATACGGCCGAGGCCAAGGACTTCGTGAGCCGCTTCCACGCCTACACCGGCGATACCGGCTATGTCGGCGAGTACGGCGAGTACGGCGAGCGCGGGGTCAAGGTCTGGGCCGAAGCCGCGCGTCAGGCCGGCGATGCCAGCCCCGACGCCGTGATCGAGGCGCTGGCGTCCGGCAATGTCAGCGTGGTCGGCGCCGGCGGCCAGTACACGGTCGACGGTCAGACCAATCACACCACGATGGACATCCACATCGTCCGCGGCAACATGACCCAGACTTTCGACGTAATCAGCTCGTTCTCGCAGCGCCCGCCGCTGGATACGCAGCAGGTCTGCGATCTCCATGCGAACCCCGACGACAAGACCCAGTATGAGGTCGAGGTCGAGTAGGGATCGGGGCGCAAGGGTACCGCCGTCGTCGGTGCGCCGCAGCGCTTCGGGCTGCAGCATGACGACGGCGCAATCGTTGCCCGGACGTTAGGGTTGGGGGCTGGCGGCAGCGCACGCTGCCGCCAATGCCCCAGCCCGCGTCTGCGGATGCGTGTTCCGCCCCGGCGGGCCTTGCCGGGGCGGCGGGGGTGACGGGTGGATCAGGTCGCGAACTATCTCTTCCAGATCGGCTTTTCCTTTTCGATCTTCATCCTGATCAGCCTCGGGCTTGCGGTCATCTTCGGGATGATGCGGGTCATCAATCTGGCGCAGGGCGAGTTCCTCATGCTCGGCGCCTACTTCTGCACGCTCTGCAGCCATGCCGGGATCAACCTCTGGCTCTCCTTCATCGTGTCGGCGCTCGCCGTCGGCCTCTTCGGCATCATCGTCGAGCGTTTCATCATCCAGTGGCTCTACGGCCGCATCATCGACACGCTGCTCGCGACCTGGGGGCTGAGCCTGCTGCTGGTGGGCGGCGTCACCACGATCTTCGGACCCCAGACCGAGAGCGTGGCCGCCCCGCTCGGCAACGTCCAGGTGGGCGCCTTCGGGCTCCCGGTCTATGGCCTCGTGATGATGGCGATCGCTGTGGCGTTGCTGGGTGCGGTCTATGCCTTCTGGCGCTTTACCCGCTACGGGCTGATCGTGCGCGGCACCATGCAGAACCCGACGATCTCCGCCGCACTCGGGGTCAACCGCAGCCTCGTCTACATGCTGACCTTCGCGTTCGGCTCGGCGCTCACCGGGCTTGCTGGCGCGGTACTGTCGCCCATCGTCGGCGCCTATCCCACGCTCGGCATCGTCTATGTCGCCAAGGCCTTCATCACGGTCATCACCGGCGGCCATCTGCCGCTGATCGGCACGGTGAGCGCATCCGGCCTCTTCAGCACCATGGACGGCATCGTCGCCACCGTCTCGAGCTCGGTGATCGGCGAGATGATGGTGCTCTTCGTCGCCATCATCCTGCTTCGGCTGCTGCCGCTCGGGATCACCGGGCGCATGACGCGCGGGGTCTGAGCGATGATCCACGGCATCATCGCCATGCAGCACTCGAGCGAGCGGCCTAAGTGGTGGTGGTGGGTCTTCATCGCGGCGCTCGCGGCGTTCTTCATCACCATGCCCTTCCACCTGGAGATTTTCGTCATCCTGGAGATGTCGCGCTTCTTCGGGATGGCCATGCTGGCGCTCAGCATGGGATTCCTCTGGGGCTTCAGCGGAATCCTGAGCTTCGGGCAGACCGCGTTCTTCGGCCTCGGCGGCTACGGCTTTGCCGTGCTCGCGCTCAATACGGGCGAGACCACGGGCTCGGTCTTCTTCGCCGTCGCCCTTGGCGCGGCCGGCGCCGGCATCCTCGGCTACTTCATGATCTACGGCCGTATCAGCGAGATCTATCTAAGCGTCATCACCCTCGTCTTCACACTGATCCTCGAGAAGGGCATCCGCGCCACCTCCGGCGACCAGTACGTCATCGGCAAGGTGCGGCTGAACGGGCAGAACGGCATCCCCACCGTGCCGCAGCTCGACGTGCCGTGGAACCCGTCGATCCAGCTCGACATCAACTGGTTCTTCTGGGTCGGCGCCGTGCTCATGATCCTCGTCTATATCGGGCTCCGGTTGATTCTGACGACGCCCTTCGGCCGGGTGCTCGTGAGCATTCGCGAGAACGAGCGCAGGACCGAGCTGCTCGGCTACGACACCAGGCGCTACAAGCTCGCGGCCTTCATGCTGGCGGGCGGCGTGGCCGGCCTCGGCGGCGCCCTCTACGCGATCTCGATCCCGCTGGCGCACCCGGAGATGTTCAGCCTGGGCCGCGCCGCCGACGTCATCATGTGGGTGCTGGTGCGGCGGCAAGGGCACCTTGATCGGGCCGATCGCAGGCGTCTTCGCCATCGAGCATTTCAAGGGCTGGCTCGGTACCCAGGGCGTGTCAGGTCACGCTGGTGCTGGGCGCGGTGCTGATCCTCTTCGTCCTGGTCTTCAGCGGGGCCTGCTGCCGAGCATCGGCTCCCTGCCGGGCCTCTGGCTGGACCGCGCGACACTTGGAGAACGACTTGCCGAGTTCGCGCAGCGCCTCACCTGGCGCGCGGGCCCGCCGCGCCGGGGAAGGCGCCAAGGGGGAAAACCGTGAGCGAGGCGGTGCGCCAGGACGACGTCATCCTGGAGACGCGGGCGCTGGAGAAGCGCTTCGGCGGCGTAAGCGCCATCGCCGGCGTCGACTTCGCGCTGAGGCGCGGCGAGCTCCGCTGCCTGATCGGGCCGAACGGCGCTGGCAAGAGCACCTTCTTCAAGATGCTCACAGCCCAGATCAGGCCCTCTCGCGGGCAAGTCCTGTTCGACGGCCGCGACATCAGCCGCGCGCATCCGCATGAAATCTCGCGCCTCGGCATCGGCATCAAGAACCAGGTCCCGGACGTCTATGACGGGATTACCGTGGAAGAGAACCTGTGGCTCGCAGCCCACTTTCGCCACGGCGCGCGGGCCGCCCGGGCCAAGGTGGACGAGACGCTTGCCCGGCTCGACCTCGTAGACATCCGCTGGCAGCTGCTCGGCGCCCTTGCTCACGGCCAGCGCCAGTGGGTCGAGTTCGGCATGGTCATGGCGCTGGAACCCGAGATCATCCTGCTCGACGAGCCGACCGCGGGCATGAGCATCGAGGAGACGAACCGCACGGCAGCGCTGATCCGCGAGGCGAACCGGACCACCACCATCGTCGTGGTCGAGCACGACATGCAGTTCATCCGCCAGATCGCCGATATCGTCACCGTGTTTCACCAGGGCCGCATCCTGGCCGAGGACACCATGGCGCGCATTCAGGCCAACCAGGCCGTGCGCGAGGTCTATCTGGGGACCTCCGGCCTTGCTTGAGGTGGAGGGCCTCAACGCCGGCTACGGCCGCATCCCGATCCTGAACGGCATCGACTTTTCGATCGCGCGCGGCGAGATCGTGGGCGTGCTCGGCCACAACGGCATGGGCAAGACGACGCTGCTGCGCACGCTGATGGGGGAGATCAGGGCCACCGGCGGGAGCATCAGCTTCGAGGGAGACGACATCACCCGGCTCGCCATGCACAGGCGCGCCCGGCTCGGCATCGGCTACGTACCGCAGGGCCGCGACATCTACCCGCAGCTCAGCGTCATGGACAATCTGCGTATGGGCGAGATCGTGCGCGGCGGCCAGAGCGCCGTGCCGGAGCTGTTGGACTACTTCCCGATGCTGCAGGCGCTGCTGGCGCGGCCGGGGCGCGCGCTCTCGGGCGGCGAGCAGCAGATTCTGGCGCTCGCGCGCTGCCTCGTCGGCCGCCCGCGTCTCCTGCTGCTGGACGAGCCCACCGAGGGCATTCAGCCCTCCATCGTCGATCAGATCCAGGCCAAGCTCGCCGAGCTTGCCGCCGCCCTCGACCTCACGGTCCTCCTGGTCGAGCAGAATCTGCGCTTCATCGCCGCGCTGGCGGAGCGCGTGCTGATCATGCAGAAGGGCACCATCGTTGCCCAAATCGCGCCCGAGCAGCTCTCCGACCAGGCGATCGTGGACGAGTATCTGGGTATCTGAGACGCGACGGAGGCGCCGTCCTGCCTCCGCTCAGAGGATGAACTTGCTGAGGTCCGTGTCCTTGGCAAGGTCGCCCACGCGGGCCTCCACGTAGGCCGCATCGATGGTGATGGTCTCGCCCGAGCGGTCGGCCGCCTCGAAGCTGATCTCCTCCAGGAGCTTCTCCATCACCGTGTGCAGCCTGCGCGCGCCGATATTCTCGATCGCGTGGTTGACCTCGGCGGCGAGGTCCGACACCGCGTCGATGGCGCAGTCGCTGAAGTCGAGCGTCACGTTCTCGGTCTCCATCAATGCTCGGTACTGGCGAATCAGGTTGTTTTCGGGCTCGGTCAGGATCTTCTTCAGGTCATCGCGAGCAAGCGAATTCAGCTCGACGCGAATCGGCAGCCGCCCCTGGAGCTCCGGCAAGAGGTCCGCCGGCTTCGCCAGGTGAAAGGCGCCGGAGGCGATGAAGAGGATGTGGTCGGTGGTCACCGCGCCGTGCTTGGTTGTGACCGTGGTGCCCTCGATCAGCGGCAGCAGGTCGCGCTGCACGCCCTCGCGGCTCACGTCGGCGCCGAGACGGTCCGAGCGGGCGCAGATCTTGTCGATCTCGTCGATGAAAACGATGCCGTCGTTCCGGGCGTTCTCCAGCGCGGTGCGCACGACCAAATCCTGATCCAGCAGGCGGTCGCTCTCCTCCGCCATCAGGGCTTCGTAGGACTCCTCCACCGACATGCGCTTGATTGACTTCTGCTCGCCGAAAGCCTTGCCGAACATGTCGCCGAGATTGACCATGCCCATCTGGGCGCCGGGCATACCGGGAATCTCGAAGGTGGGCAGCGACGAGCCCGCGGATTCGCTCACCTCGATATCCACCTCCTTGTCGGAGAGCGAGCCGTCGCGCAGCATCTTGCGGAACTTGCCGCGGGTCTCCTTGCTCGCGTTCTTGCCCACCAGCGCGTCGAGCACCCGTTCCTCGGCGTTGAGCTCGGCCCTGGCCGAGACCTCCTTGCGCATGCGCTCGCGGGTCATGTGGATCGAGACTTCGACGAGATCGCGGACGATCTGCTCGACATCGCGGCCGACATAGCCGACCTCGGTGAACTTGGTCGCCTCGACCTTGATGAATGGCGCCTGGGCGAGGCGCGCGAGGCGGCGTGCGATCTCGGTCTTGCCGACGCCGGTCGGCCCGATCATCAGGATGTTCTTGGGCATCACCTCTTCGCGCAGATCGTCGGCGAGCCGCTGGCGCCGCCAACGGTTGCGGAGCGCAATCGCGACGGAGCGCTTGGCGTCGTCCTGGCCCACGATGAAGCGGTCGAGCTCAGAGACGATCTCACGGGGGCTGAAGCTGCTCATGCCTCGATCTTTTCGATCACAAGTTCGTTGTTGGTGTAGATGCAGATGTCGGCGGCAATGGCCATGGCGCGCCGCGCCACTTCCTCGGCGCCGAGCCCCTCAATCTCGATCAGCGCCCGCGCCGCCGCGAGCGCGTAAGACCCGCCCGAGCCGATGCCGATCAGCCCGTCCGTCGGCTCCAGCACATCGCCGGTGCCGGTGAGAACGAGCGAGGCCTCGCCATCTGCGACCGCCATCATCGCCTCCAGCCGGCGCAAGTAGCGGTCGGTGCGCCAGTCCTTGGCAAGCTCGACGCAGGCGCGGGTAAGCTGGCCCGGATGCTGCTCCAGCTTGCCTTCCAGCCGCTCGAAGAGGGTGAAGGCGTCGGCCGTGGCGCCCGCGAAACCCGCGAGTATGCCTCCCTCGCCGAGGCGCCGGACCTTGCGGGCGTTCGCCTTGATGACCGTCTGCCCGAGCGTGACCTGGCCGTCGCCCGCGACGACCACCGTCCCGCCTTTGCGGACGGAGAGCACGGTCGTCCCATGCCACACCGGCCCGCCCCGCCGTTCTTCCTCGGTCATGTCCTCCTGCCGCGCCCACATCCGCCGCTTTGATCGCGCGCCGCACCATGTGGGTATTCATGGCGCTCGGTCAAGAGCGGGGCGGGCAACGCAGTGCGCTTAACCGGGTCGCGCGCTTATGCGCGCGCTTGACCGGAATACATGTTCCCTCTAAATAGCCCGCTCTACCCTCCACGGAGCGCGAACCATGGCACGCCGCTGCGAGCTGACCGGCAAGGGCGTCCTGGCCGGCAACAATGTCAGCCACGCCCACAACAAGACCCGCCGGCGGTTCTTGCCCAATCTGCACGACAAGGCGCTGCACAGCGAGGCGCTCGGCCGGATGGTGCGGCTCAAGATCTCGACGAGCGCCATCCGCACGGTGGAGCGGCACGGCGGGCTCGACAACTACCTGCTGAAGACGCCGGACGACCGGCTCTCCCAAGGCGCGCGGCGCATCAAGCGCCAAGTGAAGACCGTGCGGACGGCGAACGCCGCCGAATAATCTCTATCAGTTCCCTCAGGCGCCGGGCGCTCGCTCCGCGAGCTTGGCTACGCGCCATTCGGCGCGGCGCGCAGTCGCGCGCTCCGGGCCTGCGGCCCGGCCTCCCACACATTCGCAGATTCCTTGTGCCCGCGCGTTGGCCGTATGAGGCCTGCACCTTATAGTCCGCGGCCATGAAGCTGGCCCCGCCCTTGGTACTGTGGCTCCCTATCGCCGCGATGATGGCGGTGATCGGGGTCTCGAACGTCGCCGTTCAGCATGCGATCAACGACTGGCTGACCTGGGGCGCGTTCACCTACCCGCTCGCGTTTCTGGTGACCGATCTCACCAACCGGGCCCACGGGCCGGGGCGTGCGCGCACGGTCGCCTATGTGGGCTTCCCCTTCGGGATCGGGCTTTCCATCCTGCTCGCGGTGGCGGCGGACATCCCGCTCATGGAGGGCGTGCGCGTGGCGCTTGCTTCGGGCTTCGCCTTCATCTGCGCGCAGCTCTTCGACATCGCGCTTTTCCACCGGCTCAGGCGCGGCATCTGGTGGCGGGCGCCGCTGGTCTCCTCGCTCTCGGCCTCGGTGCTGGATACCGCGATCTTCTTCAGCGCCGCCTTCGCGCTGACCGGCCTGCCGTGGGTGACGTGGGCGCTCGGCGATTTCGCGATCAAGGTCGGGATGGCGGCCGTGCTGCTGATCCCCTTCCGGCTGCTGATGCCCTGGATCGTCCCGTCCCTCTACGGCGACTCGCACGCAAGCACGCGCCATGCCGACCTCTGACCTTGAGTGAGTCGATAAGCCCATGAGCGAGAACCCGTTCCCCAACCTCCATCTGGTCGACCACCCGCTGGTGCAGCACAAGCTGAGCTTCCTGCGCGACAAGACCACCCAGACGCCGCTCTTTCGCGCGCTCTTGCGCGAGATTGCGCTGCTCATCGGCTACGAGATCACCCGCGGCCTGCCGATGGACTCGACGTCCATCGAGACGCCGCTAACGGCGATGGAGACGCCCATCCTGCGCGGCCGCAAACCGGCCATCGTCCCCATCCTGCGGGCGGGCCTCGGCATGGCGGAAGGGTTGGCGGAGTTGCTGCCGACCGCGCCGCTCGGCCATATCGGGCTCTACCGCGACCCCAAGACCCACCGCCCGGTCGAGTACTACGTGCGGCTGCCGGCGGATACGAACCGCCTCTTCATCCTGGTCGACCCGATGCTCGCCACCGGCTATTCCGCGTCCTACGCGGTCGACCTGCTCAACCGGAACGGCATCGACGACGGCAACGTCCGCTTCATGGCCATGGTTGCCTCGCCCGGAGGGCATGCGCGCCTTCAACGAGCGCCACGCAACTGTCGAGGTGTGGGCCGCCTCCCTCGACGAGTGCCTGAACGAGAAGGCCTATATCGTGCCGGGCCTGGGCGATGCCGGCGACCGGCTGTTCGGCACGGACTAATTCGCCCGGGCGCGCTTCTCCCGCGAGTCCAGGAAGGGCGTGATCCGGCCGCCCAGGGTCTGGCCGGTCAGCTCCTCGGCGATGGCGACGGCGCGGCGCAGGCCGCCCACGTCGATGCCGGTCTCGAAGCCGGCCTCGGTCAGCATGAACACCAGATCTTCGGTGGCGAGGTTGCCGGTGGCGCCGGGCGCGAAGGGGCAGCCGCCGAGGCCGCCGATTGAACTGTCGAACTTGCGGATTCCCGCACTCGATGGCGACCCAGGTGAGCGTGAGCCCCATCGCGCGCGTGTCGTGGAAGTGGCCGGCGAGGCGCTCCGGCCCGTAGCGATGCGCCAGCGTCTCGAAGAGGTGCGCCATCTGCGGCGGCGTGCCGGCGCCGGTTGAATCGCCAAGCGCAAGCTCGTCGGCGCCCGCGTCGAACATGCGCGCGGCCAGATCGAACACCGTCTCGGGCGGAACCACGCCTTCGTAGGGGCAGGCGGCGACCACCGAGAGGTAGGAGCGGGCCCGAATCCCGTCTGCCCTCGCGCGGCGGATCACCGCCTCGTTGACGCGGATCGCCTCGTCCAGCGACATGTTGATGTTTCGCTGGTTGAAGGTATCGGTGGTGGCGAGCACCAGCGCCACGGTGGTGACGCCGGCCTCGACCGCCCGCTCGTAGCCCTTCTCGTTGGGCACCAGCGCCTCGTAGCCGGCGCCGCGATCCTGCGGCAGCCGGGCGAAGATCGCCGCCGCGTCCGCCATCTGCGGCACCGCCTTGGGCGAGACGAAGCTCGCGGCCTCGACGGAGCGGAGGCCTGAGTCAAGCAGCGCGTCGAGGAGCCGGAGCTTGCCCTCGGTCGGCACGACGCGCGGCTGGTTCTGGAGCCCGTCGCGGAGTCCCACCTCGTGCACGGTGATGACGTCGCTCATCGATCGCTTCCTTCCGTCTTACGCGCGGATCAGGCTATCACACGGGCTTCCCTGAGCCGGGAAATCTCTGCATCGCTCTTGCCGCAGAGACTGGCCAACACCTCGTCCGTATGCTGGCCGAGGAGCGGCGGTGGATCGTAGCTCTCGCCGGGTGTCTCGCTCAGCTTGATCGGGTTGCCGGTGGTGCGGAACGAGCCGCCCTCCGGGTGCGGGATCTCAACCACCATGTCGCGGGCCTGCACCTGCACGTCGGTGAGCGCACGGGCCACGTCGTTCACGGGCCCGCAAGGCACCCGGGCTGCGCGCAACCGCTCCAGCCACTCGTCGCACCCGAGTGCCGCGAGCGCTTGGGTGATGGCGCCGTCCACCTCCTCCCGGTTGTCGCGCCGGCCCTCGTAGCCATCGAAGCGGGCATCGTCGAGGGCGGGCTCGCCAGCACGTCCCGGAGCCGCGCCCACTGGTCGTCCTTCACGACGGCGATGATGAGCCAGCGGTCCTTGGTGGGGAAGGCATTGTAGGGGACGTAATCGGATGCGCGTTGCCGAACTGACGCGGCACTTCGCCCGAGAAGCAGGTGCATGGCTGCAATGTAGCTGAGGCAGTGAGACCTGGCAGTCTTGCATGGAGAGGTCGATATGCTGGCCGCGCCCGGTCACCTCGCGCGCATGGAGCGCGGCCAGCATGGCGACCGCGCCGAAGAGCCCGCTCGAGAGGTCGCCCATGGGCACGCCCGCGCGGATGGGCGGGCCCGCGGCCTCGCCGGTGATCGACATGCCGCCGCCATAGCCCTGGGCCACGACGTCGAAGGCGGTGCGGTCGCAGTCGGGACCTTCTTCGCCGAATCCGGTCACGCTGCAGGTGACGATGCGCGGGTTGATCGCATTCAGCGTCGCGTGGTCGATGCCGAGCCGCTCGGTCACGCCGGGGCGGAAGTTGTTGACGACGATATCCGCCTTGGCCGCAAGCTCGTGAAAAAGGGCGCGCCCTTCCGGCCGCTTCAGGTCGATGCAGACGCTCTTCTTGTTGCGATTGAGGGTGAGAAAGTACGGGCCCATGCCCTTGTAGGAGTAGCGGGGATCGTCGCCCAGCAGGCCACGGGTCATCTCGCCGGTGCCAGGCGGCTCCACCTTGATCGTCTGGGCGCCGAGATCGGCCAGCAGCATCGCCGCGAAGGGCCCCGACAGCATATGCGTCAGGTCGAGCATCACGATGTCCGAGAGGGCTTTCATCGGGGGCGTCGGGCGTGCGGTGGTGGGAAGGGCGCACACTCTATGGTTTGCGTCCGCGGCCGGTCAATGCAGCCCGGCCTTTTTGATTTCCCTCAACGGCGGGCGCTCACTCCGTTCGCTTGCCTACACGCTGACGCGCATCGTGCGCTTGCGCACGTGGCCGTGCGACGCGCGGTCGCGCCGTCCGGGCCTGCGGCACGGGTAGAGTGGAGGGGGACGCAGGCGGCACCGGCTTGCTCTCCCTCTCCGCCCCTGGGGGCGGAGAGGGCCGGGGAGAGGTGGGGGCGGCGCGTGGTACGATCGCTCTCGAAGGGTCCGGACAGGGGAGGGGAGCATGGCGGCGAAACCGGTCGGCTGGGGCATGATCGGCACGCGGGGCTGGAGCGACATGATCCTCGGCCCTGCGGTGAACGCGGCGCGCGGTGCCAAACTCAACGCCGTTCTCTCCTCGACTTCGGCGAATGCCGCGCGCTACTGCGCGAACCACGGCGTGGCGCGGGGCTACACCGACATTCGTGCATTCCTCGCCGATGACGCGATCGACGTGGTGTGGATCGCGAGCCCCAACCACCTTCACAAGGACCAAGCCATCGCGGCGCTCAAGGCCGGCAAGCACGTGCTCTGCGAAAAGCCCATGGCGATGAACCAGGCCGAGTGCCGGGCGATGATCCGGGCCGCCAAGAGGGCCGACCGCCTGCTCACCATCGGTTACAACAGCCGCCACCACCCGAGGCTCGGCAAGTTCCGCGAGCAGTGGCAAGCAGGCCGCTTCGGCGCGCCGGTGCGCATGCACGGGCAGTTCCACTACCGCTATCCGCACGTGCCGGACGACTGGTGGCGACTCGACGACGAAACCTCCGGCTGCTGGGTGCTGGGCGACATCGGCACCCACTTCATCGACCTGCTGCGCTGGTTCAACGGCGAGGCGAAGACGGTGCACGCCCACCTCTCCAACAAGGCATACGGGCGCTCGGCCGACACCGCCTTCCTCACCATCGGCTTCGAGAACGGCGCGGTCGGCACGATCTCGGCGTCTGTCGCGGTCACCAGCGGCGGCGGCATCGAACTGCTGGGCAGCGAGGGCTATTGCCGGATCGAGGGCGGCTTCGTCGGCATTCCCGGCAGCGTGACCACGGTGCGCCAGGGCGGCAAGCCGCGCACCGTGCCCCTCGCCGGCCACGACACCTACAAGGCCCAGGTGGAGAGCGTGACCCGCGCCGTCGCCCGCGGCGCGCCGCTCGCGGTCAGCGCCGAGGACGGGCTCCGGAACGTCCGCATCATCGAGCAGGCGCGCGGCTGGTAGGGGCGCCAACCCGGCTCGCGAAGCGGGCCGCAGCGCGCGACCGCGCGCCGCGCCGCATGGCGCGTAGCCAAGCGAGCGGAGCGAGCGCCCGGCGATTGAGGGAAATGAATGAGAGGGGGACGGGTAAAGGCGGGGGCGCGTGCCCCCGCCCGCACTTGCTTTCGCCATCCCAGCGCTGTTGACCCTTCCGGCCTGCCCGTGAAAGTGTCTCGGCCGTCCGAGATTTTCTGGGAGGCGGGCTGAGATGAGCGGCAAGTGGCTCCCGTTTGACCTCGCCTGGTACGACACGCGGATTTTCAACTGCTCCTTCTGCGGCATCATGATGGCGCGGGAATACTGGGTAGACGACGAGTTCCCCGGCGACATGTACTGCGAGGACAAGTGCGCCGACGTGAAGCGGCGCCTCCGGGCGGAGTTCGCCGCGGCAAAGGCCGAGGGCCGTGTCGAAGACGCAGGCCGCGCCGGGGAGGCAAACGATGTATAGGGTCGGAATCGACACCGGCGGCACCTTCACCGACCTCGTGGCCTTGGACGACCAGAACGGGAGCATCCGCACCGTCAAGGTCCCCTCCACGCCGCAAGAGCCCGCTGCCGCGCCGCTCGACGCCATCGGCCAGAGCGCGCTCACGCCTGACGAGATCGGCCGCATCGTGCTCGGCACCACCATCGCCACCAACGCGCGCCTGCAGAAGAAAGGGCGCGACCGTTCTCTACGTCGGGACCGACGGCGTGCAGGACGTGCCCATCATCGGCCTCATCGCCCGCAAGGAGGCCTACAACCCGGCTTGGGAGAAACCCAGCGCCGGCGTGCTGCGTCGCCATGTCTTCGGCATCAAGGAGCGCATCGATCACAAGGGCAACATCCTGATCGCGCTGGAGCAACCAGAGCTGGAGCGCCTCGGCGACTGGATCGACGAATGGCTCGCGAGCCAGCCCGCGCAGGAGTGGGCAGTCGCGGTCAACCTGCTCTTCTGCTACGTCGATCCGGCCCACGAGGAAGCCATCGGCGCCTATCTCGCCGAGCGTTTCCCCGACCTGCCCGTCTCGCTCTCCTGCCACGTCTGCCCGATCTGGCGCGAGTATCAACGGAGCACCACGGTCATCACCGACGCCTTCATCAAGCGCATCATCGACCGCTTCGTGGGCCAGGTCTCGGCCGACCTGCAGACAGCCGGGATCGACGCACCGCTCTCGATCATGAAGTCCAACGGCGGCCATTTGCAGGCGGAGTCCGCCGGTGAGGCGCCGGTCCAGCTTCTGCTTTCGGGTCTCGCGGGCGGCGTCATCGCCGGCGCCCGCTTCGCCCGCGATCACGCCGATGGCAACGGCGTCACCCTCGACATGGGCGGCACCCAGCTGCGACGTCGGACTCGTCACCGACGGCGCCTTCGGCTCCACCACCGAATACGAGGTGGAATGGGGTGTGCCGGTGAGCGCGCTCTTCATCGACTACACCACCATCGGCGCGGGCGGTGGGTCGATCGCCTACGTCGATGCGGGCGGCCTGCTCCGCGTCGGGCCGCGCAGCGCCGGCGCCGACCCAGGCCCCGCCTGCTACGGCAAGGGCGGGACCGAGCCGACGGTGACGGACGCCAACGTAGTGCTAGGCCGGCTCGACCCCGACTACTTCCTGGGCGGTGAGATGACCCTCGACGCGGCCAAGGCGCACGAGGCCGTGACTGCGCTCGGCGGCACGCTCGGGCTGACGGCCGTGGAGACGGCACGCGCAATCCTGGAGACCGCGGCCGAGAACATGGCGGACGCCATCCGGCTGATGACGGTCGAGCGCGGCATCGACCACCGCGACTATGCGCTGATCGCCTTCGGCGGTGCCGGCCCGCTGCACGCCGTCGATGTCGCGGCACCGCTCGAGATGAAGAAGGTCGTCGTACCACCCCATCCGGGGCTCTGCTCGGCGCTCGGCACGCTGCTGACGGACCTCCGTGTCGACCGTGCGCGAACGGTCAATCACCGTTCCGACACGGTGGACCTGGACACCCTCAACGACCAGCTGCGGGCCCTCGCACGTGCGGCAGTGGATGAGCTCGTGCGCGAGGGGCTGGAGGACGAGGCCCACGTCACCGGCTATCTCAGCATGCGTTATATGGGCCAGAATTTCGGCGAGTTGGTGCAGCTCGATGCGCTGGAGCTCGACGAGACGGCGTTTGCGCAGGCGCTGGAGAGACTCCACCTTCAGCACGAGGAGCTTTACGGATACGCGCTCCGCGACAAGGTCGTCGAGACAACCGAGGTGCGGGTGATCGCCATGGGCGAAGAGCGCACCGATGCAACGCTGAGCGCGCCCGCCTCAGGCTCTGGCCGGGCGTATGCCCACCGTGAGGTCTATTTCGACGGGGACGAGCCGCTGGAGACGCCGATATACCGCCGGGCCGCGCTCTCCGCCGGCAGCGTGATTGCCGGGCCCGCGATCATCGACGAGATGGATTCGACCACCCTCGTGCCGCCGCGCAGCGAGGTCGAGATCGGCGCCGACGGCAGCCTGATCGTGAGCCTGCCCAGGGCGGCAGGAGCCGCCGTCGGTATCGGTCGGCTCGCGCCCGAGAAAGGACCCGGTCACGCTCACGGTGGTCAACAACGCGCTGGGCAACATCTGCAACGAGATGGAAAGCGCCATGGTGCGCACCGCCTATTCGCCGATCTTCAGCGAATCGCGGGATTTCTCGTGCTGCCTGTTCGATCGCAGGCTCCGCATGGTGGGCCAGGCCGAGATGAACCCGGCGATTATCTGTGCCGGCCTGCACACGGTGCCGCTCTGCGTGAAGGAGATGGACGAGCCGATCGAGCGGGGCGACGTGATCGTCCATAACGATCCCTACCGCGGGCAGTGCCACATGCCGGAGCACCTGTTGATGAAGCCGGTCTTCGTCGACGATACGCTGATCGGCTACGCCGCCAACATCGCCCATATCGCCGAGATCGGCGGCATGGCGGTGGGCTCCTTCGCCAGCACCGCCACCGAGGTGTTTCAGGAAGGACTCAGGCTGCCGCCGGTGAAGCTGCTCTCGCGCGGCGAGTATGTGAAGGACGTTTGGCGCATCACGCTCGCCAATCACCGCACCCCGAACACCACCTGGGGCGACTTCCACGCGATGATCGGCTCGCTGAATACCGCCGAGCAGCGGCTGGGCGCGCTGGTGAAGCGTCTCGGCATCGAGACCTTCGAGAGGATCTGCGACGCCCTCGTCGACCACGCCGAGCACTGGATGCGGAACGAGATCCGCAAGCTCCCCAACGGCATCTACAAGGCCGAGGACTATTTCGAGGACGACGGGGTCACAACCAGGCGCTATTACTTCCGCCCCACCGTGCACATCCGCGACGAGGAGATCGTGGTCGATCTCTCGGAATCGGACGAGCAGGCGCGGGGCCCATCAACGTCACCTATGTGGCGACGGCGGCGGCCGGCTGCACCGCGGTGCTGCAGACGCTCTGCGCCCGCGATGTGCCGCTGAATAGCGGGTGCTTCAAGCCGCTCCGCGTGGTGTCACCGCCGGGGACGGTGGCGAACCCGGTCTTCCCCGCGCCGAGCGTCGCCGGCAACACAGAGGGCCAGCCCCGTATCATCGCGGCGGTGCAGCATGCGCTCTCCAAGGCCGTGCCGGAGATGGTAAGCGCCGCCGAGGGCGGCACCGCGTGCAACCTGCTCCTCGGCGGCATCCACCCCGATACGGGCGAGTACTGGACCCACTATCAGCTCGAAGGGGGCGGCTGGGGCGGCCGGCTCGGCAAGGACGGCAACACCGCGCTGTGCTGCGCGCACGCGAGCACCATCCGGGCGACGCCGATCGAGGTGTTCGAGACGCGCTTCCCGCTCCGGGTCCTCAAGTACGAGATCCGGCCGGATTCCGGCGGCGCCGGCAAGTGGCGGGGCGGGCTCGGCTGCTGGCGCCAGTTCGAGGTGGTTGCCGACGCTATCAGCGTGAGCGCGCTGACCGACCGCATGACCGAGGGGCCCTATGGGCTGATGAAGGGGAAACCGGGCGCACCGACCGGCTTCTTCGTCAAGCGCGTCGAAGACGAGGAGTTCCGCACCTTCAAGGAGGTCTACGGCACCGTGAGCCCGACCAAGTTCATCAACATCCGGCTCCACCGGGGCGACCAGATCCTCGTCCGCGTGCCGGGCGGCGGCGGTTACGGCGACCCGCGCGAACGGGCGGACGACGCGCTCCGCGCCGATCTCGCGGACGGCTTCGTCAGCGTGGAAGGGCTAAGCGCCTACGGCCGCGACGCGAGCTTCGCGTCCTTCCTGAACAGGGCGGTCGCAGCGGAATAGGGCTCAGGCGCCGGATCGAGAGTCGTCTGTCCCGGCGCGGTCGGCGGCCCGGCCGCCGCCGAGGGCGCGGACCAGGCCGCTGAGCGATATAGCGCCGACCGGCGAACCCTCGCCGTTCACGACCCGTGCCATGCCGCCGGGCGATGCGACCGCCAGCGGCAGCGCCTCCTCCACCGTCATGTCGTGCGGGCAGTCGGGCCCCGCCAGGCCGGCCGGGCGGCTCCATGATGGAGCCCACGCGAATGACGCGGCCGCGATTGATGCTCTTCGTGAAGTCGGCGATGTAGGAGTCCGCCGGGCGCAGGACGATGTCCTGCGAATCGCCGTTCTGGACGACCTCGCCATCGCGCAGGATGGCGATGCGGTCGCCGATCTCGATGGCTTCCTCGAGGTCGTGGGTGACGAACACGATGGTCTTGTGCAGCTCGTGCTGCAGGCCGAGCAGCAGCGTCCGCATGTCCGAGCGGATCAGCGGATCGAGCGCGCTGAAGGCCTCGTCCATCAGCAGGATGTCGGCGTCGGTCGCGAGGGCGCGAGCGAGGCCGACCCGCTGCTGCATGCCGCCGGAGAGGTGGTGCGGGTAGGACTCCTCGTAGCCCTGGAGGCCGACGCGCTCCACCCATTGCGCGGCGCGTGCGGTACGCTCGCTCTTGGCGAGACCCTGGAGCGCCAAGCCGTAGCCGACATTGTCCATCACGTCCGGTGCGGGAACAGCGCGAAACGCTGGAACACCATGCTGATCTTGTAGCGCCGGAGCCGCTTGAGCGCCGCGAGCGTCCAGCGCGAGCATGTCCTCCCCGTCGATGCGCACATCGCCTTCCGTCGGGTCGATCAGGCGGTTGATGTGGCGCACCAGCGTGGACTTGCCCGAGCCGCTGAGCCCCATGACAACCTGGATGCTGCGCGGGGCCACCTCCAGATTGATGTCGCGCAGGCCGAGGACATGGCCGTGGGCCTCCAGCAGGTCCTGCTTGCTGATGCCCTCGTGCACGAGCGGCATCACGGACGCCGGGTCGGCGCCGAACACCTTGTAGAGGCGTCCGACGTGGATGCCCTCGTGGGTCTGCGCGGTCATGACTGCCGCTGCGCCTCGATGCGCCGGCCGTAGCTCTGGGTCACCCGGTCGAACACGATCGCGAGCCCCACCACCGCCGCGCCGTTGAACAGCCCGAGAGCGAAGTACTGGTTGGTTACCGCCTGGAGCACCGGCATGCCGAGGCCCTTCACGCCGATCATGGACGCGATCACCACCATGGAGAGCGCCATCATGATGGTCTGGTTGACACCGGCCATGATGGTGGGGAGCGCCAGCGGCAACTGGATGCCGAAGAGCCTGCGCCAGGTACCGGCGCCGAAGGCGTCCGCCGCCTCCAGCACCTCCTGGTCCACCAGGCGGATGCCGAGGTTGGTAAGCCGGATCACCGGCGGCACGGCGTAGATCACCACCGCGATCAGGCCCGGAATCTTGCCGAGGCCGAAGAGCATCACCACCGGGATCAGGTAGACGAAGATGGGCATCGTCTGCATGACGTCGAGGATCGGCCTCATGAACGCCTGCACCCGGTCGGAGCGCGACATGGCGATGCCGAGCGGGATGCCGATGGCGATGGCGATGAGGGTGGCGACGAAGATGATGGCAAGGGTGCGCATCGTGTCGTCCCACATGTTGAGGACGCCGATGGCGAGGAACGCGACGATGACGCCGACGGTGAGCCGCACACGCCGGCTCGCGGCGAAGCAGATGCCTGCGATCGCGACGATCACCACCCACCAGGGGGCGTTGAGCAGGACCCATTCGAACTTGATCAGGAGCCAGAGAAGCGGATCGAAGATGCTCTCGATGGGGTCGCCGTAGTTCCGCGAAAACGTGCGGTACGCCGCGTCGATGGACTTGTGGACGGAACGCAGCGTGGCAATGTCGAGAGTCGGGAAATTCAGCACCCAGTCGGACACGGTTCACGCTCCCCGGTTCGGCTCCCCCGAGGACATGGTGTTCGCACCCGGGCCGCGCCGGCGCGGCTCCCCGTCCCGGCGTTCCATCCGGTACGCCGGGACGGGGCGGGGGAGAGGGCCGGCGCGGCCTCTTCCGGTCGGTGTCTGACCAGCCGGAAGCGGGCTACATCATGGCCGCCTTCACCTTGGCCGCGACCTCGGCCGGCACCCAGGCGCCCCACACGTCCTCATTGTTCTTGAGGAAGTGCTCAGCCGCCTCCCGCGTGGTCGCCTGGTTCTCGTCCTTCCATGCGAGCAGGCTGTTCAGGAAGGAGTTCGACCACGAGACCTTGGAGACGAACTCGAAGGCCTCGGGTGCGCTCTCGGCGAAGCTCGAGGTCACCACCGTGATCACCACCGACTTCGCGTACATGTTGGGTTGCGGGTCGGCGCAATCCTTGTCGACGATGCACGGCCACGTCGCGGGGTCGTGCTCCATCCCGCCGAGCTTGACCATCGGGTAGTTGCCGAGCAGCGCGGTCGGCGCCCAGTAGTAGGCGAAGATCGGGTTGCCGCGTTCATAGGCGCTGGCGATCGCCCCCGCCAGCCCCTCGCCGGAGCCCGGGTTGAAGAGCGTGAACCGGCCTCGTCGAGGCCGTAGGCCATGTAGAGGTTGCGGTTGACGATCTCGCAGGCCCAGCCCGGCGGGCAGCCGTAGAAGCGACCCTTGCCCGGCTCCTCCTTGTCGGGGAAGAGGTCGGGCCGCTTGATGACCTCCTGCAGGGTGGTGAGTTCCGGATTCTGCTCCACCACGAAGGTGGGCACCCACCAGCCTTCCTCGCCGCCGTCCGAGAAGATATCGCCGGCGATCGTGAGCCGGCCCTCAGCCACCGCCGCCTCGACGACCTCGCGCGCGGAATTGATCCAGACCTCGGGCGCGATGTCGGGCTCGCCCTTCTCCGTCATAGAGGTGACGGTGGGCACCGTGTCGCCAGGCACCACCTCGGTGTCGCAGCCATAGCCCTCTTTGAGGATGATATCCTCGACATGGGCTGCGACCCCGGCCGAAGCCCAGGTCATCTCGGCGATCGTCACCTTGCCGCAGGCCGCATCGGCGCCCCGTGCAAGGACAAGGGCGCCGGCAACCATGAGTACCGCCGCCAGTGACATTGACAACTTCCGCATTGGAAAGCTCCCTGTCTGCATTGCGCCTCGCTCTTTGTCCTTGCGGCGCAATGCTTTGCCTGGGACCCGCCGGCACGACGGACCCCTCCTTGCCTGGATCATAGCCATCACAGCCGCGGCATGGCAATTCGAACGTTGCCGCCGGCCTTGCGGCGGCGCCGAAGGGCGGTGCTTGTGCGGCGGTCAAGAGAACAGCAGGCCCCTCTCAGCAGCCGCACCAGCGGCGGGCGAGAATCTCGTAGGCCTCGACTGCCTGCTCGATGTGCGGCACAGGGCAGTACTCGTCGGTCTGGTGGGCCATGTGCATCTCGCCCGGCCCGAGGATCACGGTCGGCGGGCGCCCGTAGGCCGGCGTCAGCGCGGAGGCATCGGTAAAATAGGGCGCCCCGCGCGGCTCGATTCTCTCGCCCAGGATCGGCTCCATCACCGCGTAGATCTCCCGCATCCACGGGTGGGTGTGCGGGGTGTGCACGCCGCCGACATCGACGATGCGCCCGACCTTGTTCTCATCGCCGAGAAATCCCTCCAGGCCCGTGAGAATTTGCCCATGGTCCTGCTCGGGTAGCGTCCTGATGTCGATGGTGAACTCGGCGTGGTCCGGCACGGAGTTCAGATTGAGCCCTCCCTGCATGGTGCCGACATTGAGGGTCGACTTTCCGAGCAGCTCGTGGGGCATGACGTTGAAGTCGAAGTCTTCGAGCCTGGTCACCGAGCGCGCCGCCTTGTAGAGCGCGTTGTCGCCGAACTCCGGCATCGAGCCGTGAGCGGTGACGCCCTCGGTCTCTACCTTGAGCCAGAGCGCGCCCTTGTGGCCGAGGATCGGATAGTTCGCCGTGGGCTCGCCGATGACGATGGCGCCGGCCTCGCCGAGCGCGCCGATCTCGCCCAGATGGTAGGAGCCTTCGCAGCCGGTCTCCTCGCCCGCGCAGATCGCCAGCACCAGGTCCGCCGCGCCCCGCTTCCCCTCAGCCGCGAGCTTCAGTGCGACATGGACGAAGGAGGCGACGCCCGCCTTCATGTCCGTGGTGCCGCGGCCATAGAGCTTGCCGTCTACGATTTCGGCGCCGAAGGGATCGACCGACCAGTCCTTGGTGCCAAGCGGTACCACGTCGATATGCCCACCGAAACAGAGCGGCTTCTTGCCGTTGCCACCTTCGCCCCGGAGCACGGCAACGAGGCTCGTCCGCTCCGGCGCGAACTCGTGGTAGGAGACTTCGAGTCCCGCCGCGCCCAGCAGATCGCCGAGATAGTGGGCACATTCCACTTCGCGGCCCGGCGGATTGCGCGTGTCCATGCGGACGATGTCCCGCGTGATCTCCAGGGCGGACGGGATGGGGGACATGGTTGGCGCTCCTCTTCCCGGCATCCGGCATGGCGGCGCGGCCTGCCGATCCGCCATCTGCGGCCGCGGGAATCGAGAAATAGAGGAGCTATATCAGGGAGTTATGAGAAATTGGGTTCGTTTTGCAAAAAAACCCTTCGGGCCGCCTCGCGGGGCCGGGGCGGCCCGTCACGCCCGGCTGCGCAGCTCGCGCTCGGTCTGGGGGACCGGCATCGGGCCGATGCCCTCGGCCACCATCTCCCGCCATTCGCGCTTCTGCGGCATGATCGGCGGCACCGGGATGGTTGTGGGCTCCGGGGTCGCATCCGCAATGGGCTTCTCGAGCCCCCTTCCCGTAACCTCGCCACGGCGGAAGAACCCGTTGTAGATGGTCCAATGGAGCCGGTTGCGCGAGCCCCTGAGCGGGAAGCGCTTGGCGATCGAGGGGAGCGAGTAGAATTTCGAGTAGGCCCGCATGTGGCCTTCGCGGAGCTGCTCGGTGGTGAGATTCTCGGGCCGGTAGACGATGTGCCCCTGGTCGTAGAGATCCCAGTCGTAGGAGACGATCTGCCCGGCCTTCTTCATCTGGTACCAGGTGAGCGTGCCGGGATAGGGGGTCAGCACCGAGTAGGCGCACGCGTCGTAATTGGCGTCGATGTTGAATTTGCTCGTCTCGTCGAAGACGGTCTCGCTGTCGCCCTCGAAGCCGAACATGAAGAGCCCGAAGACCATGATCCCGTAGCTGTGGATCTTCTCCACCAGCGCGGCGAACTGGTCCGGCCGGTTGACGTACTTGTGGACGCTCTTGAGCGTGTCGCGCGAGATCGATTCGAAGCCGATGCTCAACATGTAGCAGCCGCTCTCGGCCGCGAGCTCCAGCATCTCGTCCTTCTGGGCGAGCTTGCTGGTGGCGGCAGCCTGCCAGCGGATGCCGCGCCCCCTGAGCGCCCGCATCACCTCCTTGGGCCGCTCCTCGGTGCCGAAGAAGTCGGCGTCGTTGAGGGAGATCGTGCGCTGCCCGCAATTTTCGATCTCTCGGATCACCTCGTCGACCGGCCGGTAGCGGAACTTGAGCCCGTTCATCAGCGGCTCGGCACAGAAGGTGCAGCCCTGATGGCAGCCGCGCGATGTCTGGACGAAGGTGCGGTTGACGTAGCGGTTCTTCTTCACCAGGTCGTAGCGCGGCATGGGCACACCGACCATCGGGTGAAGCGTGTCGGCGCGGTAGACGCCCTTGAGCTCGCCGCGATCCAGGTCGTCCAGGACCTTGGGCATGACCAGCTCGGCCTCTCCGATCACCACGGCGTCGCAACGCTCCAGCGCCTCCTCGGGCATGAAGCTCGCGTGCACGCCGCCCATGATCACGGGCACGCCGCGGGCGCGGAAGGCATCGGCAATCTCGTAGCCGCGCTTCACGTAGCTCGTCATCGCCGAGATGCCGACCATGTCGACCTTCAGGTCGAAGTCGATGTCCTCGATGTTCTCATCGGTCATCACGACTTCGTACTTGTCCTGCGGAATCACCGCCGCGACCGCCAGCAGACCCGCCAGCGGCGAATAGAGCGCCCGGCCGAAATACATGGGCCGCGTGGTGAACTGGTCGGTCTGGGGATTGATCAGGTGGATGATTCTTGTGCGCATGCGTACCTCCGCTGGCGCGATTATACCGCAGCCCGGTCTGCCTGCCGAGTGGCATTCGCCGCCCCACTCCGCCGCTCACGGACGCGGCGGCCGGTCAGGCTCAGTAGTCGGCGCGGTCGTCCACGGCGTGGCCGCGCTTCGGTCACCAGCACCGTGCGCTCGTAGGTCATGAAAACCGTGCCGTCGGACTTCTTGCCGGTGGTCTTGACCGTGACGATGCCCTGCGTGGGGCGGGAGCGCGATTCCCTTGTCGCGAGCACCTCGGATTCGGCATAGATGGTGTCGCCGGTGAAGACTGGCGCGGTCAGCTTGATATCGTTCCAGCCGAGATTGGCGATCGCCTTCTGGCTGATATCGCTCACCGACATGCCGGCGACGATAGCCAGTGTCAGCGCGCTGTTGACCAGCGGCTTGCCGAACTCGCTGTGCGACGCGTAGTGGCTGTCGAAGTGGAGCGGGTGGGTGTTCATGGTGAGGAGCGTGAAGGAAATGTTGTCGTACTCGGTGAGCGTCCGGCCCGGCCGGTGCTCGTAGACATCGCCCACCACGAACTCCTCGAAATAGCGCCCGTAGGACTCGCGATAGCGCTGCTCGGCCACCTCTTTACGCTCCACGGCCATGGTTCGATGCCCCCCGCTCAGCCTCGTTCCCTCGCCGCCCGCGTGCGGCGGCCGCGACCTTAGGGAGTCGCTCGACGGGGGTCAACGTCAGCCACTTGTACGTGTTCCCTCAAGCGGTCCTAGCCGCCGTATCGGCGTTTGAGCTCTGACGCGAGGCGTCGCTCCGGCAGGTACTTCGTCCCGCCGACCCAGACCTCCCGGATACGGCCGTCCTTGCCGCGCACCAGGCGCGCTTCCTCACCGAAATTGGCTATCCCGGGCGCGAGACGGATCGTGCCTGTATCGCCTTCCGTTACGGCGATCTCGCTCGAATCTGTAAACGGAACCGTGAGGCCCGGATCGTCGACGAGGACGTGATCGCGCATCGGGATAAGGTCGATCGTGCGCCACATGCTCCACCAACGACCCGCCCAATCGCGAGTCCGAGCGCTAGGCGCACCGCGTTTCTCGAACGTTTGCAGGATGTGGATCGCCGCGTCCGACCAAGCCCAGGCGGGGCCGTCCAACGCGTTGGTCAGAATCGACACCGAGATATCGCGGCCCGGCAGCACGATCGTCCGGCTGAGGCAGCTCTGAAATCCCCCGGCATGACCGAACCACTCCCACTCGCCGACTTGGCCCCGCATGATGCCGAGACCGTAGTGGCCGCTCATGCTGCCGTGCTCGTCGCGCCACTGCTTGCGGATCATGTCGCGACGGCTTGCGGGCGAGAGCACGCTTCGCTTCGCCGCCGGATCGAGGCTCGCAAAGAAGAGCGCGAGATCGGCCGCGGTCGAGACGAAGCCGCCCGCGGGTGCGATGGCATGGGTCGGGTTGTCGCCGGGCACGACAAGCCTGCGCCCGAGCGGCAGCTTCTGCGCGTGTGCCCCGCGCCGTCGGTGCGCGCCCTGGCGCCGGTGCGTCGGGCGAGGTCTCGCGCAGCCCGCTCGGCGCAACGATCTCGCGCGCGATCCACTCGCGGTAGGGCTCCCCGGTCACGGCCTCCATGACGAGCCCGACGAGCCCGAACGCATGGTTCGAGTACTTGAATCGGGTGCTGGGTTCGATCGTCAGCGGCTCGGCAAGAGCCGCGCGCAGCTCCCTCTCGTTCACGAACGGCCGGCGATCCAGAAATTGCCCGGCCGCCGCTCCGTCGCGAATCATGCCGGCGCTGTGCGACAGCAGCTGCGTGAGGGTCGTCTCCGCCACGGTGGGATGCAGCCCGTCGACATAACGGCCCGCCGGGTCGTCCAGGCGAAGCACACCGGCTTCCCGCAGCTTCATCACCCCGGCCGCGGTGAAGCTCTTCGAGTGGGAGGCGGCGCGGAGGCGATGCCTCGGCGTCAGCGCCCGACCCGTGGAGACATCGGCGACTCCGAACGCCTTTTCGAGAACGATGCGTCCCTTGTGCGCGATGGCGATGACGCAGCCGGGCTGCCCGGTCTGCCGCATCTGGTAGTCGAGCCAACTCGGGATGTAATCCACCGCCGCCTTCAGCCATGCATCCATCGTGTCACCTCTATGAAGATCATGCGCACTGCAGAGCGAGAGTTGGCGAGCCCCAGAGCGCTGCGCCTCGCTATCGTGCGGCCGGGTGCACCGCCATCCAGTGCCGGGCGATATCGACACCGCGGGCGAACCACACCTTGTCGTGCTCGAGCACATAGTCGAGGAAGCGCTCCAGCCCGGCGGCGCGCGCAGGCCGGCCCACAATCCGGTCGTGCAGACCCAGCATCATCATCTTGGGTCGCCCCGCTCGCCCTCCCGGTAGAGCATGTCGAACGCGTCCTTCATGTAGGTGAAGAAATCGTCGGCGGTGACGAAGCCGGAGTGCTCGTTGTAGCGGTTGTCGTTGGTCTCGTAGGAAATCGGGATGACCAGATGGGGCGTGTCGCCAACCCGAACCCAATAGGGGAGCTCGTCGCCGAGCGAATCGCGGTCGTAGAGGAAGCCGCCCTCCTCCACCAGGAGGCGGCGGGTGTTCGGGCTCGGCCGGCCGGTCATCCAGCCGACGGGGCGCTCGCCCGTCAGCCGTTCCAGCCCCTCGACGGCGCGACGGATATGCTGGCGCTCGACCTCCTCCGGCACATGCTGATAGTCGAACCAGCGCCAGCCGTGGCTGACGACCTCATGGCCGCCTTCGACGATGGCCTGGGCCGCCTCGGGGTTGCGCTCCAGCCCCATGACCACAGCCCAGACGCTGGTCTTTATGTTGCGTTCCTCGAGGATGCGCATGAGCCGCCAGAAGCCGCGCCGGCTGCCGTATTCGAAGGCGCTTTCCACGATCATGTTGCGCACGCCCTCGTAGGCCGGGAAGCCCGTGTCCGTCAGCACGCCCTCCGAATGGGAATCGCCGTGGAGAATGCTGTTCTCGCCGCCCGCCTCGTAGTTGACGGCGATCGTCAGGCAGAGATTGGCACCGCCCGGCCATTGGGGGTCCCGGCGGCCTGGCGCCGTAGCCCACCATGTCACGCGGATAGGGTGCCTCCGATTGGGCCACGTCACGTCTCCTCAGTTAGAACGTGCCTTCCTCGCGCTCCACGAGCTGCAGGAAGCGCCGGGTGCGCGCCTCCTTCGGGTTGCCGAGGACCTGAGCGGGCGGCCCCTCCTCGACGATCCGTCCTTCGTCCATGAAGATCACCCGGTCCGCCACCTCCTTGGCGAAGCGGACCTCGTGGGTGACCACGATGAGCGTCATGCCCGCCTCGGCGAGGCGACGGATCACGGAGAGCACTTCGGAAACCAGCTCGGGATCGAGGGCCGAAGTCGGCTCGTCGAACAGCATCAGCTTGGGCGAGATGGCGAGCGCGCGCGAGATCGCCACGCGCTGCTGCTGGCCGCCGGAGAGCCGGTGCGGCAGGTGGTCCAGATGGCCGCCGAGCCCGACGCCGATGAGCAGGCGGCGCGCCGCCTCATGGGCTTGCTGCTTGCTCACGCCGTAGACGCGGATCGGCGCCTCGACGACGTTTTCGAGCGCGGAGAAGTGGTGGAACAGGTTGAAGTGCTGGAAGACCATGCCGATCCGGGCCTCCGCCCGGGCCCGTGAGAGGTCGCGGCTCGGCTTCAGCTTGCCCTTCACGACCTCGTAGCCGACGTACTTGCCGTCCACCGTGATCTCGCCGTCGTCGATGGCCTCCAGGTGGTTCACCATCCTGAGCAGGGTGCTCTTGCCCGAGCCGCTGGGCCCCATGATGGTCACGACCTCGCCCCGCTTCACGGTCATGTCGATGCCGCGCAGTACGTGGTTCGGCCCGTAGGACTTGTGTACGTCGGTGCAGACCACGAAGGGCTCGTCCTTATGCTCCCGGGTCTCGCGCTGCTGCTCGGCCAGGAGCTCGATCCAGTCGCTCGTATCCGCCACCCGTTCCGGCACTGCGTCCGGATCCGGCGGCGGCGGGCTGGCCGGGATATAGCTCGCAGGTGCTGCGACCGGCTTCTCGATGCCGCGGAAACCGAAAAAGCGCCCCATGGCGGTGGCGCTGCCGGGGAGCGGCTGCTTCTCCAGGCTGAAACGCCGTTCGAGGATCGCCTGTACGATGGAGATGACGCTGGTCATCACCAGATAGATCACTGCGGCAGCCGCGAACACGGTGAAGAACTTGAAGTTCTGCCCGACGATCTGCTGGGCGCGGAAGGTCAGCTCGTTGACGAAGATCACGGACGCGATCGACGTCAGCTTCAGCATGCTGATCGTGTCGTTCGTCATGGCCGGCAGGATGGGGCGAAGCGCCTGAGGCATGATGATGCGCCGGAGCGTCAGCGTCGGGCCCATGCCGAGCGACTTGGCGGCGATGCTCTGATTGCGGTCGACCGAGATGATGCCGCCCCGGATGATCTCGCCGCTGAACGCCGCCTCGTTGAGCGCGAAGCCGATGACGGCGGTGGTGAAGGTGTCGAACCTGAGCCCGATCAAGGGCAGCGCGTCGAAGATGAAGACGAGCTGCAGGAGCTGCGGCGTGCCCCGCATGAACCAGATGTAGAACCAGGACGTCGCGCTCAGCGGCCACATTCCGGAGAGCCGCATAAGCGCCAGGGCGAGGCCCAGGAACAGGCCGATCGCCATGGCGAGCACGGTGATCTTGATCGCGAGCCACGCGCCCTCGAGCAGGAACGACGAGGTGACGTAGCCCAAAAACTCGCGGAGCCACGCGAGGAAGCTGCCGGTCTCCGCCTTCTCGCGCTTTTCGCCCTGAGCGAGTTCCTGGAGCGTGATGCCCCAAGCGTTGGGGATGCCGTCGCCGATGAGAATCAGCAAGACCCCAAGTACGCACGATACGAGCAGGGTCCAGCCGAAACGTTCGGCGAACGGCATCTCCGCTAAGGCGTGTTAAGGGCTAACCGGATGCCCTATCGCCTGCTAATCGCGCAATACCTCTGTCGCCAATGCGAGGTCGGGGTCCATCTGGTACTTGATGAACAGCTCCCGCTTTGTGCCGTTTGCCTCCATGACGCGCAGTCCGTCCTCGATGGCCCGAAGCAGATCGTCGGCGTCGTTGACGACGGCAACGCCGATCTTGAAGCCGGTGAGGATCTTGAACGCCATCTCGGTCGTGTCCGGGTTGTCGATCGAGTACTTGGTCAGCAGGCTCAGATCCGACATCATGATATCGGCGCGCTGGTTCTCGACCTGCCGGAACCCGGCGGCGACATCCGGATAGGTCATGATCTCTACCGGTTCCATGCCGCCGTCGGTGCACGCCTGACTCTGGGAGCGCATGGCCGCTTCCTCGACCGTGCCGAGGCCGACGGAGAACACCGTGCCGCAGGCATCGTCCAGGCCGCCGATGTTCTTCGGATTGCCCTTCTGGGTCATACCGCCGGTACCGGCCTGCATGTAGACGATGTAGTCCACCTGCTCGGCCCGCTCGGCGGTGTAGTAGAGGGTGTCCCACATCACGTCGATCTGGCCGGCGACGAGGGCGGGCAGAAGGCCGGACCAGCCGCCGAGCTCGAACTCGACTTCGACACCGGCGCAGGCGAAGACCGCGCGCGACAGGTCGGCGTCGTATCCGATCACGTTGTCGAAATTTCGCCATCGCGGAACACGTAAGGCGGGGTCTGCGGATCCGCGCCGATCTTCAAGGTCTTGCCCGCGATATCGGGATACTTCTCTGCGACCTCGTCGGGTTCGCACATCGGGTCGGCAGCCTGCGCCGCGCCGACCATCGTCCAGGCCGCCAACGCGGCGCCCATAGCCATGGAAACGAGTGCTAGTCTTCTCATTGAGTCCCTCCCTCTATCGGTATCGTTGAGCCTAGCCCGGATTTCTCGCCACTGTCACGGCCTGCCTCCGTCGAGGCCAGGCCCTGCCGTTCAGCCAGCCATGTCGGCCCGGCGCGCCGCGGTAGCGTCCGCGTCGACCGAACCGCTCGAATCGATGATCACGCCCATAAACGTCGCGGGCCCGCTCGTGCGTGATCCAGCCTTCGGTCACGTCCTTCTGCACGCGTTCGGGATCGCGCTCCAACGGTGGGCCGTAGCCTCCGCCGCCGGGTGTGTAGGAGATCACCGTCTCCCCGCGCTTGAGGACATATTGGGCACTGGTATCCGGCACCTCGACCAGCTCGCCCTGCCCCTCGATCCGCTTGTAGTGGCGTGCGGGGCAGCCCTCGCCGCCGCCACGGGCACCCTTGGCCGGGTTCAGGCTGCCGTCGCAGACGTAGCCGAGCTCCATATCGCAGTCCACCGGGCCGTATTCCACCCGGAAGCCGGGCCCGCCCCGGAAGCGGCCTTCACCCTCTGTATCCGGTATCAGCCGGCGTTCCGTGACCAGCATGGGGTGATGAATCTCGTCCACCTCGATGCTGTCGACGAGCGGCATGCCGGCATTGCCCATGGTCAGCATGGTCAGCCAGCCGTCGGTGTGGGGCGTGCCGGGGCCGCTGCCGCCGAGCAGGATCACCTCGTTGCAGAAGGGCGCGCCGCCGTGGCGCGGATCGGAACCCGAGATCACCGCCCCCGTCGCCGGTATCGCGGCGCCGCCGTCGGCCATGCCGATGCCATCGCCGATGTCGGCCAGCGCGCGCTGCACCGCGCAGGTCACCCGGTCGCCGAGATTGGTCGTCGCCACCGAGGTGCTGGTGGGATGGCGCGGGATGCCGCAGACGGTGCCTTCGCCGAGCAGCACGTCGATGCGCCGGTAGCTGCCGGCATTGGGGGGACCTTGTGGCCGACCGTGTTGAACACGCCGACCATGCAGGCGGAGAGCGCGCACGCCCTGGGACCGATGAAACCGGCCGCAGGATAGAGGCTTGCGGGTTATCGCGCAAATCGACGGAAATCCGCGCATTCTCGCTGTCCACGGCAACCTCGGCCTTGACCGTGATGCCGTGCTCGGGCTGTCCCGGAATCTGGTTGGTCGTGGGTTCGCTTTGGTCGCGCTGGCCTTGCCGCTCGGCATCTCGCGCTTTTTGACCCGCTGGAATCATCATTTTTTGGTAGTGCTTTGATTTTCCGTAGTTTGCGAAGTACTCCTGGGTTCGGTAGTTATCGGTCCTGATTTTTTGTTTTCTCGTATCTTCCCTCCTTCCCTGTTACATGATATCGTCCTTTCTGTTTCTGTATTCTTTTGGTCTAGTCCATGCTCCTCTACTGTATTCCTTCCTTCTTATCTCGATCTCTCTCCTTTGGTACATGGCGTCCGCTCTGTGCCGTACTTACTCGCCCAGCGCCTTTGCGTCTCTCCACCTTAGTCACGCATCGGCCATGGGTAGTCGCCGCGCCACTGCGAAGGAACCCGGATGCGCAGCTCGCACATCCGGATGATGTCCTGGATGTCTTCGTAGTCCCGCTGCACCTGCACGGCCGGGAAGATCAGCGCGCCTTCTTCGTACACGTCCCGGGCGGCGCCCATGTACGTGGTCGCCATGGAGTTGCCGCAGTCCGCCTGGTGGGCCTTTGCGAGCACGGTGAAGCGGTGCACGCCGTCGTCGTCGATGACGGCACCAGGATCACGTGGTCCGCCGCGTGCGAATTGCCGTGATAGGGCGAGTTGTGCAGGAAGGCGTCGCCGTGCCTGAGCTCGGGGTGAAACTCCTTCATCGACGCAGCCATGATGTCCGCGCCGCGCAGGACGTGAATCGGGTAGCACTCGGCCGCCGAGATCAGCTCGCAATCGGCCGTGACGACGCAGCACGAGAAGTCCCGCGCCATGTTGAGCACGCCCGAGCGACCCGTGCGCAGCAGGGTATTGGCCATCTTCGACGCCACGCTCTCGAAGCGTTTGGAGAGCACTGCCAAGCGGACCCCGTCAAAGGTCCGGTCTGCGCCCATTGCCGTGTTGTTTCTGGCCACGGTCCCGTCCTCCCAGTCCTTCTAGCCGCTCACGTCGACGATCAGATTGCCGCCCGCCGGGCGGACCACCGACGCGCCCGGATCGATGACCACGGTGGTGAAGCTCGATTCGACGATCGCCGGGCCGTCTACGCGTTCGCCGCCGGCCATCGCCTGCAATCGGTGCACGTGGGCGTCGACCAACCCCACTCCGGGGAAGTAGGCGACCCGCGTCCAGCGGCTCTCGCCATCGGCCGCAGGCTCCACAGCGCGGGCGTCGGTCAGGCGGCCGATGGCGCAGCGCGCCCGCGCACGCCACGTGACCGCTTCGACATACGAATCACGATCTGCCACGGCGAACATCTCCTCATGCAGGTCGTGGAGGTCCGCCACCAGCCGCTCGACATCCGCCGGACCGTCGAAGCGGCCTTTCGCCAGCGGCACCTCGATCTCCCAGACCTGGTGCGGGTAGCGGGCCTCGACCGAGAACTCGATGCTCTGCTCCATCCCGGCGGTGCCGCGGCCCTCGAGGAAGGCCCGGCACAGTGCCTCCAGCGCCGAAAGGGTCGCATTGACCGCCTCGGTCGCGAAAGCGGTCGCTGGTCGTGAAGGTGGTGCGGCTGAACTCGGTGCTGAGATCGGACATCAGCGCGCCGGCGGCGCTGAGCGTCGCGCCGACGTCGGGGATGACGACGCGCTTGCAGCCCAAACCGTCGCGCGATCTGCACGGAGTTGAGGCCCGCCGCGCCGCCGCCGCCGATCAGCACGGCCTCGCGCGGATCGACGCCCTGGTTGATCGTGATGTCCTCGATGGCATGGACCATGTTCTGGCTGACGACATCGAGGACGGCGGCCGCAGCCTCGTGCGCGCCCACGCCCAAGGGAGCCCCGATCTTTTCCGCGATGGCCGCCGTCGCGCGATCCGTGTCGAGCGCGATGGCACCGCCCAGGAAGAAGTCGGCATCGATATAGCCGAGGGCGAGCGCGGCGTCGGTCACGGTCGGCTCGCTGCCGCCCTGGCCGTAGCAGGCCGGGCCCGGCACGGACCCCGCGCTGTCCGGGCCGACATGAAGCATGCCGCCCGGATCGACCCAGGCGATGGAGCCGCCGCCGGCGCCGACGCTGCGCACGTCGACGGACGGAAACCCCGTCATGTGGCCGCGGATGCGCGGCCCGAGCCATGTCTCCCGGGTCCAGGGAATCCGCCCCTTGCGGACCAGCGAGACGTCGTAGCTGGTGCCGCCGGTGTCGGCGACGATGGCCATGTCCTCGTCGCCCTCGGCGGCGGCGAAAACTCGCCCCGCGACAGGCGCCATTGCCGGGCCGGAATTCAGGGAGTGGATCGGCGTCGCCGCCAGGTCGGCCGCGTCGACGACACCGCCCTGGGAGGTCACGGTGAGCAGCCGGCCGTTGAAACCGGCTTCGCGCAGCCGCGCTTCCAGGGACGACAGGTAGCCGGTCATTACGGGCTTCAACGACGCGTCGATGCAGGCGCTTGACGCCCGCCGGTACTCCCGCAACGAGGGGTTGAGGCGGTGGGAAAGCGTGTAGGGCACGCCCGGCAGATGGGCGTCCAGGAACGCGCCGACCCGTTCCTCGTGGTCCGGGTTGACGATCGACCAGATCAGGCAAACCCCGACGGCTTCGACTTGGGCTGCCTTGAGCCGCTCGATGACGGCGAGGACGGCGTCTTCGTCCAACGGCTTGTGGACCACGCCGTCGGCGCGGATCCGCTCCGGGATCTCGAAGGTCAACCGGCGCGGCACCAGCGGCTCGGGGAACGGCACGGTGTTGTCGAAGGGATCGACCCGGCCGCCCTCCCGCAGCAGGAAGATGTCCGGATGTCCCTCGGTGGTGAGGAAGGCGGTCCGCGCCGTGCGGCCGGTCAGCACGGCGTTGGTCGCGCGCGTCGTGGCGTGCAGGAACAGCTCGCATTCGCCGAGCAGGGCCGCCCGATCGCGCCCGTCCGCGTCCGCCGCCTGCTGCACCACCTCGAGGCAGCCTTGCACCGGATCGTCCGGCCGCGTGGGCGACTTGAAGAGCCGGAACGTCCCGTCCCCGCCTCGAGCACGAGGTCGGTGAAGGTCCCCCCGACATCGACGGATAGTCGCACCTGATGCCCTCCCATGACCGCGTGCGGTGCGCGTTAGCCGGCCGCACCCTTGTCGAGCATGGGACCGGGGCCGTAACTCTGCAGCAGTTCGTCCACGTAATCCAGCACCGATCCCCAGTCGCATTCGCGGTGGTTGTGGCTGCGCACGACGTAGGCCGGCCCCATGTAAAAGCGTCGTATTGCATGTGGCGGCCGGCGAAGTCGCTACCCAGGAGGTCCCACGCCAGCTTGTAGAGCTTGAACCGATCGAGTGCGCCGTGGCCAGGCATCCGCCACAGCGCCTCGAAGGTTTGTCGGGTGTCGTCGTTCTCCATGACCGAGATGTCCGCCGGCATCTGCAGAACGCCGCCGCCCGAGAGCTCGCGCACCTTCGAGCAGATGTGAGTCGTAGTTCTGGTGCACCAGTAGATCGCCGCATACATCATGTGGCGGTTGTAGTTCACATAGCCGTTGCCCAGGTCTTCGAAGTCGTGGATCTGGCCCTGGATCATTCCGTCGATCATGCCGTATTGCGCGGCGAGGTGACCGATTTCGTCCCTCACCGCAGGCACCGTGTCGATGCCGGACGATTCCGTCATCCGCCGCGCGAGACCGAGGAGCAGCCGCAGCTTCGAGCGGTAGCGGACACAGGCCTGATGGTTGGAGAGCGTATGGGCCGGGGTGCGGAAGTAGATCTGGCGGGAGAGCTCGATGTCGTCGAGGGTGAAGATGTGTTCCCACGGGACCTTGACCTCGTCGCAGATGACGACGCAGTCGCTCTCGTCGAAGCGGTAGGCGAGCGGGTTGTCGATTTCGCTGACGGCGTAGCGCTCGAACGGCTTGCGCGACCAGAGGCTCAAGCCCGGCGCGTTCGCCGGGATGACGCAGGTGATCGACTCCTTCTCGTGGCCCTTGGCCAGCGGCTGAATGTTGCCGATCCAGACGTGATCGCTGAAGGCGGCACTGGTCGCGAGCATCTTGAGGCCGCTTATGACCACGCCGTCGTCGCGTTCCGCCGTGACGGCGAGTCCCGTCGGCACCGTGTCGGCCGCGCGGCCTGCGAAGCTCTCGTCCTTGCTGCGGGGCGGCGGTGTCACCGCGTGCGAGAGGAAGAGGTCCTCCCGTTTGCATCGTTCGTAGTAGGCGAGCAGGTTGGCGGCGAACGGCCTGCTTCCGCTGTCGAACACCTCCGGCTGCATGGCGGCGCCTGAGACGTAGCCGCCGATGAAGTCTGGCGAGCGGCCCATCATGCCGTAGGTGAGGTCGGCGATAATCTCGGCCGAGCGCGTCCGGCGTTCCAGGTCCTCGCGCGAGCGGGGCCGCAGGTAGTACATGGCGTGGCGCGCGCCATCCTCCTCGAAGCTCAGCAGGTCGCGGAAGCGGGGGTCGAAGCGGGCGTCGAACGTCTTTGCGTACGAGCGCGCCGCGTTGCGGAATCCGGGATGGGTGGTGACGTCGTCGACCCGCTCGCCGCCGACGTAGAGACGCGGCCGTCACGCAGTGATTCTAGGTATTCCTCGCCGCTGCGGATCATCGCTAATCTCTCTCCCTCGCCCGCGGCGCACTCGCGTGGCATTCTACTTGGAGACGGGAGGTGGGCATGGAACCGGTGCAGATTCCTCAGCGCGTCATCGATCGCGTGCTGCGTCGGCGCGGCAGGCTGCACGTGTACGAAGTCTGGACGCGCCACGCACGGCACTCCTGGTGGTGGACTTGCAGGTCCATTTCATGCGCGAGGGTAGCCCGTCGGAGATGCCGAGCGCACGGGCGATCGTGCCCACGGTCAACCGGCTTGCCGGCGCGCTTCGCGAGCGGGGCGGCCACGTCGTCTGGGTGGTCTCGACCTACGGTCCGGAGGAGGAAAGGAACTGGCCCAACCTCGACATCGTCTTGGGCGAGGAGGCTGCGGCTGGTCTTCCGCGGCGGCCTCAGCGAGGGCGCCGAGGGCCACGCGATCTGGCCGGAGCTCGACGTGCGCGACACCGACCCGGTCGTTCACAAGAACCGCTTCGGCGGCTTCATCGGCAGCCAGGGGCGGCTCGAACGCGTGCTGCACGATCTTGGCGTCGACACGGTGCTCATCGTCGGCACGGTCACGAACGTCTGCTGCGAGACGACGGCACGCGAGGCGGCGGCCTACGATTTCAAGACGGTCATGATCTCGGACGCGAATGCCGGCCGTTCGGCGGAGGAGGACGCCTGGACCTACGCCGTCTGCTTCGCGACATACGGCGACGTGATGACGGCCGACGAGGCGCTCGAACGCCTGGCCGTGACCCGGATTGGCGCCGCGTCAGAGATGCGCGCGGAAGAACGCCAGCGTCCGCTCCCAGGAGAGAGCGGCCGCCTCCGGGTGGTGGGCATCGTCCTGCTCGTTGAAGAAGGCGTGCTTGGCGTCGTAGCGATAGATCTCCACCGGCATCGCGGCTCCCTTCATGGTGTTCTCCAGCGCCGTCACGAGCTCCGGCGTGCACCACCAGTCGGTGTTCGCGAAATGGCCCTGGAACGGCACCTCGATGTTGGCCGGGTCGGCCTGCTCCTTGGGCGGAATGCCGTAGAATGAGACGCCGGCGTCGCATTCGGGGATTTTCGCGCAGGCGATGACGGTGAGCGCGCCGCCCAGGCAGAACCCCGTCACGCCGACCTTGTCGCAACTTTCCTTGAGCCTCCGGCACGCGCCGTGGATCTCGACCTCGGTCGCCCCGACCCAGTCCAGCCCTTCCATCATGTGGTTGGCCTCGTCGGGCTCCTGCGTCACCCGGCCGTGGTAGAGATCGGGTGCCAGCGCGGTGAAACCGGCTTCGGCGAAGCGGTCGGCCGTTCCCTTGATCTGATCGTTGAGGCCCCACCATTCCTGGATGACGACGACGCCCGAGCGCGATCCCGGGGCTTCCGCCAGGTAACCGTCCGCCGTGCTGCCGTCGGGGCAGTCGAATTTGATCATTTCACCCATGTCGTCCTCCAAACGGGCTGCCTGCGGGCGCCGCGGTTGTGGGCGCAAGATTATGGGTCCGCCATTAGCGAGGCAACGGAGGCGGGAGACGCATGGCCCTCAGCGCGCGGCGCAGACCATGACCTTTGGTGAGAAATGCGGGTTATGCTCCGGCAAGCTTTGTGACTTCGCTGAACGCGGCCGGCCCTCGAACGCCGGTCAGGACAAGGGAGACGGGCCATGACCATGGTGCCGAAGGAGATCGTCGATCTCGGCCGGGAAATGTTCCACAACATGCCGAACATCGGCGGCGCGGCCGTGGCCTTCTGGCCGGTCAGCTCCTTCGACGATCTGGAGACGGTCAGCGGCGGCAAGATCTCGATGGAATCCCGCATGCTCCTGGTGCCGGAGCATTGCGGCACCCACCTGGATGTGCCGCGCCATTGCACGCGGGGCGCCACCGACGTCGCCGACGTGCCGCTGGAGCGCCTGGTGTTGCCCGGCCATCTGCTGGATCTCACCCACAAGCGGAACGGCGAGGCGATCACGATCGCCGATCTCGAAGCTGCGGCCGAGACCTCGGGGCGCGCGATTCAACCCGGCACGGCGCTGCTGGTCTGGGCGGGGGTCGAGGACGACTGGGGCAAGCCCGGCTTCACCAAGGAGCGGCCGTTCGTGCCGACGGAGACGGCCACATGGCTGGTGGAGCAGGAGATCGCGCTCTTCGGCACCGACCTGATCGGCATGGACGACCCGGCCGAGTGGTGGTGGCCCACCCATCGCATCTGGCTGGAAGCGAATATCTGCATGGTCCAGCAGATGTGCAATTTGGGCGCGCTGGCGGGCAAGGAGTTCCTGTTCGTCGCCGCGCCGCTCAAGCTGCGGGACGGGACCGGCTGCCCGGTCCGGCCGATTGCCCTCGTGATGTAGGGGCAGCGCGCCCGAACGCGCGCGGCCGCGGCGATTGGCTTGCCGTCCCGGCTGCGTCGGCTATATTCCGCACACCATGCCTAAAAGGCGGTGAGGACCGTCCACCACTAGGGAGAGGAAGAGATGAAGGCGTTACGAGCCGGTTTGATTTCGGCAGGCGTGGCACTGGCCGCGCTGACCGCAGCAAATGCGCAGGCGCAGGACAGCCACGTCACCTGGCACGACGACGGCACGGTCGACCTCACTATGGAGGACGGTGCGGTTATCAAGACCTCGCAGGAGGAGCTCGGCGACCTGTTCGGGCCCGGCGAGAAGCCCTTCGAGGGAACCACGGTCACGATCCTCACCCTCGATTCCGGGGTGCGCGGCGGGATCTCGGGGCCGATCCACAGCTTCCGCCCGATTTGGGAGGAGCTATCCGGCGGCACGCTGGAGATCGCGCTCACCCCGATCACCGATCTCTACGCCAAGATGATGCTCGATCTGCGCCAGGGCACCGGCCTCTACGACGCGATGATCGTCGGCGCGTTCTTCTACGGCGACCTGATCGCCGGCGACTACATGATCCCCATCGAGGAGTTCATGGAGAGCGGCGAGCATCCGCAGTGGACCTACGATTCCATGCCGGCCTCGCTCAAGACGCTGCACAGTTGGGGGGACACGGGCTACGGCGTGCTCAACGACGCCGACGGCCAGGTGCTCTACTACCGCCGCGACGTGCTCAACGATCCCAAGTGGCAGGCTGCGTTTAAGGCGGAGCGGGGCTACGACATGGTGGTCCCGCCCAAGACCTGGCAGCAGCTCCTCGACATCTCGCAGTTCTTCGCGGGCAAGAATTGGGATGCGAACGACGACGAGCCCGATCATGGCACCGTGCTGCATCTCAAGGTCGGCGAGCAGGGGCATTATCACTTCCAGTCGCTGTCCGCGTCCTTCGCCATGACTCCGGGCGAGGCGGTGACCCAGTACCAAAACGTCTACTGGTTCGATCCCACCGACATGACCCCGCTGATCGACAGCCCCGGCCACGTCGCGGCGCTCGAGTTCCTGCAGGAGCTGCACAAGACCGGGCCCGAGGCGCAGGTGGGCTGGAGCCTCGGCGAGGCGTGGGACTACTTCCTGCGCGGCAAGTCGGTGTTCGTGTTCAGCTGGGGCGACGTGGGCTCGCTCTGCCAGGATGAGTCGCGCTCCAAGATCAAGGGCATCTGCGGCTCGGCCATGATGCCCTCCTCCGACAAGTACTGGGATCACGAGAACGGCGCCTGGGTCGAGACCGACGACCCTGCAGCCGGTCGGCAACACCACCGGCGGCTCGTGGCACGGCGTGATCTCGGCGTTCTCGGAGAACCCGGATGCCGCCTATTCGTTCCTGTCGCTGATGGCGATCAAGCCGTCGTCGAACTGGGGCGCGTATAACGGCTGGACCGGCGTCGATCCGGGCTACTACTACCAGTTCCTGGAGCCGTTGGGCGAGGCGAAGATCGAGGACTACGTGGCCGCAGGCTGGCATCCCGACGATGTCGCCGAGTACACGCAGGCCTATTACGATAACTTCACCGCGCCGACGATCCTGACCTACCTCAGGATCGAGGGTGCGCCCGAGTACTGGGACATCATGGACAAGAACCTGTCGGCGGCCATGAGCGCCCAGAAGACCGCACAAGAGGCGCTCTCCGATACTGCCGCGACCTGGGAGGAAATCACCGACCGCCAGGGCCGTGACAAGCAGCTCAAGCAGTATCAGGAAGCTATCGGCTACGGCGGGTAGATAATCGACCATCCGGTGGGGTGCAGGGCAGCGTCGGCGCGTACGCCGCGCGGGCCCTGCACCCCGCTGCTACCCTCGGAATGAGCGGTATTAGCCAGCCATGATCCGCTGGAACAAGCCGGTCAAGTTTGCCTTCTTGCTGCCGGCCGTCTTCTGGGTGCTGGCGTTCACCGTCTTCCCGCTCGGCTATTCGCTTTTCCTCAGCTTCCACGATGTCGATCGCAAGGTCGTGGTCACCGGGCGCGAGAAGGTGCCGGTGCTCAACGACGCGGGCGAGCCCGTGCTCAAGAAGAGCGGTGAGCCGCGCACCAAGACCCTGGTGCACCGCAATCTTCAGACCAACTTCACCTGGAACGGCTTCGCCAGTTTCGTCCGCGCCTTCGGCGACGAGGAGGTGGGGGCGGCGGTGAAGCTCACTGCGATCTTCGTGTTCACTGCGGTGACCGTCGAGATTGTGCTGGGATTCCTGCTCGCCTTCCTCTTCCACCGATACATCTTCGGGCGATCGGTGCTGCGAACGATCATGATATTGCCGATCTTCGCGACCCCGATCGCGGTCGGCTACCTGTTCTTTACTGTCTTCTACGAGATCGGCGGGCCGCTCGAATTCATGGGCATACCATGGTTGTCGCACCCGGATTGGGCGGTCGTATCGGTAATTATCGTCGATATATGGCAGTGGACGCCGTTCTGTTTCCTTGTGTTCCTCGCCGCGCTGCAGAGCATCCCCGACGATCTTGTGGAATGCGCGCGATTAGACAGCGGCTCGGCCTGGGACCTGTGGCGCATCGTCGTGATTCCGATGATTCAGCCGGTCATCATCATCGTGCTGCTGCTGCGCCTCGCGGAGGCGGTCAAGCTCTTCGACATCATCGCGACGATGACCAAGGGCGGGCCCGGCATCGCCACCCAGTCGTACAGCTATCTGGCGTTCACCCGCGGCTTCAAGCTGAACGACTTCGGCTATGCGTCGGCCATGGCCTACCTGCTGCTGATCGTGGTGATGATCGTGGTCACGCTCTTCTTCCGCCGCCTGAGGCAAACCTATGCTTAGCGGGCTGGGTAAGTCGCTGTTCGGGCAGCCCGCCAGCACACCCCAGGCACGCTCCCGGCGCAAACGGCTCTGGTTCGCCGATGCCTGCTTCTCGATCATTGCGATTTTCATCGCGCTGATCTTCTTCTTCCCGATCTACTGGGCGGTTTCCAACAGCCTGCGGAAACCGGCCGAGACCTTCACCGTGGCCGGCCTCGGCGTCCCCTTCATCGACTTCACGCCGACGCTCGAGAACTGGATATCGCAGATGTCGGTGCCGGAGGCCTACAACGCCTTCGGCAACAGCCTGATCATCTCCATCTGCTCGGTGCTGATCGCGCTGACCCTCGGCCTGCCGGCGGCCTATGCGCTCGCGCGCTTCCGCTTCAGGCGCATCAAGAACAAGGACCTCACGATCTGGTTCCTGTCGCAGCGGGTGCTGCCGCCGGTGGCAACGGCGGTGCCCTTCTTCATCGTCTTCTCCTCCATCGACATGCTGGACACCCATGCCGCGCTGATCCTGGTCAACGCCACCTTCATCCTGCCCTTCGTGGTGGTGATCGTGCGCCAGACCTTCCAGGACCTGCCGATCGAGCTGGAGGAGGCGGCGCTGGTGGACGGCGGCTCGCACTTCGTCGCGTTCTTCCGCATAGCGATCCCGCTCGCGCTGCCGGCGATCGCCGCGTCCGCGCTCATCATGTTCGCTTTCGCGTGGAACGAGTATCTCTTTGCGGTGATCCTGACCATCAAGGAATCGGCGACCATGCCGGTCCATATCGCGGGCGGCGTGGATTCGCGCGGCGTGCAGTTCTGGTTCGTGGCAGTGCGCTCGCTCATCGCCATGATCCCGCCGGTCCTGATCGCGCTGTTTGCGCAGCGCTACATCGTGCGCGGGCTTACCCTCGGCGCGGTCAAGGGCTAGGTTCGGGGTAGGAGGCAAGCTATGGCGTCGGTATCGGTTCGCAGCGTCCACAAGTCCTTCGACGACCTCGCCGTCATCCACGGCGTCTCGATCGACATCAACGACGGCGAGTTCCTGGTTCTCGTCGGCCCGTCGGGCTGCGGCAAGTCGACGCTGCTCAGGATGATCGCCGGCCTTGAAGACATCAACGACGGCGAGATCGCGATCGGCGACACGGTGGTCAACGACATGGCGCCGAAGGCCCGCGACGTCGCCATGGTGTTCCAGAACTACGCCCTCTACCCGCACATGACGGTGCGCCAGAACATGGGCTTCAGCCTGCGCCTGCGCCGGGAAGACAAGAACATGATCCGCGAACGGGTGGACAGCGCCGCCCAGATCCTGGGGCTGACGCAGCTGCTCAACCGGCTGCCGCGCCAGCTCTCGGGCGGCGAGCGCCAGCGCGTCGCCATGGGCCGCGCCATCGTGCGCGACCCGCAGGTGTTCCTCTTCGACGAGCCACTCTCCAACCTCGATGCCAAGCTCCGCGTGCAGATGCGGACCGAGATCAAGGCGCTGCACCAGCGGCTCAGGACCACCTCGGTCTACGTCACCCACGACCAGGTCGAGGCGATGACCATGGCCGAACGCATCGTGGTGATGAACCTCGGCCGGGTGGAACAGGTGGGCCGCCCGCTCGACCTCTACGACCGGCCGGCCAACCTGTTCGTCGCGGGCTTCATCGGCTCGCCGGCGATGAACTTCATCGACGCCTCCAGCACCGCCGAGAGCGACGCACCGGCCTTGACGGCGGCGGACGGCACCGCGCTGCCGCTCCCGCCGGGCACCCGCGTAGGCGGAGGACAGCCGCTCGTCTACGGCGTGCGCCCCGAAGACCTGGCGCTCTCACCAAACGGTGCGGGCGTCGAGGCCACGGTCTCAGTGGTCGAGCCGACCGGCTCAACCACGCTCGTTTTTTGCGAGATGGCTGGCCAAGAAATCTGCGTCGAGTTCAAGGAGCGGCACGACTTCAACCCCGGCCAGACGATCCGGCTGATGCCGCGCCTCGAAGCCCTTCACCTGTTCGATCGAGAGACCGGCCAGCGCCTCAGCGACTGACAGTGGCGGGCGACGGCCTCAATGGTCGGCGTCATCGCCGCCCCGGGTCTCCACCGCGACGCCGGTCGTGATGTCGCCCGCCCGCTCGAAGGTGAAGGAGACGGGGATTGTCTCCTCAGCCATCAGCATGAATTTGAGGTCGACCAGCATGACGTGATAGCCGCCGGGCGCGAGTTCCACCGCGCCGCCCGCCGGCACCACGATGCTCTCCACCTTCTCCATGCGGTGGATGCCGTCCTCCATCGTGCTCCGGTGGAGCTCGACCCTTTTGGCGAGGGGCGTGCTGACGGCGATCAGGTGATCGTCGGCCGTACCGTTGTTGCGGATGTCGAGATAAATCACGCCGTTCTGCCCCTGCGGCGCCGGCCGCGACCAGGGATGGACGATCGTGATGTCCGCGGCCTTCTCCTCGTGCGCCGCCGCAGGCGCCACCATGGCGACCACCGCCAGCACGGCGATCAGAGCCATCGCAGCACTTCTCAGCCAGACCATCCGGAATCTCCTCATCTGCCGCACGCATTAGACACGTGAAGGCAGCGCCCGTCACGGCCCGGCGGGCGGCGTGGCCTCGATATCGGGGACGAGGCCCTGTGCCAGGCGCTCGCCCGGCACCTCGATTCGCTCGGCAGGAATCGCGAGCCGCCAGTCGTGATCGACCGGGATCAGGCGCGTGAGCCAGTCCTTGCCCAGGGTCTGAGCCCCGATGAGCCGCGCGCCGGCGTAGCGGCGGAGCAGCGCCGCCAGCACCTCCGCACTGCTCGCCGTCTCCGGGCCGATCAGCACGTCGATCGCGGCGCCATCCAGATCCAGGACGCGGAGCGGTGCGGGGAGCGCCACATCGGTCGCGCCGCCCTGGCCGACCAGGCGGATCGCACCCTCCCTCGGACCCGTGAACAGCTCGCGACCCGGCGCATACGGTCGAAGTCGCCGCCCCCGTTGCGGCGGAGATCGATCACCAGCCGCGCCGCCGCACCGGTCGCGTGCGCGGTCACGGCATCGGCGATCTCGCGGTCGGCGGTCCGGCCGAAACGGTCCAGCACCACGACCAGAGCCGCGTCGCTCCGCCGTTCCACGGCGGTGACCGAGGGCTCCGTGTGCGCCCGGCGGATGGTGTCGGTATCGGGGTGGTTCACCCGAACCAGGCGAGCCGCAGGCAGGCTGCCAGCAATGAGACGGGCGGCGCAGCGGGTGCCGGCGGGCGGGCAGCGGCTCTCGATTTCTGAGCCGAGCGCGGCAGGGAGCTCCGCGTGGCGCGCCACGGCGCCCAGCAGGCGGTCGCGCGGCGCCTCCGCCTCAGCGTAAGCGGCAGAGGTGCCGGCGAGCGCCGCGAGCGCCAGGATGCCCGCAGCGACGCGGGCGAAAGCCGTCGTCGTGGAGACCGCTGCGGTCAGTGACAGTAGTTGACCGCACCCGCCATGTGGGCGCCCCAGGGCTCCTCACCCACGCCATCGATGGTCGCGATCACGGTCATCGCCGCCACATCGATCACGGCGACGGTGTTGGCGTCGCTCAACGCGACATAGAGCTTCGTGCCGTCGGGCGTGACGACACCGGTCTCGGGCGTGCCCGCCAAAGCGACTTCGCCGGCGGGCTGCATGGTCTCGAGGTCGATGACCAGCGCCTTGTCGTCGCCCCGGCTGATCACGTAGGCGAGCGAGTCGAACGAGCCGGTGTTGACGCCGGTCATGTCGGCCGCACCGGGAGGCGCGCCACCTCGGTCAGCGTCTCGGTCGAGACCACCGAGACCGTCTCGTCGCCGTTGTTGGGGACGATCATGTAGCGGCCGTCGCCGGTGGCATAGGCGCGCCAGGGCGTGTCGCCGAGGGCAAGCGTCTTGAGGGTCCGGCCCGTCTCGAGGTCGATCACCGCCATGTCGTCGCCCTCGCCATAGGCCGCGAAGCCAAGCTTGCCGTCAGGCGTGGCGGTGATGTTGATGATGCCCTGATAGGCGTCCTCGTCCGCCGCGCCGCGGGCGGCGAGCGCCCGGTCCAACCCGACGGCGATCTCGCCGGCGACCGTGGCCTGCGGCACGTCGATCATGCTGACGAAGCTCGCGCCGAGATTGCCGACATAGAGGCGCTCGCCTGTGGGTCGAAGGTCATGTTGTGGGGCTCGTGCAGCCCGTGCACGCGCGCGAGCTCGCGCTCGGTGCGGAGCGAAACCAGCGAGACCGTCCCCTCGCCGATGTTGCCCACGGCCAGCACGTCGCCCGAGGGGTCGAGCTCCATGTGCTCGGGCTCATGGCCGAGCTGGATGGTGGCCGTCACCGCGAGCGTTCCAAGATCGATCACCGAGACGGTGTCATCGGCGGTGTTCGTCACTGCCATCTTGCCGAGGCTTTGCGAGACCGCGACCTGATGCGGCACCTGGCCCACCGGGATATGCGCGATCACCGCATCGATGCGCGTATCGATGACCGCCACGTCGGCGGACGCCCGGTTGTGGCACGAACACGTAGTGCGAGAGGTCGTCCAACGCGTGTACGCTTGGCACCGTCACGGCAAGCACGGCGAGCGCACCGAGGCCCGCTGACAACAGCTTGTTCATCCCTTCCCCTCCCCTGGGTTCGCGCGGGCCGCCGCCGGCGGCATGAATAGAGTGGCACAATAGAAATCGCGGTGGGCAAGGGTCAAGCGCGCGTCCCCGATTTCTCTTCCGAACGCTGGACCCGAGCGATTCTGAGCACGTTGGTCGTGCCCGGCGTGCCGAAGGGGACGCCGGCGGTGATGACGATGCGCTCGCCCGGCGCAGCGTGGCCGGCATCGAGCGCCTGGGCGCACGCCCTCTCCACCATGTCGGTGAATCCGGTGGCATCGTCGGTGTGGACGCAGTGGACGCCCCAGACGAGCGCAAGCCGCCGCGCCGTGCCGCGGTCCGGAGTCAGCACGAGGATCGGCGCTTTGGCCGCTCGCGCGCCGCCCTGACGGCAGTGGAGCCCGAGGTGGTGTAGGTCACGATGCTGGCTGCGTCCAAGGTGTCCGCCACCTGGCGCGCGGCGGCGGTGATCGCATCGGCCGTCGTCGCTTCCGGGTCCTGCTGCTGCCAGTGGACATAGCGCCGGTAGGCGTCGTCGCGCTCCACATGCTCGACGATGCGGTTCATCATCGCCACCGCTTCGCGCGGATAGCGCCCGGCGCGGATTCGCCTGAGAGCATGAGCGCATCGGCCCCGTCATAGACCGCGGTCGCGACGTCCGAGGCTTCGGCGCGGGTGGGCGCCGGCGCAATCATCATCGAATCCAGCATCTGGGTCGCGATCACAACCGGCTTGCCGGCGGTCCGCGCCGCATGGACGATGCGCTTCTGCGCGGCCGGCACGTCCTCGGGCGCAAGCTCCACGCCGAGGTCGCCGCGCGCCACCATGATCGCGTCGGAGAGTTCGACGATCTCCTCCAGGCAATCGAGCGCCGCAGGCTTCTCCAGCTTGGCCACGATGGCCACATGGTCCGGCACCAGGCGGCGCGCGGACGCGATGTCGTCGGGCCCCTGAACGAAGGAGAGCGCCACCCAGTCGACCCCGAGGCTGAGAGCGAAAGCGAGATCCTCCCGATCCTTGAGCGTGACCGCATCGATGGGGAGCGTCACGCCCGGCAGGTTGAGGCCCTTGCGATCGGAGAGGACGCCCGGCGTCACCACCACCGTCTCGGCATGGTCCGGACCGCACGCGGCGACGCGGAGCCGCACCTTGCCGTCGTCCAGCAGCACTTCGGCGCCGGGCGCCAGCGCCGCGAAGATTTCGGCGTGCGGCACGCCCACGCAGGTCCGATCCCCCGGCTCATCGCCGAAGCCGAGGGTGAAGCGCTGGCCTTGGGCGAGCGGCGCCTCGCCGCCCCGGAAGGTGCCGATCCTGAGCTTCGGCCCCTGAAGGTCGGCGAGAATCCCGATCGGCCGGCCGGCCTCCGCCTCGACGGCGCGAACGAGGGCGTGGCGGGCGCTGTGCTCGGCGTGGGTGCCGTGGCTGAAATTGAGGCGGAACACGTCCACGCCGGTCTCGAACAGCGCGCGGACGATCGCCTCGTCGGAGCTCGACGGCCCGAGTGTCGCGACAATCTTGGCGCGGCGGTGTCGGCGCACGACTCGTGCCTCTGCGGTCTCCCTGCCCCCGTTATCGGCATGGCGCCGCTGCCGGTCAATGGTTAGTCCGCAAACGCGCCGCTTCCCCTCCCGAGTCCCTGCACCAAAGTGCGGTGCAGGGCGCACGGCTCTTGCCCCAAGATCGCGACATGCAGCGCGAAAGCGGACGGGTCACGGCAGGGGAGATGAGCGGGCCGTGCGCGACACTTGGTGCCGCGCGCACGACCCTTCGGGCGCGCGCGACGTCCCGCGGAATCCCACTTATCCCACTTAATCCCGCCGAATCCCGGATAGGAATTAAGCTGTGCCAGAGGTGGGACGCGGAACCGGCCCGAGACCGTGGCGAGACAGGCAGGCTAACCCGGATGGCTCACCAGAATCGCGCGAAAGTCGTTCACGTTGGTGAGCGTCGGCCCGGTCATCACCAGATCGCCGAGCGCGGCGAAGAAGCCGTAGGCGTCGTTGGCAGCGAGTCGGGCAGCGGCGTCCTCCCCCGACGCGCGCCCACGCGCCAGCGTATCGGGCGCGACCACGGCGCCGGCATTGTCCTCGGTGCCGTCGATCCCGTCGGTATCGCAGGCGGTGGCGAAGATGCCGGGCGCACCGTCGAGCGCGAGCGCAAGTGCGAGCGCATATTCGGCGTTGGGGCCGCCGCGGCCTTCGCCGGTGACGGTCACCGTCGCTTCGCCGCCGGAAAGGAGGATGGTGCCGGGCGCGGCGTCTCGTGCGAGCGCGGCGTGCACGCCCGCGAGATCGCGCGCCTCGCCCTCCAGCGCATCGCCCAGGATGATGGGCGCGTAACCCGCCTCGCGCGCCACATCGGCGGCGGCGGCGAGCGCCATGGCGGGCGTCGCCACGATCAGGGTCTCCGCCCCTGCGAGCCGGGGGTCGCCCTCCTCCGGCGTCTCCTCCCGGCCCTGCTCAAGGTGACGGATGACGGCGGCGGGCTCGTCGATCCCGTACTTGCGCAGCACCGCAAGGGCGTCGGCGAAGGTGGTGGGGTCGGGCACGGTCGGGCCCGAGCCGATCACTGCCGGGTCGTCCCCCGGCACGTCCGAGATCAGGAGGCTCACGAGGCGAGCCGGATGGCAGGCCCCCCCCAGCCGCCCGCCCTTGATGGCGGAGAGATGCTTGCGCACGGCATTGATCTCGCCGATCGCGGCGCCCGAGCGGAGCAGCGCGCCGGTGACCGCCTGCTTGTCGCAAGCGCGATCCCCGGCGCAGGCAGGGTAAGCAGCGCCGAGCCGCCGCCCGAGACGAGGCAGAGCGCGAGATCGTCCGCTCCCAGTCCCTCGGCCATGGCGAGGATGCGCGCCGCGGCCTCGCGGCCGCCGGCATCCGGTACCGGATGCGCCGCCTCGACCACCTCGATCGCGCGTGTCGGCACGCGGTGGCCGTACCGGGTGACGACGAGGCCTTCGAGGGGACCCTCCCAGTGATCTTCGACGGCCTGCGCCATCGTCGCTGCCGCCTTGCCGGCGCCCACCACGACGGTGCGGCCGGCGGGCGGCTCAGGCAGGTGCGGCGGCAAGCAGCGCGCCGGCCGGGCACTCGCGAGAGCCGCGTCCAGCAGGCGGCGCAGAATGATTCTCGGATCTTCGCTCATGCCTCACCTTGCCAGAGCCGCACGCCAGCGTCATCCGCCGCCCCGGCGCCGGCAGGCGCCGCGCAAGCGCTGCAAGGCGCGACGGGCTACCATGCCGCGCCCGCCCCCGAGTCACGCATCGGCACGGATCGGGCGATACGGGAGCCCGCCCATGACCCCTGCGCGCCGCCGTCTCCTCATCGGCGCCGGCCTCGCGATCGTCTCCGGCCTCTGCTTCAGCAGCGGCGGCTTCTTCGTCCGCTCGGTGTCGGTCGATGCGTGGGAGATCATCACCGTCCGCTGCTTCTTCGCCGGGCTCGGCGTGCTCGCGATCCTCTTCGTGTCCGAGCGGGGGCGGGTGTGGCCGCTGCTCCGCGCCTCGGGCTGGCCGGTTCTCGCGGTAGGCGTCACCACCGGCTGGGGGATCATCGCCTACGTGCTGGCGATGCAGTACACGCTGGTCGCCAACGTGATCGCGATCATGACGACGTCCACCGTCATGGTGGCACTTCTGGCCAAGCCGGTGCTCGGCGAGCCGGTGGCGCTGAGGACGTGGCTCGCGCTGCTGGGGAGCCTCTGCGGCGTCGGCGTGATGTTCTGGAGCGACGTTGGCGGCGGCGTCATCGGCAACCTGCTCGCGCTTTCAATCGCGGCCGCCATCGCGATCCAGACCCTGATCGCCAGGCGCTTCCGCACCGGGCGGATGGAGCCGGCAGTACTGCTGGCGGCGGTGGTCGCGGGCCTCGTCTCTCTGCCGTTCGCCCTGCCGTTCGAAGCCACGGGCCGGGAAGTGGGGATGATGGCGGCGCTCGGCCTGGTGCAGCTCTCCTCGGCGCTCACCCTCTACTTCTACGCTGCGCGCTACCTGCCGGCACCGGTCCTGATCTTCGTCGTGCTGATCGATGCCGTCTTTGCGCCGATCTGGGTCTGGCTCGGCTTCGGCGAGGTGCCAGGCACGCTGATCTTCATCGGCGCCGTGGTGATCCTGGCTTCGGTGGCGGGCAACGCCCTTTTCGGGTTGTTCGCGTCTCGCCAGCGCTCGACAGCCGAGTCCTAGAGCGAGTCCGTCTTCGACGGGCTCGCGACAGGCCGCGACCGCGGCCCGCCGCTTATGCGGCGCCCTCGCGGAGGCGCCGGCCGCAGGCCGGCTGCCGTGAGCGACAAAGACAGCTATCGGCGGTGCATCACCCCTGCCGCGAGGAAGCCGCCATCGACCGCGAGCACGTGGCCGGTGACGTAGCGGGCCTCCTCGCTTGCGAGGAAGAGCGCCGCGGCTGCGGTCTCCTCCGGCGTGCCGTAGCGATCGAGCGGAATGGCGGCGCGGTAGACCGTCCGCGTCTCGGCCGAGTGCATCTTCGCCACCAGCTCGGTCTCGATCGCGCCGGGCGCCAGCGCATTCACGGTAATGCCGTGAGGCGCAAGCTCGACCGCCATCACCTTGGTGAGCGCGATGACGCCGCCCTTGGCGGTGCCGTAGGCCGCGCGCCCGGTGCCGCCGCGCACGCCGGCGGTCGACGCGAGATTGACGATGCGGCCGTAGCCGCGCTCGACCATGTGGCGCGCCGCCGCCTGGCCGCAAAAGAACGTGCCGGAGAGATCGATGTCGAGGATGCGCTGCCATTCCTCCGGCGTGGTGTCGAGGAAGCTGCGCTCGACGCCGACACCGGCGCTGTGCACGAGGATATCGACTTTGCCGAACGCCTCAATTGCCCGGGCGATCATCGCGTCCGCCTGCTCGGGCCGGCTCACGTCGCAGGCGATGGCCTCCGCCTTTGCGCCGCCCTGCACGAGCGCCGCGGCGACCTGCTCGGCGCCCTCCAGGTTGATATCGGCTACCGCGACCGCAGCGCCGCGCTCTGCCAAGGCGCGCGCAACCTCTCGCCCGATGCCGCTGGCGCCGCCGGTCACCACGGCGGACCGGTTGACATAGATCAATGTTCGCTCCCGGGGCGCTTGCCGCGCCCGTGCGCCTGTTCTAGCGTGGCATCCTGGCGGACGCCAGGGCGCGACACAGGGCGCCGCCGCCGCCGGCCGCGGATGCCGGGACCGGAATTAGAAGGCCGCCAATGCGCCTGTGCAGGGCGCGGCGAAACGATGGGAGGGAGCACGCAAATGAATGTTGGCAAGTCGATCAAGGCCGGCCTTGCCGCCGGCGTGTTGAGTGCGGCGATTCTTGCGGCGGGCCTTGCCCAGGCCGAGGACGAGCGCGTGCGCTGGAACATGGCGAGCTGGTTCCCCAGCAGCCTGACCCAGCTTGGCACGCTCGGCAAGAGCATGGTGGACCGTCTGGACCGTATCTCCGGCGGCAATGTCCAGATCAAGTTCTTCGAGCCGAACGCGCTGATTCCGGCGAAGGAATGCTTCGACGCCGTGGCTGCGGGCTCGGTCGATGCGTGCTGGTCCACGCCCGGCTACTGGTACGGCAAGGAGCCCGCGCTCGCCATGTTCGCCGCCGTCCCCTTCGGCCCGAGGGCCGGCGAGTATATGGGGTGGATCTACTATGGCGGCGGCTACGAGCTGTGGGATGCAATCTACGAGCCGCACGGCCTGAAGTCGCTGCCCTGCGGCGTCATCGCGCCTGAAGCATCCGGCTGGTTCCGCAAGGAGATCAACTCCATCGAGGATCTCGCGGGCCTGAAGATGCGTTTCTTCGGCCTCGGCGCCAAGGTGATGGAGAAGATCGGCGTCTCCACCCAGCTCATTGCCGGCGGCGATATCTTCCCCGCGCTGGAGCGCGGCTCCATCGACGCCACCGAGTACTCGATGCCGGCGATCGACCTCAATCTCGGCTTCTACCAGGTCGCCAAGCACTACTACTTCCCCGGATGGCACCAGCAGGCGACGATGTTCGAGCTGCTCATGAACAGGGCCGCCTGGGATGCGCTGAGCGACACCCAGCGGGCGCAGATCGAGGTCGTCTGCGGCGATGCCTTCCGCGAAGGGCTGGCCGAGGGCGAGGCGATCCAGGGTGCCGCGCTGGTCGAGCTCCAGGAGAAGGGCGTGACGATCCACCGCTGGTCGCAGGAGATCCTGGACACGCTGGAGGAGAAGTGGAAAGAGGTCGCGGCCGAGGACGTGGCGCGTGACGCGAACTTCGCCAAGGTCTGGGAGTCCTACGCGGCGTACCGCGCCGAGTACGCAATCTGGAAGGAGCTCGGCTATCTGAACTAGGGCCGAGCTGAAGCCGCGCGCCACGGCGTGCGGCTTCTCCTTTGCCGAGGGGCGCCGGAACCGGTGCAGACCGCGTTCCGGCGCTCCCCTATTGTCTCGGTGGGGCGGCGGTAACGGACTGTATGCGGTACCTCCTGAGAGTTGAGGGCGTCCTCAATTCGGTGGTGACTTGGGTCGGGCGTATCGGCGCCTGGATCTCGGTGTCGCTGATGATCATCATCATCTTCGACGTCATCACCCGCCGCTTCCTCGTGCTGGGCTCGACCAAGTTGCAGGAAGGCGAATGGCACCTGCATGCGGTGCTGTTCCTGCTCTGCCTGGGCTTCGCCTACCTGAAGAACGCCCATGTGCGGATCAGCCTGGTGCATGAGCGCTTCAGCCCCAGGGTGCAGCGCTGGATCGAGTTTGTCGGCTGCCTGGTCTTCGCACTTCCTTACTGCGCCATCGTCTTCTACTTCGCGCTCGACTTCGTGGAGCGCTCCTGGGCCGTGGGCGAAGCCTCTGACTCCGCCACCGGCCTGCCCTACCGTTGGGCGATCAAGGGCTTCCTGCCGGCCGGGATGCTCCTCCTGGGTCTGGCCGCGATCGCCGTGCTGCTGCGCAAGTTCGTGGAGCTGTTCGGTTCTCCTGAGCTCCGTCGCTCTCTCGGCGACGAGGGCGCAGAAGAGCCGGAACGGCCCGAGTAGGCCGCGCCGGGTCGGGAGCCGCAGCGCATGTTCTACATCGAGGACTACCTGCCGGCGTTCATGTTCGGAGCGCTGGCGATCCTGCTGTTCTCGGGCTTCCCCGTCGGCTTCGTTCTCGGCGGCGTCGGGCTGGCCTTCGGCTTCCTCGGTGTCGCGCTCGACGTCTTCCACGTCATCCAGTTCTTCAACCTGCCGCTCCGCATCTGGGGCATCGCCGACAATCTGGTGCTGGTGGCGATCCCCATGTTCATCTTCATGGGCACGATGCTGGAGCGATCCGGCGTCGCCGCGGATCTGCTCTATTGCCTCCAGGTCCTGCTGCGGCGGACGCCGGGAGGGCTCGCGCTCGCGGTCACGGTGATGGGCACGATCCTCGCCGCGACCACCGGCATCATCGGCGCCTCGGTGGTGATGATCAGCCTGATGGCGCTGCCGGTCATGCTGCAGCGCAAGTACAACATGGAGCTCGCCACCGGCACGATCGCCGCATCGGGCACGCTCGGCATCCTGATTCCGCCCAGCATCATGCTGGTCATCATGGCGGATCTACTGGGCCGCTCCGTCGGCACGCTGTTTGTCGCGGCGGTATTCCCCGGCCTGATGCTCGCGGGCCTCTACTTCATCTACATCCTCACGCTGTGCCGGTTTAAGCCCCATCTCGCGCCGCCGCTGCCCAAGGAGATGGGGCCAAAGAGCACGCGCGAGCTCGTCTTCATGCTCTTGAGGGGCCTCATTCCGGCGGTATTCCTTATCCTACTGGTGCTGGGCTCGATCGTGCTGGGCTGGGCGACGCCGACCGAAGCGGCGGGCGTCGGCGCCTTCGGCGCGCTCCTGCTGGCGGTGATCAACGGCAAATTCTCGTGGAAGATGCTGCGGGACGTGGTCGAGCGCACGGCGCTCACCAACGGCATGCTGTTCTTCATCTTCATCGGCGCGACGGCGTTCTCATACGTGTTCCGCTCGCTCGGCGGCGACCAGCTGATCGAGGATGTCGTCTATTCCGTCGGCGTCGGGCCCTGGGGAATCCTGATCATCCTCATGCTGGTGACCTTCCTGCTGGGGTTCTTCTTCGACTGGATCGAGATCACGCTGATCGTCCTGCCGGTGTTCGCGCCGATCCTGGCGGGGCTCGACTTCGGCGATCACGTGCCCAAACTCGAGGTCGTCTACTGGTTCTCGATTCTGATGGCGGTCAACCTGCAGACCTCGTTCCTGACGCCACCGTTTGGCTTCGCGCTCTTCTACATGAAGGGCGTGGCCCCGCCCGAGGTGCGCATGCAACAGATCTACCGCGGCATCATCCCCTTCGTGATTCTGCAGCTCATCGGGCTCGGGCTGGTTATCGCCTTCCCCGAGATCGCCATGTGGCTGCCGAGAACGGTGCTCGAATGACCCAGGGCGCACGCGGCGAGCGGAAAGCAAGCCGCTGCGGCTTTGGAACGCCCGCTACTCTTTGAAAGAAGCGTTGCTTGCCCGCCATAGGCGCGAGCAGAGCCCCGCGGTCAGACGACGACCACTTTCCCTGGATTCATCAGGTTGTGGGGATCGACCGTCCGCTTGAGCGTGCGCATGAGGTCGACGGCCCCGACGCCGTGCTCGGCCTCCAGGTACTCCAGCTTGCCGCAGCCGATGCCGTGCTCGCCCGTGCTGGTCCCGCCCATGGCGAGTGCGCGGTCGATCATGCGTCCGTTGAGGCGCTTGGCCTCGGCCATCTCGGCCGGATCGTCCGGGTCGATGAGGAAGCAGACGTGGAAATTGCCGTCGCCGACGTGGCCCGACGATCGGGGCGAGCAAAGGCGAAGCATCGAGCTCCTCCTTTGTCTCGATCAGGCACTCGGCAAGGCGGGAGATCGGCACGCAGACATCCGTCGCCCAGCCCTTCTTGCCCGGCTGGAGCGCGAGGCAGGCGTAATAGACGTCGTGCCGCGCCTGCCAGAGCGCGTTCCGCTCTTCAGGCTTCGTCGACCAGCGGAAATCCGAGCCGCCGAACTCCTGAACGATCTCACGCACCTGCTCCACCTGTTCGGCGACGCCGCGCTCTGTGCCGTGGAACTCGAAGAAGAGCGTGTCCTTGGGCGCGTAATCGAGCTTCGAGAACTTGTTGCAGGCGTCCATCTGAATGTCGTCGAGCAGCTCCACCCGGGCGATCGGGATGCCCGACTGGATGGTCAGGATCACCGTGTTGACCGCGGCCTCGAGCGAGGGGAAGGAGCATACCGCCGCCGAGATCGCCTCGGGGATACCGTAGAGCTTGAGCGTAATCTCGGTCATCACACCGAGCGTTCCCTCGGAGCCGACAAAGAGCCGGGTCAGGTCGTAGCCCGCCGCCGACTTGCGCGCGCGCCCACCGGTCTTGATGATCTGCCCATCGGGCAGCACCACCGTGAGCCCCAGCACATTCTCCTTGAGCGTGCCGTAGCGCACCGCGTTGGTGCCGGACGCCCGCGTCGCGGTCATGCCGCCGAGCGTCGCGTCCGCCCCCGGATCGATGGGGAAGAACAGCCCGGTATCGCGCAGATGGGTGTTGAGCTGCTTGCGCGTGACTCCGGCCTGGACGGTGACGTCGAGGTCCTCCTGGCTCACCCGGAGGACCTGGTTCATCCGCCCCATGTCGAGGGTGACACCGCCCTCCAGTGCGCAGACATTGCCCTCGACCGAGGTGCCCACCCCATAGGGAATCATGGGCACGCCATGCGCGGCGCAGATACGGACGATCTCGGCGACTTCCTCCGTCGTTTCGGGGAAGACCACCGCGTCTGGCGGGCGCGGCGCATGGTAGGTCTCGCCGGTCGCGTGATGCTCGCACACCGCGGGCGATGTCGAGAGCCGGTCGCCGAGGAGCGCGCCGAGCTCCTCGATCGCGCTTTGTGTGTCTGTGGTCTTCAGGAGTGTAGCCATGGCGCCACTATAGCCTGCCGGGCGGAAGCGGCACTAGCGCCGGTAAGATGGATCCTCCCGGTCGAGGCGGCGCAGCAGCGCCTCGAAGCCGATCCTGGCCCATTCCACGTTGCCGGTTCCCTGGCCGATTGCCGCCGTCCGCTCGATGACGGACTTTGGCGGCAGCACCGGCTGGCCGCCCGCCTGGGCCGCAATCTGGATTTCGCAGGTGCGCTCCAGATAGTGCATCAGGGTAAACGCCTCGGCGATCGAGCGCCCCCAGGTCAGTGTGCCGTGGTTGCGCAGGAACATCATCCGCTTGTCGCCGAGGTCGCGAATCAGGGTCTTCTGCTCGGCCGGCCTGAGACCGGGGCCGTCATAGTCGTGGTAGGCGATCCGGCCGGCATGGGTGATCGCGAACTGGTTGATCGGCAGCAGCCCGCCCTTCTGCGCCGAGACGGCGACGCCTGGCACCGTGTGGAGGTGCATCACGCTCTCGGCCTCCGGCACCGCCTCGAAGACGGTCCGGTGCACCACCCAGCCTGCCGGATTGACCTCCCCCGGCGTCCGTCCGACGTTGCTGCCCTCGATATCGACGGTCATCAGGCTGGATGCCGTCACATCGTCGAAGAGCTGGCCGAAGCCGATGAAGAGGTAGCGGTCGCGCCTGTCGGGAATCCGCACCGAGAGATGCGTGTAGATCAGGTCGTCCATGCCGCGCCGGTAGAACATGCGGTAGCAGGCGGCGAGCTCGCGCCGCGCCCGGCTCTCGGCGCGTGAGCGGCGCGCCTTGCGCGGTGCCGACTCACCGCCGTCGCCGTTCTGCGCCATGCCGTCTCTCCCTCGCAACTCGAGAAGATTAGCATGAGAGCCGGTGCGGCAAGCACCGCATCCGCCGCTCCATGCCCCGACGCATAAGGCGTTGCCGTGGCGCGGCTATAGCCGTATGAAGGAAGACGATTGCCGGTCTGGGAGTCGCGGATGCCGGCAGGCCGTGGAGCGACGGGGTGATGTGGCGGCGCGGGGCCGCGGCTGCGGCGTTCGTGGCATTGCTTGTCGCGGTTGTCGCGGCAAGCGCGCAGGTCACATCCTCGCTCACAGGCGTTCGGGTCGGCCAGCACGACGGCATGACCCGGCTGATCCTGGACCTGACTGAGCCGACAACGTTCAAGATTTTTGCCCTTTCGGGCCCCCCCCGCGTGGTGATCGATCTGCCGGCGTTGCACTGGGCGATGGAGGAGCGCTCCTTCGTCGTCGGCCACTCGGGCGTCGTGCGGCTGCGCTACGGCCAGTTCCGGCCTGACACCTCACGCATCGTGGTCGACCTCGACCAGCCGCTCGCCGTGCGGCAAGCGCGAATGCTTGCAGCCGACGCGGAGGGTACGGCCCCCCATCGGCTGGTCCTGGATTTCGTCCCGGTTTCGCTGTCAGCGTACGAGGCTGCCGCCCGACCTCCGAAGCCGGTCTTGCGAGCCAAACCAGCCGCTCCGGCCGGGCCCGTGCCGTTGCCGAGGCTGAAACCTGCGCCGAAGCCCGTGCGCCATCTGATCGCGATCGACGCCGGCCACGGCGGCCGCGACCCCGGTGCGATAGCTACGAATGGCTTGAGGGAGAAGACGCTGGCGCTGGCCTTTGCCCGCGAGCTTCGGACCGTTCTCGTAGAGTCCGGCAGATACCAGGTGGTGATGACCCGCGACGGCGACCGCAAGATCCGACTGAAGCGGCGGGTCGTCATCGCCCGCAATGCCGGTGCCGATCTCTTCCTCTCCATCCATCTCGACCGTTTGGAGAACCGCGACGTGCGCGGTGCATCGGTCTACACGCTCTCCGACGAGGCGTCCGACGTGGAGACTGCCGAACTGGCGGCACGCGAGAACAAGGCCGATATCGTTGCCGACGTCGATCTTACCGATGGTTACGACGAAGACGTGGCCAAGGTGCTGATCTCGCTGGTCCAGCAGAACACGATGAACTGCTCGGCAGCGCTCGCGGCAACGCTGTTGCCGGAGCTCGAGCGCGTAGCGCCGCTTATCAGGCGCCCGCACCGGTTCGGCGATTTCCGCGTTCTCAAGGCGCCGGACATCCCTTCGGTGCTGGTCGAGCTCGGATTCCTCTCGAACGACCAGGATGCGGAGCGGCTGACGAGCAAGACCCACCGGCGCGCGCTGGCCGGCGCGATCCTGAACGCGCTCGACACGTATTTTCGCGAGCCCTGCTAACCTGCCGCAGTCTCGCCTCATTCCTGTCGTCCAATGGATGGTGCGCCCCGGCATCCCAATCGATGCTAGGCTGAGCGCCCGCGACTCCTTAGACCGCCAGGCCGCACACGATGAAGATCCTCGGCATCGTCCTGGGCAGCATCGTTCTGCTCGCCGCCCTCGCGGCGGTGCCATCGCCTTCGTGTTCTTCCACTATGGCCGCGACCTGCCGGATCACAACCAACTAGCGGCCTACGAGCCGCCGGTGATGACCCGGGTTCACGCCGGCGACGGGCGGCTGCTCGCCGAGCATGCCCGCGAGAAGCGTCTGTTCGTGCCTCTCGTCGCCATGCCGCGCCGGGTGATCCAGGCCTTCCTCGCCGCCGAGGACAAGGCGTTCTACGAGCATTTCGGGATCGATCCGCTGAGCGTGGCAAACGCGGTGGTCACGAACCTGGTCAATCTGGGCGGCGACCGCAGGCTGGTGGGCGCGTCGACGATCACCCAGCAGGTGGCGAAGAACTTCCTGCTCTCGGGCGAGCTCTCCTTCTCGCGCAAGATCAAGGAAGCCATCCTCGCGATGAGGATCGAGGATACCTTCACCAAGGACCGGATTCTCGAGCTCTATCTCAACGAGATCTATCTCGGAGCGGGCTCGTATGGGGTGGCGGCGGCGGCGCTCAACTATTTCGACCGCTCCCTCAACGACCTCTCGCTTGAGGAAATCGCCTATCTGGCCGCCCTGCCAAAGGCGCCGAACAACTATCACCCGGTGCGCAAGCGCGAGGCGGCGGTGGGGCGGCGCAACTGGGTGCTCGGCCAGATGGTCGCGAACGGCGCGGTGGGCGGTCGCCGAGGCCGAGGCCGCGATGCAGGCGCCGCTCCGCACCAGGGCGCGGGCGCCCGAGACCTTCGTCGAAGCCCCGCACTTCGCCGAGGAGGTGCGCCGCTGGCTGCTGGCGCGCTACGGCGACGATACGCTCTACGAAGGCGGCCTCTCGGTCCGCACGACGGTCGACCCGGCCCTGCAGGCGATGGCCGACCGGGCGCTGCGCGGTGGCCTCGTTGCCTATGACGCCCGCCGCGGCTGGCGAGGCCCGCTCGCCCGGATCGACCCGGCGGGTCGCCTGGCAAGAGGCGCTCGGAGCGGAGGAGATTTCGCCGGTGCCGGCGCCGTGGCGCCTCGCAGCGGTGTTGGCGGTGGAGCCGGGCCGGGCCGTCATCGGCTTCGCCAACGGCGAACGCGGCGTCATCGCGCTCGACGACCTCAAGTGGGCGCGGAAGGCTCGCGGGAAGGGCAGGCTCGGTCCCGAAGTCACCGCGGCCCACCAAGTGCTGAGCGCGGGCGATGTGGTGCCGGCCGAGCCGCTGGAAGGTCGGGACGGCGCCTTCGCGCTCCGCCAGATTCCTGCGGTCTCGGGCGCTCTGGTGGCGCTGGACCCGCACACCGGGCGGGTGCTGGCGCTGGTCGGCGGCTTCGACTTCGCCACGAGCGAGTTCGACCGCGCGACCCAAGCCCGGCGCCAGCCGGGCTCGGCCTTCAAGCCGTTCGTCTATCTCGCGGCGCTCGATAACGGCTACACGCCGGCCTCCATCGTGCTCGATGCGCCGGTGGTGATCGACCAGGGCGAGCACCTGCGCAAGTGGAAGCCGGAGAACTACACGGAGCGGTTCTACGGGCCCAGCACACTCCGGGTCGGGCTCGAGGAATCGCGCAACCTGATGACGCTCCGCGTCGCCCAGGACATCGGCATGAAGACCGTCGCCGACTACGCCGCACGCTTCGGGCTCCACCCGGATCTGCCGGAGGTGCCCTCGGCCGCCCTCGGCTCGCTGGAGACGACGCCGCTCGATCTCGCCGCCGCCTACGCCATGCTGGTCAACGGCGGGCGCAGAATCGAACCGGCTTTCGTTGAGCGAATTCAGGACCGCAACGGCCGCACGGTCTACCAGCGGGATGCACGCGATTGCGACGGTTGCCGGCCTGGCGAATGGCAGCACCAGCTGCCGCCTGCGCTGCGCGACACGCGCCCCGTGATCGCCGATCCACGCACCACGTACCAGGTCGTATCCATGCTGGAGGGCGCCGTGCAGCGCGGCACCGGCCGCGTGCTTAGCAAGCTGGGCGCGCCGGTCGGCGGCAAGACAGGGACCACCAACGAGTTCCGCGATGCTTGGTTCGTGGGCTTCACCCCTGATCTGGTTGCCGTGGCCTATGTCGGATTCGACCAGCCGCAATCGCTGGGGCGGAAGGAATCGGGGGGCCGGGTCGCGGCGCCGATCGTGCGGGACTTCTTCGCCGCGGCCTTGGCCGGCAAGCCGGCCGTGCCCTTCCGGGTGCCGCCGGGCATCCGTTTTGTGCGGGTCGAGCGCGAGACCGGCTCGTTGCCTGGCCCCGTCAGCGATGACGTGATCGTCGAGGCGTTTCTGCCCGGCACCGAACCGACACAGCGGGCCGCGCTGAGGCAGAGCGCTGGCCCGGATGGCATGCTGGAAACCGGCGCGGTTCCGTTCGAGGGGTTGGGCGCCGTATATTGAGCGCCCACCGGAGGGGACCAGCCGATGCGCGCCGAAATCCTGTCGCTTGCCCATGACATCAAGCAGTCGCTGGCGCTGCTGAGGAGGCACCTTTGACCTCGACGGCGCCCGTGACCGCCTGGAGGCGCTGAACCGCGAGGCCGAGGACCCCGACCTCTGGGCCGATGCCGAGCGGGCGCGCCAGGTGATGCAGGAGCGTACCCGGCTCGATGCGGCGGTCGGCACCTACCAGCGGCTGGAGCAGGAGCTGGAGGACGGCCTCGCGCTCGCCGAGCTCGCCGACGAGGAGGCCGACGAGGAGGTCTACGGCGAGGCGGAAGCCGCGCTTGCCCAGACCCGCAGAGGAGCGAAGCGGCGCGAGCTGGAGAGCCTGCTCTCGGGCGAGGCCGACGGCAACGACGGCTTCCTCGAGGTCCATGCCGGGGCCGGCGGCACCGAATCGCAGGACTGGGCCGAGATGCTGCTGCGCATGTACGTCCGCTGGGCGGAGCAGCGGGGCTACGGCGTCGAGTGGATCGAGGAGAGCCCCGGCGAGGAAGCGGGAATCAAGTCGGCCGTCATCAAGGTTTCGGGCGAGAGCGCCTACGGCTGGCTCAAAACCGAGAGCGGCGTGCACCGCCTGGTCCGTATCTCCCCCTTCGACGCGGGCGCGAGGCGCCATACCAGCTTCGCCTCCGTCTGGGTCTTCCCCGTGGTGGACGAGACCATCGACATCGAGATCGTCGAGAAGGACCTCAGATCGACACCTACCGGGCCTCGGGCGCGGGCGGTCAGCACGTCAACCGGACCGACAGCGCGGTCCGCATCACCCACCTGCCCACCAATATTGTCGTCCAGTGCCAGGCCGAGCGCTCGCAGCACCGCAACAAGGCCGAGGCCATGTCCATGCTGCGCGCCCGCCTCTACGAGCGCGCGCTGCAGGAGCGCGAGAGCGAGGCGCAGGCGCTCGCCGAGCAGAAGAGCGACATCGGCTGGGGCCACCAGATCCGCTCCTACGTGCTGCAGCCCTATCGCATGGTGAAGGACGTGCGCACGGGGATCGAGAGCAGCAACCCCGACGCCGTGCTCGACGGGGAGATCGACCGCTTCCTCGCGGCGTCGCTCGCGGCCCGCATCGGCGCCCCGGCCGAGGCTTCGGGAAAGAGCTAACCCGCATCTCTCACCACTGTCGCAGTCCGGTTCCGCCGCCCACCTCCGGCAAACTTTAATTTTATCCGGGATTCGGCGGGATTAAGTGGGATAAATGGGATTCCGCGGCACAAGGTCGCGCACGCCCGCATGGTCGTGCGCGCGGGATAGGGTCGCACACGCCCGCTCATCTCACCTGCCGTGACCCGCCCGCTCTTGCCCTGCATAGAGCGATCATGGCGCAGGAGCCACGCACCCTGCATCGCACCATGGTCCGGGTCGCGCACGCCCGTAGGGTCGTGTGCGCGGAAAATCGGGTCGCGCAGGCCTGAGTCGCCCGCGCCCGAAGGGTCGCGGGCGCGGAACTAAGGTCACGCGCGCGTCGGATAACGTCATGCGCGCGGGGGAACAGCGCGCAGACCATGGTGACAAATTTGGGCTAACGCGCGGCTCCCGGGTCCTCGGCAAGCGCGCGCGCGATCCGGGGCCGGATCTCGCTGGCGAAGGCCCGGATGGTCCGCTCGGCCTGCGACATGGTGGAGCCCGCCGCCTGGATGTTCAGCATCATGTGGCTCGCGCCCGAGGCGCGGAATATCGGCGGTAAGCCTGGCTGCGACCGTGGCGGCATCGCCTACCGGCAGGTTCGCGGCCATCTCCTCCAGCGGCGGCTCGCCGGAGAACGGACTCTCGATCAGCATGCCTCCGTCCATCGCCTCCTGCCGGTTGCGGAGCGCCGCGGCGAAGCGCATCTGCTGGCGGGCATTGACCAGGTAGTCCAGCGTTTCCTCGTCGCTCTCTGTCACGCAGACGAAGCGCAGAATCCCCAGCTCGTGGGCCTCCCCGCCCATGCCCTCGGCCGCGTAGGACGCGTCGATGCGCTCGCGCTGCTCGGACAGGTAATCCGCGCCGAACCAGCGGCCGGTGATGATCGGCACAAAGCCGCGCTGTGCCGCGAGCCTGTGCGTCGACTCGGAATCGCCCGCGACCCAGATCGGCGGCACGCCGCCCGGCGGGCGCGTGCTGATAGTTGGTCTCGGGCAAGGCGGTGAAGTCGCCGTCGAAGGTGAAGGTCTCGTTCGCATAGGCCCGATCCATGAGCGCGAGGAACTCCTCCAGTCGCGCCTTGGATTGGCCGAGATCGGCGTCGAAGCGCTCGAACTCGTAGGGCTGGTAGCCGCTGCCGAGCCCGAGCAGGAAGCGCTCTTCGCCCAAGAGCGCCTGGGTCATGCCGATCTCGGCGAGGAGCCGGACCGGGTGATAGAGCGGCACCACGATCACCGCCGGGCCGAGCTTGATCCGCTTGGTGCGCCCCGCGCAATGATTGACCATCAGCAGCGGCGAGGGGCAGACGCAATAGTTGGAAAAGTGGTGCTCCGCGAACCAGGCGGCCTCGAAGCCCGCCTCCTCCGCCCATTGCACCATTTGCACCGCGTTGCCGAGCACCTCGGAGACCGGGCTCCCCCGGTCCCGATAGCCCATGAGACAGAACAAGCCGAAGCTGACCATGCCACTCACCGATTGCAGAGGGGAACACGATTGCCCGCGCGCCGGGGCGGACCGATTGTAGCGCATGGCGCGCGCCCTGGCGTGCTCAGCCCCTTCGACCCTTCGCCAGGACGGCGGTCACGATGGCGAGCAGGAGCAGCGCCGCGATCAACCACAGCACCGCGCGGGGATTGCCGTGGTCGAGCAGCAGCCCCACGATCAGCGGCGCGACGGCGGCGCCGGTATCGAGGCCCGAATAGACGAATCCGAAGACCCGGCCCCGCGCGGACGCGGCCGCGCTCTCGCGCACCAGCATGTCGCGGGACGGCATGGTGAGGCCGACCATGATGCCGGCAAGAGCGAAGGGAGCGGCCAGCGTCGCGGCCGGGAAGAGGCCGAGGCTGATCGCGACGAAGAACGCCGCGGCCGACGCAAGGCCCGCACCGATGACCACCTGGTGCCGCGCGCCCGCACGCTCGGCGAGAAAGCCGCCGAGAATGACACCACCCGATCCGCCGAAGAGGAAGACCGAGAGGAGCGGGCACCCTCGGCGATCGGCAGGCCAGTAGAGCTGGTCCATGAGCGCCGGGAAGAACGACTGCAGCCCGATGGTGGCCCCGCTCAACAGAACGAAGAAGGCGAAGCAGAGCCAGGACCGGAGCCGAGAGAAGAGGGACGAATCCTTGCCTTACGGCGGCGAGCGGCCCGCGCCTGGCGGCACCCGTGGCCGTGACCGCCGTAGCTGGCGGGGCGGGCACGGGATGCGCCTCGTCCCGCGCGTCGAGGAACAGGTGCCGGTTCAGCGCCAGCACCAGGAACAGGATCAGGCCCGTCGCCCCGGCCACCATCAGGGCGGACCGCCAGCCCAGCTCCAGCGCGAGTCCCACCATGACGATGGGCGCGAGCGCGTAGCCTAGATTGCCGCCGAGCGTGTGAAAGCCGTAGGCCCTGCCGTGGCGGGTGCGGCGGATGCTCGCGGTGAGGATGGAGAGATCGGCCGGGTGGAACACGCAGTTTCCGATCCCCGCGAGCACGGCGAGCGGAAACAGCATCCAGAACGCGGTCGCAAACCCCATCAGCACGATTGCAACGCAGAGCAGGGCGAGACCGCTCAGCAGCACCGTGCGCGCCGAGAAACGATCGACCAGGAAACCCGCCGCGGTCTGCGAGAGGCCGGAGCTCACGTAGAACACGGTCATCAGCGTGCCGAGCTCGGTGTAGCTGACCGCGAACGCCTCCTTGAGGGGTGCGGGAAGAGCGGCGGCAGGGCGAGCTGATAGAAATGGCTCGCGCCGTGGGCGAGTGCGATCAGCCCCATGACGCGGGCCTGCCCGCGGCCGGGCGCCTCCTCAATGGTCATCGCGGCGCGTCTCGGATGGGCGCCGCTCCCACAGCGGCGCCGGGTGGCGCGAGAGTAAGCCGGCGGTGCCGGCCCCGGCAACGATCTCGACCGCGCACGAGGGGCGGCCTGGACGCCAGCCGAGCCATCGACTGACAAAAAAAGGTAGGTTTATTAGGTATAATGAGTTATATACCAATACTACCTAAAAAGAGGAGGGTCGGCATGTCCAAATATGCACCCCTGGCGGCTCACCTGCGTAAGGTGGGGCAAGAGACCGTGCCCATGACCTTCGCTGACATTGAGCGGATCATCGGCACGAATTTGCCGCCCTCGGCTTTCAAGCATCGACCGTGGTGGTCCAACAATTCCGCGAATAGTGTCATCACCCGATCGTGGCTCGAGGCAGGGTACAAGACGCAGAACGTGGACATGGAGGGCCAGAAGCTGGTTTCCGCAAGTCCGCGCCGTACGTGCCGGCGCCCGAGGCCGGCGGCCGGATGCTTCGAGACGAGGCGCGAGAGCCCGCGGCCGCTGACACCGTTTCTTTTTCGCTCGTCTTCGGCGCGCTCAAGGGCACGGTGACGGTCAAGGCGGGGATCGATCTCACCGCACCGGTCGAGGCAGACTGGGACGCGACGCGGTAGCCGGCAATGCCCGTCTACCTTCTCGACACCTGCGCGGTGATCTGGATCGCGAACGGCGATCCGCTGCACGAGCCGGCCGAAAGCGCCTTGCGGGAGGCATACGCGACTGGCGGGGGCCTCGCCGTCTCCCCCATGGCCGCGTGGGAGATCGCCATGCTCGCGGCGAAGGGAAAAATCGCCCTCTCAATCGCCCCTGAGGTGTGGTTCGACCGAGTCCTCGCGCTGCCGAGGGTTGCGCTCGCAGAGTTGCCGCCTGCCGTGCTGATCGCATCATGCGCTCTTCCCGATGCGCCGCCCGCCGATCCGGTGGACCGCATCCTCGTCGCGACGGCGAGGGCCTTCGGCTACACGCTGGTAACCCGCGACAGCCATCTGCTCGCCTACGGCGGACACGGTCATATCCGGGTCATGGGATGCTGACGTTCGGCCACAGGGACTCCGCGCGAGCGCTTACAGGCGTATAGTTGTCCGGTCCCGGCTCCTCTCCGTGCCGTCCGTGCGCCGGCAGGCGAGGAGCGTCAGAAGGCTGAGGGAGGCCGTGATGGTCAAGATCGAATGCGTGGTGGAGGCCGAGAACTATCTCGGCGAGGGGCCGGTCTGGGACCCGGTGGAGGGAGTCCTCTATTGGGTGGACATGCTGGATAAGGAGGTCTGGCGCCTCGATCCCCGCACCGGCAAGACTCACACCTGGACGCTGCCGAAGACGGTGGGCGCCTTTGCGCTCCGCGAGCAGGGCGGCGGCGTGCTGACCATGCGCGACGGGTTCTACTTCATGGACCTCGATAGCGGCGAGACCGAGCTCATCGCCCTCGTCGATGCGGACGAGCCGCGCTCGCTCTTCAACGACGGCAAGGTGGACCGCCGCGGCCGCTTCTTCGCCGGCGGCGAGGATGAAATCTCCGAATCGCCGATCTGCGGCCTCTTCAGGCTCGACCCCGACCTCACCGTGCACGAGCTGGAGCGTGGCATCATCTGCAACAACGGGCCGAGCTGGAGCCCCGACAACAAGACCTTCTATCACACCGATTCCTACATGCAGGAGATCTACGCCTACGACTACGATTTCGAGACCGGCGCGATCTCCAACAAGCGGGTCTTCGCCAACACCCATGACGAGCCCGGCATTCCCGGATGGCTCCACGATCGATGCCGAAGGGTATCTGTGGAACGCGCAGATCGTCTCGGGCCAGCTCGTGCGCTACGCGCCGGACGGCACGGTCGACCGCCGCGTGCCGGTGCCGACCAAGACCATCACCAGCATCATGTTCGGCGGCGATAACCTCGACGTGGCGTACCTCACCTCGATGGGGCGCACCGACTTCCTCGGCCCCGAGGCCCAGAAGATTTTCGGCGAGGCCTCCAAGCCGCAGCCCCACGGCGGCGGAATCCTCGCGGTCTCAGGTCTCGGCGTGCGCGGCCTGCCCGAGCACCGCTTCGCCGGCTGAGGGTAGCGGGGCGTTCAGGCGGCCTCCTGTAGCCAGATCAGGCGGGGGACGTCGACGAAGAGCAGGCCGCAGGTGATCCTGCGGTCCGGGAAGACCGCGGCGAGCGCCGCACGGTAGCTCTCCATCTGGACGCGATAGGCCTCCGGCACCGCACTTTCGTTCGCCTTCAGGCGGAGCACGGCCGGTCTTGTAGTCGAGGGCGATCACCTCCCGCTCGCCCACGAGCAGCCGGTCGATCTGACCCGTGATCACCCGGTCGCCCACGATGGCACTGATGGGAGCCTCCACCAGAGCATCGGGGGCGAAGAGCGCGGCGAACGCCGGGTCGGCAACGAGTTCGATCATGGACGCCGCCAGCGCCTCCCCCTCTCCCTCGTCGAGGTCATAGGGCGCGAGCAGGCGACGCGCAGCGGTGGGCCGGTCGGCCGGAGCCAGCGCCGGCAGATGCTCGAGCAGCTTATGGGCGGCAATGCCGCGCAGGCGGGCGCGGTTCCCTGTTCCGTCGATCGGCGAACGCGGCGCAGGCTCCGGCAACGCGCGGGAGGGCGCGAGCGGACGGGGCGCCGGGGGCTCGGGGGCGGGCGGTGCGAGCAGCTCCGGCGGCAGAGGCGGGGCCGCGTCGCCCTCTGGCGCCGGCTCGGCACGCGGGGGGAGCGGCGCCGTCTGCAGCTCGGCATAGACCAGACCCGTGCCCTCCGGCATTGCGCCATCCGGCACCGCCAGGGTCTCAACTCCCGTCAGGCTCTCCAAACCAGCCCGCACCAGCGCGTACCAGCAATCCTCTGGCGGCGTGTCCCGGCCCTGCCAGCCGCAAACGTAAAGCCGGTCCTCCGCACGCGTCATGGCGACGTAGAGGAGCCGGCGGTATTCCTCCTCTTGGGCGGTGCGGGCGTGAGCGCGGACGGCACGGGTGAGCGGGTCCTCCCGGCTCGCCCGCCCGGCGAAGAGCAGGGCCTCGGGCGTGCCGACGCTCAAATCCGGCCGCTCCTCCTCCAGCCAGACGAGCGGGTCCCTGGCGAGGGGCTTGCGCATGGTATCGGGCAGGAAGACCACCGGCGCCTCCAGCCCCTTGGCGCCATGCACGGTCATGATCCGCACCTCGTCCCGGCCCTGCTCGAAGTCGCGCGCGATCTCCGCCCTCCCGTCCTGGACCCAGTGCAGGAAGCCCTGGAGCGAGGGCGGATGGGTGCGGCCATAGGCGAGTGCCAGCGCCAGGAACTCCTCCATGGCGTCCCCCGATTCAGGGCCGAGGCGGCCGAGCAGCGCCGCCCGCCCGCCGCGCGCGCCCAGCACCTCGCTGTAGAACTCGAAGGGGGCCATCCTATCCGCAGCGCTGCGGAAGAAGGTCAAAGCCTCGTAAGCACCTGCGAATGCCTCGTTCTCGCCACGGCGCCGGGCGAGCGTCGCCCACAGGCTGGCGTCGCCGCGCTCGTACGCAAGCGCGAACAGCGCATCCTCGTCGAGCCCGATCAGCGGGCTCTTGAGCACCGTGGCCAGCGTCAGGTCGTCGCCCGGCAGCAGGCAGGCATCGCCGAGGGCGATCAGGTCCATGACCGCGAGCTGTTCGGTCAGCACCATGCGGTCGATCCCCGCCACCGGCACGCCGCGCGCCTTGAAGGCCCTCAGCAGGTGATCCACGAACGGGCCGCGGCGGCGCACCAGCACCAGCACGTCGCCGGGCCGGATGGGGCGGCCGCGCGCCTCGAGCCAGGCGTCGTCCCCAGCCTCCGCCGGCTCTTGGGTCCACGATGCGACCCGTTCTGCGATGAGCGCGGCGAGCCGCGCCGCCGGATCGTCGGCCCCCTCGCGCACGACCGGTAATGCCCACGGCTCGATTTTCTCCTTCTCCTCGGGCACGACGGGCGGGCCACAGCTCGACCCGGCCAGCGGCGCCCTTTGCGGTGGACCCGGTGGTGGATCGGCGTCGCCTCGGCGGTGACGCCGGCGCGCGCCGCCGGCTGGGCGAACACGGCATCGACCGCGGCAAGCACCGTGCCGGTGGAGCGGAAGGATTCGGCCAAGGGCAGCGATTCCCACGGCCGCCCGGCAGCCTCCGCCCGGCCCCGGAACTGCCGGTGGGCGGCGGTGAGCGCCCGCGCATCGGCGCCCTGGAAACTGAAAATGGACTGCTTCTCGTCGCCAACCGCAAACAGCGTGCGCGGCGCGGCACGGGCGCCTTCGCCGGCAAAGAACTCCTCGGCCAGCGCCGCGATCACGGCCCACTGCGTCGGGCTCGTGTCCTGCGCCTCGTCGATCAGCAGGTGGTCGAGGCCGCCATCGAGCTTGTAGAGCACCCAGGGTGCGATGCCTTCGAGCGCAAGCAGGCTGCGGCTGCGCGCGATCTGATCGCCATAGTCGAGCACGGCATGACGGGTCTTCTCAGCCCCGTAGAAGGAGAGATGACGGGCTGCGATCTCGATAAGAGCAGCGCTGCTCTCGGCAACGCGGGCGGCGTTCCAGCGGTCTGTGACAGCGCCGATCCGCGCCTGCTCCTCACCGAGCGCCTCTGCCGCATCGGGGTGCGCATCACCGAACTTCTTGGTGATGAGCCGCTGGAGAGGGGCGTCGTTCTGACCGAAGAAGGCGCGGCGATAGGCGGCGAACCCTGCCGTCCGCCGCTCATGGTCGGCGTCGAGCCATCCCGCAATCGTCTGCGCCCGCCTCTGGTCCGTCACGGTCCCCCGGCGAGCACGCGGGCGGCGCTCGCCAAGCTGTCGCCATCGAACGCGCCTTCGGCACACCCCTCGGCGAGCAGTGCGTCCGGTCGTCGCACCCTCGGCCACGCCGAGCCGGGCCCGGAGCGCCCCGATCGTGCCTTCGATACCGCCATGACGCGCTATCAGCGACGAGAAACGATCCCTCTCCCGGCTCACGTTTGCCAGCAAGGCACCGAAGCCCTCCTCGCCGATAACGGCAGTCATGGTGGCAAGGGCGGAGGCGAGAGCATCGTCAATGCCGGGCCGGGCGTTGCTCAGCAGGCGTGCGCGCGCCGCGCCAAGGAGTGCCGCACTCATGCGCTCGTCGGCGATCTCGAAATTGGCGCGACGCCCGCCTCAAGCGGAAAGCGCCGCAGCAGCGACTGGCAGAACGCGTGGATGGTCTGGATCTTGAGCCCGTCGGGCACGTCGAGCACGGCGGCGAAGAGGCGGCGCGCGCGGTCGAGCGTGGCTTGCGCAGGTTCGGCCCCGGTCAGCACCTTGAGCGAAGCGGCGAGCGCGTCGTCGGCGGCGACAGTCCAGCGCGCGAGATCGCGCGTGATCCGGAGCGCCATCTCGGCGGCGGCCGCGCGGGTGAAGGTGAGGCAGAGGATGCGCTCGGGCGCCGTGCCCCCCAACAGCAGCCGCAGCACGCGGTCCGTCAGCACCTTGGTCTTGCCCGTGCCGGCCGAGGCACCGACCCAGACCGAGGCCGCCGGATCCGACGCCCTGTGCTGAGCCGGCGTCATCCTGGGCGCTTGCACGGCCATCATGGGTCTCCGCCAGGCACCGACCACTCCTTGTGCCGGGCGAGGTGGGCGTAGTCGTTCCAGGCAGGGGCCAGCGCCGGCCGGGGCACCGGGTGATAGGGTGTCCCGGAATCGTCGAAGCGGGCGACCAGCGCCCGCAGGCCGTCGGCTGCCTCGCGCGCGAGCTTATCCGCATCGCCGCCGATCGCGGTGATCTCGCCGGCGGTCTCGGCGCCGCTCAACTTCCAGTACGCGAGCGCCGCGACTTCGGCCGCGTCCACGCCTGCGAAGCCGCCCGCACCCGCAATCGCCGCCTCCAGCGAGAGCTGCGGGCACCTGCCGTCTACGACCTGGTTTCTTCTCGGAACGGCGCCGGTCTTGTAATCGATGATCTCCAGCGCGCCCGCCTCGGTCCTGTCGATGCGGTCCGCCTTCGCCGTGAGGCGGAAGGAGCCCCCGGGCGCGTCCAGGTCGAGCGCACCCTCCACCTCGGTCGCAAGCGGTTGGAATGCGGGTCTGCGCGTCCGTTCGGTCTCCAGGAACCAGCGGACGATGCGCTCGAAGCGCGGCCACCAGAAGGCGAGCACGCCGGGCCGCGTGCCCGCTGCCTCGAACTGCGCCCGGCCGAGCGTCAGCAAGCGTTCCTCGGCGTCGGATGGCAGCGCGTCCGGGTGTTCGCGCACGAAGGCGTCCAGAATCCGGTGGATGATGCTGCCGCGCTCCGCCGCGCTCGGGTCCGCGTCGATGGGGTCGAGGGGTCGGAGGCGGAGAATGTCCCGCGCATAGATGGAATAGGGGTCGGCGATCCAGGTCTCGATGCGCGTGACCGAGAGCCGCCTCTGGAGTGCAGAAGTAAGGGGGATTGGGAGAAGGAGAGACTTTTTTGGATGTTGGCCTTTTTTTTTGAGTCTCAGGTGGTCCGGGCGG